TTACTCTCAGAGTGAAGATTTTTTTATCCGAATCCAACAAGGACTTTTTAAGCTGTCTTGCTGCGTCTTTAATTAGAGAGTCTCCTATGACCAGTGGGTGTACAGTGTGCTAGGGGGCATTATTCTGTGGATTTATTCTCGGTGCGGGTCCTGCTTCTGAACTAGTGGGTTGGTGGGGTATCTGTATTAAATTTACTATGGTTTACGTTTCTAGGCGTCGATGACGAGTTTTAAGTCATTTTAACTATGTCAGCAAAAGTTCCATCGTCTCGTGGGTCATTTGGTCTAGTTAAAGAGGTTACTGGTCCTTGGTTAAGCCCAAAGGAGTTTTTCCCAATTTCGTCAAAATGTTTAGTTAATGTGTCAGCATTTGTCTGTCTAGAACTAGGACTATTGGGTTCTAGGCCTAGGCCTCTAGAAAGGGATTTGCAATCAGTGCATACCCAGTTCATTTTGAAGTTAGGGTAGGGTCATTTGATAGTTTCTCATACTGGTTGTAATTTATAAATATACATTTGGCGTGATACCATTTATTTACATTACCGTACAGTCGCAAAAGGTTAGTGCTTTGTCGTCATCATTAATATTGATACCACATATAGCGCATGGGAAAATGTTTGAGTTTTCCTCAGTCTTATCGTTTGTTTTTAATTTAGACCGACTATTTTTTTCCTTTTCCTTAGGAGTGGTAACAGGTAGGTTAAAGGCCTAGGGTTAAGGTAATGTGGCTGGCAAGGCCGTAGCCAGGGGGGGGGGGGGGTTAGGGGGTCAACCCCCCCCCCCCCCCCGAAATCCCGAAATTTAGTACCTAGTAAAAATTAACACTAGGTTTAAAAAGTGCAAGTTAAATTATAAAATAGAAACTACAACGGAGGATTATATTTTATGTTTTATTATGTTTGCAGTAACTATTCTATTTCATATAATAATTCTATTAATAAATCTTATCTATTAAAGAGGTAATAAAACTATGAAGGTTCAACAAAATTACTTTACTCAAACAAAACAGATTTATCATCCTGTAATATTTTACAAAATATGTAACTACATATATCAACATTTTAGAAATAGCCTAAGCATGGGAATTGGTGTTTGAATGAAAGTTATTAAATCTGTTATCCACAGTCATGACCTGACCCAGTAGTGGTTCAAAGGGGGGGGCTACAAGGGGCTGAAGAAAGTACCAAACGGTGTTTAGGAGGATATGGCCGTAGCCTACAGTATGGTTACAAATTTATGAATGCAATCGTCATAGTTTTATAAATTTGTAAATGTCTACTTGCTTATGACAATCAACAGGTTAAATGGGATTTCTTTTAGGGTTGGAGACAGTTTTGGGCGTTAAAAATTGCTTTAGAAAGTCAATAAATATACTTTAAAAATATAAAAAAATATCCCCCCAGCCCCCCTTGACAAGGTCCTAGAACCGCCACTGACCTGACCCCCCCCTGACATTTTTCCTGGCTACGTACGGCCTTTGTGGCTGGATTTGGTTGAAGGGTTGGTATTTCGAATTTGGGTGCGTAGCAGGTACAGTTTCCTAACTGGGCTATGCTAATATAGATTGAAACTATCGATTCGATTAGTAAACCTTTATTCGATTTTTTCATTATCTGCAAGTTTGGTTAGTTAGGTTAGGTTATGACAGTTTAATTTTATAATTGATGCAGTTTAAAATATCGATATTTTCAATTCGATAGTTTCAATTGATAGTGCATAGCCCAGTTAAGAAACTGTACCCGGTAATTGTAAATATAAGCTCACTTCTGGGTTTAAGTTCTGCGTAGTTGGCTCCGGGCTCCATGGCGTCTTCCTACGTCTTGGCGTTGGTTGTGGGTGAAGACCAAGGCGAATCACATTTTCGCCATATTACCCAATTTAGGTCACTCAGTTGTTCACGTTACGTTTGGAAATATACAGCGAGAATACACGTCAGAAGTATAAAAACGTATTTCGGCAGTTATATGGAGACACAGGCAATAGAAATTTATATATAAAAACAAGTTTAAAAGATTAAAACAACTAATTAATTTTCGAGGTGTATTACTAATCGGTCTGCATAGCGACACTTTGATGGTGCCATGGTGGTCGATTTGAGCAAAGTAACACAATAAAAATAGAAGAGAAATTTTAAAACATGGTAAACGTGGTTGTCAACTAAATTTACCTACGACCGTTTTTTAAAGTAGCCATTTCAGTACAGTTCTTAGAATTGAAAAGTTTCACTTAACAGCTGTTTACTTTCATAACAGCATAATTTCATTTCATAACAGCATAGTTTTTCTCAAAACAACACGGGTAACGGACCAATGAGGTTCAAGGATTGAGAGAAAAGAAGTACAATTGTAATACTTCGAACGTCAACTAATCAGCTGATCAGCTGATCAGTTGACAATTTTAATTGTTGATCCGGCTTGTTCAACCACTTTTTCACCCAACTCGTTGTGGACCACATATTCGATGCTGAGATCTAACTGTAAATTAACTGTTTCATTATATTATTCAGTTGTCCAAAAATATATGTAATATTTCCCTAATTGTACCTGATACAGTATTTATGGTAAGAATGCTGCTAGCAGAACCTATTGACTGAAAAAGTAACGTATTATTTAACAAAGTTTTACAAACACGCAATTACATGAAATCAGCTGATTATACAATAAGTCGTTGAATCACTTTCAGCGACAATGACAATAAACGAAAACATAACCTCTCTAGGAAGTTATGAGTAGTGACTGTTAGTAATAATAACCCAGATTTTTAATAATTAAAAAACGGTCGTAGGTAAAGTAGTGTACGCAACTCGTGTTAATAGTCTTTACCTACGACCGTTTTTTAAAGTAGCCATTTCAGTCCAGTTCTTAGAATTGAAAAGTTTCAATTTACAGCTGTTTACTTTCATATCCGCATAGTTTCATTTCATATCCGCATAGTTTTCTCATATCCACACAGGTAACGGACCAATGAGGTTCAAGTATTGAGAGAAAAGAATTAAAATTGTAATGCTTCGAACGTCAACTAATCAGCTGATCAGCTGATCAGTTGACCAATTTAATTGTTGATCCGACTTGTTCATGTTGATACTCGCGTATTCTTAATTAAGTTGGTGGAAGTCCAAAAATAAATGAAATATTTGCCGAATTGTACCTGATACAATATTATTTATGGTAAGAATGCTGCTAGCAATGTAATATTTAACGAAGTTTAACAAACACGTAATTACAGGAAATCAGCTGATTATACAACAAGTCGTTGCATCACTTTCAGTGGCAATGACAATACACGAAAACATAACCTCTCTAAAAAGTTATCATTATGATTGTTAGTAATTAAATCCAGATTGATAGTAATTAAAAAACGGTCGTAGGTAAAGTAGTGTACGCAACTCGCGTTAATAGTCTTTACGACACTCGTAGAAGTTTTTAAGGCACTCGCCAAGGCTCGTGCCTTAAATTTTCTACTCGTGTCGTAAAGACTCACTTAACGCAATCGTTGCGTAAACTACTATTGCGACACTCGTAGAAGTTTTTAAGACACTCGCCAAGGCTCGTGCCTTAAATTTTCTACTCATGTCGTAAAGACTAACTTAACGCAATCGTTGCGTAAACTACAATTAACAAATGATATCAGTTCGGAGGTCAATTTAAGCAAAAACTGTATGAAAGTGGTTAAAATACACAGAATGACACGGGAGCTCTTCTACCTTCTACTGCACGGACAGTGCTATCTACCAACCTCAGAGTACCAGTACTGTAGTACAAGACCTACGACGGTTTTTTAAAAGTGGTCGTTTCAGTTCAGTTCTTAGAATTGAAAAGTTTCTCATCACAGCATACCTAGTTTTTACTCATAACAACACGGGTAACGGACCAATGAGGTTCAAGGATTGAGAGAGAAGAAGCAATATTGTAATAATTCGACTTCAACTTATCAGCTGTTCAGGCCAATTTAATTAATTGTCGAGTGGTGCAATTTAGTGTTTGGTACAATCACAATGTTTCGTTGCATGTTACAATGTAAGTGGCAATGAAACGTTATAAACTAAAACGTAACCTCTCTTAGAAGTTATGAGTAGTGCTTTAAGTAATTAAAATAAAACAACACTGTCGTAGGTAAACTAGTGTAAGTGTACGCTACTCGCGAAAAATAGTGTTAACGACACTCGTAGAAGTTTCTACTCGTGTCGTTTCACTATCTTTACACGATCGTTGCATAAATTACTATTACTTCATTGCCAACCAGCTGATATGCATTGTTACATAGTTATCTATGGCTTTTAGTGTTGTTGGGAATTTATTGTGAATAAGTATCTAACTTGGCGTCTACAAGCTCTGGTTGAGAATGTGAAAACCCCCTCTATTACGTCTTATTTATAATAAATGACCAATAACACTAAAAGCCTCATAGATAACTGGAACGAAGCATATACTGTATAGTTGATCAGAAATGAAGTAAGAACATGGATACCATCGTATGAGCAGGTTTTGTTGTTTATAAGTGCCTCACAGAATTATTTGGGTTGTGTAAAAACACCCTGTAAGAGTCGGGCTACAATTTAAATACAAGATGAAGAAAAGTCTCAGAACAGTTCCATTTTTTATATTCCAAAAATATAGATCTACACAACTTGGCAAAAAATTAAAAGAATTAAAATCATTTTAACATATTATTCAGTGTTACGCTACCGGACAAGGTCAGAATAAAATATAAAATGTAAGTATAGGTTGATATGCACATCAAATTAAAGGTCTTTGTTCGTAAAATACAATGCAACAAACCCAATCTCAAACGGACAACCGAGTAATAAATTACAGCTGTTCAAAGATTGTTGATTGTTGTCTGTTTGAGTTTGGGTTAGCACAATTTATTTTACTAAAAAAGACCTTTAATTTTATGTAAATACCAATCCATAGTTTATGGTCTTGTTGGTGATCAATTATTTAAAACAAAGACATACAGTGGAATAAATATACTCATTAAAATCATTTCAAAACATGGATTTATTATATAAAATATTATACAAAAACAAACAATGTACAAATGTACAGGTTGATACAATAAACTACAATATATAAATATATAATAAGTAGATTACTGTATATATTTACTTTACATATTGGTCTAGTCATGATTAATTTCTGACCTATTTCTAAACCTACAAATGAATCAAAGAAAGTTAATATTTATAATTATAGTTATAGCTTTGACATTGAATTCTTCAAGTAGATTTTTAATCCTGTAAATTTATTTGAAGCATGTTTTAGCGAATTTCCCATACAGAGACCCGGGACCTATTTAATTTCGTTTTGAGGTTCCCAGAGGCCAAAAATACTATCCGTTCAAGTTCATATTTTTAAGCCCTAGAGACACATTTTTTTGTCATATGTTACAGCAAACATACTCACAAAACAAAAAATAAGTCTATCATTTACTTTTATCCCAAATTGGCTTCAAAGTTATTTTGCTTTAATAAACCAAGGTTTATGGTGTAAAATAGTTATTTGTGTAACTAGTGTGCGAAGTGGCACCTTGCTGCAGATGAGAGAAATATTTACGCATGAGCAGCAGGCAAGCGTGAAAAGTTACTCGAGTGCAGCAAAGGCACATTGCACTTGCGTTACACATTATATTTTTCCTACAGTTACTATAAAGCATATAAATAATTAGTCTTCTAATCCCTAAACAGCACCTTTTAGGTTAACATAAATCCAAGCGTTGAATGAAATGGAAAACATTGCACCAGCTGATCATAGTGTATCTGTGTTGTCAAATTATTTTCAAGCATACACTTATTACGTGCCTAATAAAGCACACACTGTTTTGTGTTGTTTTGTTGGAATACTGGAGTGTGGCAAAAGTAAGTAAATGCAGCAATTAGCTACTTTGCGTGCTATAATCAGTGCAAGAAAGCCCGTTTTGTCTGGTAACTGTAGGAAAATTGGATTTTCTTAATTCAACCCTTGAAACCTATATATTCAATTTATTTAAAAAACCATTTTGTTGAGCTTTAAAAAAGCCCAATTAGTTAATTGGGCTATTTTAAAGCTATAGTAAACTTAAGTGTTGGTGTACAGAGGAAAGTCCAAAAGGGGTACATACAAGATTATTATGTTATTCTTATGAAGAATAAGTAAAATTTTGGAGTTTGCTTGTTGATGGATACCTTTTGATAAAATTTGGGAAATTCATTTTTAAATTCAAACTGCTATTGTTAACATTTAACTAAAACCATTTTACTGCCTTCCCTGTAGTTGCAAAACCAGAGTACTTTATTGAACCCAAAATTATTTAATTCAAAATAAACCTGGCAGGTTTAATTGAGGAAATATTTCTGTATAAATGTGATCAGGAATATGGAAATTCACCTAGTTTGCCGGTTTGCTACAGCGTGAGAGTATTATTTACTATTTTGTTTGTGTTCTATAACCATTGACTTGTCAATACTGAGCTAGACATCCCACCTATATGGACCACCAGTAGCCAAATGTTTCCAAAGAGAATATAGTTGAATGAGTGACTCACAGAATGTGCCACAAGCTATATTTTATCCATGAGTTATATTTCATATTACTGAGGCAGGTGATGAGACATAAAAAATGCTCCTTACAATATGACAGTTGTCCCATCACTTTAGGTTGGTTAACCATACTTTCAGAAGCTCAACTCAACTGGGTTCAGTATTATTTTAACCCTTTGAGTGTTATGCGACGATATATCGGCGTTTACTAAAATCTCTAAGGGATATAGAGAGGAAGGTTATTTTAACAAAAGTAGCAAAACGGCCATTGGTGACCAGCATGTTCATAGGATACACTAACAACCACTTAGCTAAAAGATTCGCCCAATCCGATGATTCAAGGTGTAGGTCTAAACCAAGGATTAAGAACACCACACTATGCCCCAGTGGTTGTAGTATATCGCTACAAAAACACAGGATGGGAATCGAACCCGAACAAACAAATGACACTGGCCAAGTGACACATGCCCTAGCCTTCTCGGCTATCTGTGCTTGGAGACTGAGGAGTCAAAAACCGGTATTTAAGCTGACGCCAACGATTGTGAACAGATAGCGCTAGAGCAGGTTGTTCAATGCGTTACAAGGTAGCAGTACTAGTTAGTCACGGACTATTTAGATTATATTTTTCAGTTGAACCAAAACAGTGATCATAAATTGTGTTACTGAGGCTTTGCTGCAAAAAACTATTTTTCCTAAAATGGCTATATTATAATAACATTATCTAACTAAATCAAGGTTAAATTCAATATTACATTGTAAACTAGATGTCTTTCGATTTTATGGGATTTTGCTTTCAAACATTGATATCAGAAAACTTGGAAATTTACAACAAAATCAAAGTTTTATTTATTGTTTACTACAAATACCCGGCCTTTCTTTTTTTATATAATTGTTATTGTCTTATTAATCAAAATTAGCCTAATTAATATAATAGTGACAACAATACAGTTACAATTCAAAAAAAGGCAATGGAATTAAAAGGTAAACAAAAAAAGTCTTACCAAATACGAATAATTGGCCTAGCACTGAAAGGGTTAAAAGGGGTTTAAGCTTCAACATAAGGATGGGATGTCTAGTTCTGTTCATCATAGTTAAAGATTCTTATCATTATAGACACATCTTAAATATTTTCTATTACTGAAAGACACAACCTACCTAGGACTTTCTGTCTATCTATCTATATGTGTGGATGTGTACAGAGCTACAGACCACACCTGTAGTCTGATTTTTATGAAATTTGGTATGTAGGTACTACATATCATCTCTAGGCGTATTTTTCATTTAAAAATGTTTAATGGTGATTTTCCCATAAAATAACGGAAAAATTGAATTTTTCTCAAAAATGGCCTGAATGATTTTGATAACAATCCAGTATTTTGTAGTCCTCTAAATTGTGAACAAAATGGTAGAATTCCCATTCCTATACTGTATGGCCAAAAATGATGCTTAACATACTGCAGATAATATGAGGCATTTATTTTCTCAAAAGTTTATTTAGATTAAAAACGAGTCAAGAAATCGCACAGTTTCATTACTGAAAGAACTAAACATTTTAAAATCAACAACTTCTTTGGTTTACAATTCAACAAAGAAAATAATTCATTTAAGTAAACAACAAATTGACATAGAGATAAAATCTCAGTATTGAAAATATAAATAACATTAAATGTGATCAAACACATACATGGAATGGAAATAACTTAAAATTAAAAGTATGCAATATATTGAATCTTCTGGTATGAGAACCTCGCAACTTGACTAAGCAATCTGAGTTAAAAATAAATAATTTACCATAAATATAACAAGTTTAAACTTACTTGTACATTTGATGAAAAACACATAACAACTTAAGATAATAATTTTATAATTTTTGTTATGTTAAAAGTTGTGTTCTGAAGTAGAACCAGACTTCAGTCCGTGGAGGAGGAAGATGACGATTGCCGTTTTCGGTGTTTACGTTTGTGCTTCTTGTGGCTGCGTTTTCCGGACTTCTTGTGTCTCTTCTTAGGTTGTGCATCGCTATCACTACTGCTCTCCCAGTCGTCCGTGCTCTCGTCCTCCGAACTGCTACTGAAAACAACAATAATTATGTTACTATCAAAAATGCAAAATCAAACATGATTCGTCTACTCTATACTCCATTCCTCCTTATTGGTCTATGGTTATTGGTAGTATTACAGAATATTAATTAATATTTATTGTCATGTCAGTTGTGACAGTTGTCCTCATAACCCTTGTAGAGGTAATAAAAAGTATGATGATTTGATAGGCATTTAGACTAAAAACTAAAATTTGAAATACATGGCTCACGGGTGAAATACATGCCGTTCTGCAAGGTGATCGTGAACTGAAGTATGGATATTAATATTATTTAATTTTTTTAAAGAGGTTGGGGGCCTCTTTTAACCTTGCATTTGCCCGTCCGCATAGACTATTGCCTGTGCGTAGATCACATCCAGCAAAGCAAGGGGTGAGCCGGAACAGTACAAAGGTGAACTGTACTGATCAAATTTTTTCGGCAGTGACCAGTATCCGAACCCACGACATCGCTGACTAGGGCCCGAAGTCCACGACGCTACCGACTGAGCCACCGACTCACCAAATATTAAATTAAATAATAAATATCAAATATTAAATTATTTTCAGTGAATAAGTTAACTTAACTGAGTTATCATGTCTTGACTAAAGAGTATTAACTCTTTCATAAGTCTATAACATTAAAAACTATGGGTGACAGGCACAGGTGGCAGGATACTTGTTGATACAACATTTTGAAGCTTGTAAATCTAAAATTAATTAAAAACTGTGTTTATGTTAATTATATAATTATTTTACAGAATTAAAATATATATGTACCGGTAGTTTTAATTGTGTATTATAATTTTTTTATTCACATAATTGTTGATTATATAAATGAACAGATGTTACTTTTCAAACAACCATCGTTGATAGTTTTTACTTTTTTGCCTTTTCTCCTTTACACTAATTATCCTTTGAAAATTATCAATATTTTACCAATATATTAGCTGAATATTGAATTTCAATAACCATTTGGTAATCCTGTAGATAAGAATAGGGGGAGGGGATCTTCAAAATAGGGAATTGTGAATTATCATCAGACACCACAACCTCCTGAAGTAAAGTTTATCTTTTTGTTTTTAAATGACTGGAGGTAAACTTTGGAAGCACCCTTAATTAATGAAAATGGATTTTTTGACCAGTTATTAAGTAATGCTAAAATAGTTGGGGGGTACATTGAAACCCAACTAATGCAATTTCCCATACAGGGAATAAGCTATTAACATGGATCTCATGGTAAGACCTTGACCCGGGACCAATTTACTTTTTCGTTTTGATGTCCCTAGAGGCCAACAACACCTTCCCTTAAAATTCATAAATATGTGTCTGATAGCACGATGGCTTGATAAAAATTAATTATCCAATTTCAATAATTATGATACAAATATGTAAAACTATGTTTATTCAAATGAGTTTGTGGACAAGCATGATAGGGGATGGGGTGTTAGACAGACATATTTTTTTTAGCCCAGGCCTACACAAAACATTCTTTATAATGTACAAATCATACATAAGAACAGGCGTTTTGTCATAGTAATGTTTTTTTTATATAAAATCAATAGTCAAAATAAACTGTAGTGTAGTAAAATATCAATGCATTTTTAACTGATAAATTAAAAAGGTTCTCCAAATATTCTCCCAGTGAATAGTAGGCTATGCTTTATCAATTGATTTAACTTATTTTTTATTTGATCCTTGAATTGTACGACATTTAATGTTTTTTTATTTTTATTTAAGAGTAATTCATTGTAGAATCTCAGTCCCATATAGGCCTATTATTGAAGGCTGTTCCTAAATATTTTCAAGATGTGATATGGTAATCTGAAATGATATTTGTCCCTTGTACAGTAATTATGTGTAAATATAACTTAGTCTGACAAATCTTTTAGTGCTATGGATCCAATTTAGAATTTAATCTATGTATAATCCAAAAATGGTGTTTACTCTTCATTTTCTCCTTCTTGATTTGGTTAGGATACTAGTTAAGATTTTTTTACGTTAGTAGGAATTTGACATCTGTTGACACTTTCACTGTATTATTCCATACCTCAAGATGGATTCGCTGTATTCATAGAAAACTGTAAAAAATGTATCCTAGGGTACACAGTTTGGGGGTCCCCTAACCAATTATTACCCCCATAACCCCCTCCCCCTCCCCACAAGTTATGGGGTAAAAATTGGGTTTTCACATTTTTGACCCTCCAAACATAGAATTTCCAAATTTCCCCATAAACCATATTACAGAGCTAAAAAAACAAATATTTTATCTTGTTTCTTACGGAAATAGAAATGGCTATAGAGAAAGTTAAAAAGTGTTGATTTCAAATTCCCATGTTATTCTAATGGAGAATAAGTAAACTGTTATAGTTTTGTTGTTTATGGAGATATTTTGATTTGATCAAACTTGACAATACTAATTACTAATCTATAACATTTTAATAAAAATACACTAAATTACCTTCCCGGTTGTAGTAGCAAACCTAAGGATTTATTAAACTAATGTTATTGAAATAGGGAATAAATCTGACATATTCAAGTGAAAGCCCAATAAGAATGGAAATTCGCTTAGTCTGTAGGTTTGCTGTGACAGGGGTATTTGTATTTTAACCATTAAGTAAGAAAAACAATAACACTGCACTGTAAAAAAACCATGGATGAAATTAAAATTATACAATAGCCAACAAAATCAGAAGGAACAGCTGTGCCGCCAGGGGATTTTTCAAAATAGGTTATAGAAATGTCTTCAAAAATACAATATAAAAAAATATGAAGAGCAGTGTAAAACCCAGTTTTAATGGTAGCTATTTCTAAACAACAGGGTGAGTTGATGACCTACCCAATCTATTAATTTATAAGTTATTGTATATCAACAGTGATTAAATTTACTGTATTAATGTATCACTAAAAGATTTTAACATTTCACAGTTTAGTTGTAAAACTTAGACTAAGATTTTAATATTGAAGGTTTTTACTGTTTTTAGAAAATAAGTAAGTTATAATGATTTTAAAAACATACCTATCAGATGAAGACTCGTGGTGCTTTTTTGATTTTGAACGCCCTGGAACAAAAATATATATTCATATTGTTAGATTAAGATGATTACACTACATTTATATAGAAAGTCATTCTTAGTTTATCGAAACCCGAACCATTTGCAATTATCTTGATTAGACTGTTTACGAAAATAAAAATTATACTGCAATAAAGATGTTTTCTTGTTGTTGTTGAGCCACTGTGTAAAATGATGTTATAGTAACTTTGAATTGACGAGATTTGTAGCAACTAGCAATTCAACCGAGCCCAGATATACCTAGTGTGTTTGTATAGGAACAACAAACAAATAATTAAGTGTTTTCCACAGGAGTGGTGTTTAAATGTCACCAGATGAATAAAATACCTGCAACAATGCTAAATTACAAAACATTCAATTGACAAGGACAAAGTTTCAACCTGGAGACCATTGTAGTGGTCATTCTAGAAGACTGTTTTTGAATTTAATAATGTATCAAATATCAATTTACTTAAAATACCTACTATTTAGTGTTGCATCCTTATAGAAATCTGTTTCTGATTTTAAAATCCATATCTGTCACAATCTAGGTTGATTAAGCTCTAATGCAGATATACCCACCACCTATCCGCAATTATCAAAATGATAACGGTATTTATCTACAAATTTGCATCTCCTCAATGCACTGCCCACTTCCCTGAAGATGGAAAATAGTGTGGACAAATTTGGCAAAGGGGGTTAAGTCTTCTTTTGTCACGCTGTTGTTACAGTGTTTAAGACTTTTTTAAGAGAACAATGATCTTTAGTTTTTTTATTTTTTTATCTATAAGAAAATATTGTTTTGATTTGTTTGAGATAAATTTTTGTTGACGCTATTATGCAGTTTGTAACAATTGTCAAAAGTAAACATATTTGAGTTTGAGTCTACAACCCAACTTAAACAAACAACTGAAAAATATAACAACAGGTTATATGAAAAGTAGGCCTAAGTCTTTGTATTATTAATTGGATAAGATTTTATTTTAAAATAGCAACAATAGTTATTTGTGTAACTAGAGTGCAAAGTGGCACTTTGCTGCACACTGGCAATTTACACTCGTATTACGCATTATATTTTTCCTTCAGTTATTATAAAGCATAGAAATAATTAGTCTTTCAAACACTAAACAACACGTTTTAGGTTGGGTTAAATCCAAGAGTTGAATGAATTACTGAAACGTTGTAACAGCTGATCATAGTCCTAGTATCTTTAAGTGTTGCCAACTTATTTTCAAGCGTAAATGTATTACATACCTAATAAAAGCATGCTGTTTTGTGTTGTTTGGTTTGGTTGGAATACTTGAGTGCAGCAAAAGTAAAAAGAGTGCGGCAAAAGTAAGTAAATGCAGCAATTAGAAAATTTCTATTATAATCAGTGCAAGGAAGCCCATTTTGTGTGGCGACTGTAGGAAAAAAAACTTTCTATATATGGTAAATTAAAACAAGATTTATGCTCTAGATAGACGTTCACAAAAATATATTTGTTTAGAAGGATGGAATGTGCCATAAAAGGTCACAGCACGTCTGCAGAGCGCTGTAAAGTTGTGTGGACCAGCTGGTCATTCATTCTGATAGAAGGAGAAGGTAGGACATAGGACCGTTAACCAAATTTGTACTTCGCTAGTTACTCTACAAACATTAAGTGTCTATAGGATTGGCAGAAATATTCACTTTTTGTCCGCTACATCTACAAGCGCCCACATTACACAACATCACCCATCCTTTGACGCCAAAAAATAAAGCGGATATATCTGTCGCCCGACTAGGAAGGGATAAGATAGTCTACAAGGGATCATATTTGCAAACTGTCAAATAAAACTTCTATACATGATCAAACTAGTTGTTTGGTTGGTAACCAAATAAAATTAATTGTACTAAAAATTGCATCTCTTTGGATTACCTTTGCGCTTCTTCTTCTTCTTTTTGTGGTGTTTCTTCTTTTTGTGGGATCGAAGGGAAATAACTGTGCTGCTTGATCTACTTCTGCTTGAATCTTGAAAACTAAAATCCATTAATCCTCTGGAATGAAATAACAACTAAAATAATTTAAAATAATTAACAACTAAAAAAGTATTAAGCTCATGTTTGATTATAGTGTTATACACATGGAAAAAAATTACCGGGACGATTAAATATTTACAAAAGTTATCAAGATGGTGCTACAAATCTTGGTACAAAGTTACTGGGCAAATCATTTTAACACTTTAATTAATTAATGATACGCTACCTCTCCAGGGGGACGGCCCAAAAGGAGTCTGAAAGAAGAAAGAAAGAAAGAAAGAAAGAAAGAAAGAAAGAAAGAAAAAGCGCTTTATTTAAAAAAAAAACCCAGTGTACAATAATTCGTCCCACGCAGGGGACGTGCCTACGCGCTACAGCTATAACCTGTCGGTCGTCTGCCGGGTTGGCACGTCTAAAACTAAAACAAAACAGTTATTGGATTCCTTTAAAATAAAATTATAAATCTTTCCTTAAACTAACAATTATGGCCAATATTTTAAAGTTAAGAAATATAATACAATCCAACCAGTTTCTCTAGTTATATCGGTTTTTTCGGTTTTTTTTTGGAAGAGTACGATATTTAAATTTTTATGATATTTTTCCTCAATTGTTAAATTCTTGTATTAAAATCCACCTGTATTGCCAGGCGTTTTTTAAATAATTTACTAACGCTCGCCAATCCCTGCCATTTAAAAAACTAATATAATCCCGTTCAGAAAGGACTCTATTGTGTAAAAATGTCAATCTAAGATTACTTAAAATTGGACAAATAGCGATGAAATGAAATGTTGTTTCAATTTCACCCATATTACAAAGAGAACAGAACTTATTTCCCGTTGACCAAGGTTTACCATTCAAATAGAGCAGCTCTGCCCTAGCCTTAATTATCCAGGAAACGAAGCTGACATCGGCGTTATCAGTAAGGTAGCTTCTATCGCCAAGTTCAAGGCCAAGGTCGAGGCTGATCAGCTGACTGTGGTGAATGGACGTGCGTGCGCGCCCTATACACTCTCCTATCCATACGTCACTCAGCTTTTCCACCACCGTCAGACATCTCGATTTTACCGCCTCTGATCCAAAATCTACATCAACCCCTACCTTCTCACCTAGCATCTTCCACTGTCTGCACCAATCTAAGTTTTAGTTTATAATTTGTTTGGCTAGAATCAAAGGGAGTCTATTATCGGATAAATGTAGTACTTTTAATAGGTAATTTAAATTCGTAACCATATTATAAAAAAACAATTTTTTAAATCCACTTTCTAAATAAATCACATAGTTTGGCGTGTTAAAAGGCAACCGGAAGAGCCTCTTTAAAAACAATTTTTGAACGGATTCTAGGAATTCAGATTCGAAGCAACCCCATACCTGAGCCCCATAACTAACAATTGATTTTATGACGGAATTAAAACACATAATTTTAGATGATAAAGGCACAGATTTATTATTGATTAAGTTATTCCACACCGAGTTAATTGCTAATTTTGCTTGCCTCGCTTTATCTTTAAAATGTGATTGCCAAGATAACGTCGCTGTGAATAACACTCCGAGGTATTTATAGCTGTTTACTACTTCTACACGTTTCCCATTGAACCACCATTTATCTGACGAGGCCAATTTACCCCCATTTCTGAAAACGATTATTTTTGATTTTTCAAGATTAACTCTCAAATTCCATGTTTCACAGTAAGTTTCTAAATTTCTTATCATAAGTTGTAAGCAGGTGGACGTAGGCGCTAACAACACGACGTCGTCGGCATATAAAAGAATGTTTATCCTAGTCCCTCCAAAATTACAGCCGCCACCAAGTGCCTCAGGAAGATCATTAATAAATAAAGTGAACATTAAAGGACTCGCAGAACATCCTTGCCTAAGACCTGTCGAAGTTTCAAAATTTGCTGTCACACTGTCTCCACACCACACACCCGCTCTAGTACCATCATAATAGTTCTTAAAACTATTTAAAAATTTTGTTGAAACACCTATACAGGATAACTTAAACAGTAGCGACTTCCTATCAATAGTATCGAATGCTGCCGAGAAGTCAACAAAGAAAGCATATAGCTTACCTCCGGTCCTTGCCAGCCCTAGGCGCACAATCGCATTTAGGTTAAAGATATTGTCGATGGTTGAATAACCTCTCCTAAATCCCGCCTGAAACTCACTTATTAACTGCCTATCACTAGCCCAATTATTTAACCTTGAATCTAAAATGTTTATAAAAATCTTAGCTACACAGTTGATAAAGGACAACCCTCTATAATTTTTGACGTCATTAATGTTGCCTTTTTTATGTAAAGGAAAAATAATAGACTCCTTGAAAGTTTGTGGGACATTGCCACTCTCAAAAATACTATTATAAATATAAATAAGACTATTAAGTAATGCATCCGGTGCGTTTTTAAAAAACTCATACGGCACCCTGTCAATGCCAGGTGCTTTGCCATTTTTTACCCTTAACAACACAGCTTTTAATTCATCTAGTGAAATATTTGCATCGAGGTATTCGTCACAAACTACTGGCTGCGCATACGAAACAGTAGATACTAACAAGGGTGGATTTAATAAACTCTTAAAATGCTTCGTCCAATCCTGTGTCGCAATTTTACCAATTTGGTTTGAAATTTTACATTTAAAAGAATTTATTGCACTCCAAAACTGCTTACTGTTCGTTACTTGAGACACATTATCTATAATTTGATTGTAGTAAGATTTTTTCTTTTTTTTACAAAGTGCTTTAAATAATTTGATCACCTCCAAGTATTTTACTTTATCTAAATCTAAATTAGTTTTCCGAAACTTATTCAAGAGTTTGAATGAGCGCCTACGAGCTGACTGACACTCCTTATCGAACCAAGCCTTTTTACTGATAAGACATTTGTTCTTGGGTACAACTTGTGTTTAGTTCGCGTTGATTCAGTGATGCAGCCTATAATTGAATCGACATTCCTTTGTTCGTCGTCTCCTAATTGCACACTTAATAGTTTCTCGCCAATTACTTTACAATACCTCTCCTTATCATTATCTACCCACTTTAATCTAGGAAGCAAAAATATCTTATTACTCTCCTCCCTGTCCTCAATCTCATCCTCGGCTCTAGGAGCTGTTATCTCTAAACTAAGGTCAACAGGAAGGTGGTCAGATCCTACAAAACTTAACACATTTAAATCTTTGACAGCATGCAAACAATTGATTGACACTCCCACCAAATCTATGACAGAGCTTCCCATATGACCCACGAAAGTAAACTCCCCATTTTTATCTCCGTAAGTCCTCCCATTTAATACTATTAGACCCAGATTATCCATTAATTCTAGTACTTTACGACCTTTCTGATTTGTTATTAAGTCCTTTGAATACCTCTCAAAATTAACATTCTTTATTGCCTCCGGGATTACTTCATTAGGCAGGCTTTGTTCTCTTCCAATTCTCCCGTTTAAATCCCCTAACAATATTAAGTTTTTAAAATCATTATTGTACAAAAAAGTTGTGAGTTTCTCAAATTCACTATCCCAGTTCCCAAAATTTAGATAAACTGGGAGAAGCCTGATACAACCATCATCAATACTGTTACTATCTTTAATCTTAAAAATCTTATAGTTTTCGATTTCCAACACTTCAATTTTACTTAGTAGCTTAGATTTTAAATTAACTAAACAGAGCGACCCACCACTGCCTCTTCCAAAATGGGACGACCTTACTGCAAAATTAAAATGTACAATAAATCCTGCAAAGCTATTTACAATTAAATCTTTATCCTTTTCTAAAATAAATGTTTCTAGTAAAATTACAATATCATAATTATTAAGTAAACTAACAAAATGGCCATCACTAATCTTGTCCTTTAGGCCGCAAACATTATAAACTAAAATTTTCAGTTCTATACTCATACTGTTTATCCGGTCCTCTCCATGTTGTCGTGTCCGGGGATTGGCGATGATCTCCTAGCCGTTGTGGACGTCCTCGTTGTTGATGGAGTCGTTCTCCGTCCTCTGGCCTCCCCTCGCCGCTGCCTCTGCGTACGACCCTGGATCCGAAGCTGCAGCCTGGGGTGTCGGCGGTCGGTCTCCGCCCGGTCCTTTCTGTTTGAGTTCATCCAGGAATTCACTAAAGTCTCGTTTTAGCATAGTAGAAAGAACCTGACCACCGTCATCTTGACCAGCTCTTAATCTGCCTTCTTCCCACGTAAACCTCGTCTTTCCTATTGTGAGATGGTCAAAAACTAACGGCATACGGCGCCATCCACACAACCGCTCTACCTCTTTACGCACTGCCACAAGATGTGATCGCTTCTCTCTCACCTCCCGCGGGTAGTCCCTATGGATCACACATCCTGTACCTTTAAGGTAATATAACCGGCTCATTATATAGTCTATGCCCGCATCGTCGGGGATATGTGCGATTATTGCGTTTTTGTCTTTGCCCAGAGGGTGTGCTCGATTTATCCATATGTTGTCGCCACTACCTAACACGTCCATGCAGAACTGTTTCACTAAATGTTTGTAGTCCTTAGTTTGGGCTACACCCTTAAGTCCTTTAAAAATTAAATTATTACGCCTAGACCGGGCTTCTAAATCCACTAATTTCATCGCAGTTGCTTTTTCCTGTGCTCGCAGTTTACTAACCTCTTCTTTGAGTTTGTTATTACTTTCCTCAAGCACATTAATTCTAGCACAAAGATCTGAAAAGTCCTCCTTAGTAGCTAGTTTAGACTCTAATTTCGCTTCAAACACAGTCAACTTACTGTCTAATAGTTGGCCTAAGCCGTCCATGAGTTCGGCGCGAGTCCAGTCGCCTACCTTTTCACTTGACACAGGCATCGCACAAACCGCCGCAGTCTCGGGTGACGAATACGATCTTTGACGCTTCCTGTCACTTTGAGGGGTAAAAAATTGTTTGATAGTTTTTTCGGTCATCTATTCACTAAAGGCACTATGATGTAATATAAGTAACTCGATAATCACTCACGTCCGTTACCGTCCTGATGAGACTGGCGAGGCAAACCACGTTGGTCGTACACGAACCGCACCGGTCGGGAGTCTGAAGAAAATTTAAAGAATAAGCATATGTTGTTATGCACATCAAATTACAGTTCTTTGTTAGTAAAATTCAATGCCGCAAACCCGAACAAAAATGGAAGCCATTTTAAAATTTCTTGAATCAGCCATTTTGAATCTTTGAACGGCTGCCCTTTTTTACTCAGTTGTTCTTTGGATCTCAAATTTGCGGCATTGTATTTACCAAATAAAGACCTTTAATTTTATGCGTATTATCGACCTATGCTTACATTTATGATTTTCTTCTGACTTAGAGCGGACTTGTAGCGCCCCCCTGAGGAGGTAGCGTATAATAGCATTGCAAATTATATAAATCTTTGAATAGCTGTCATTTTTTTACTCGGTTCTCCGTTTGAGTTCAGATTTGTGTTATTGTATTTTACCAACAAAGACCTTTAATTTGATATGCATATCAACCTTTGCTTACATTTATGATTTTCTTCTGACTCCTAGCAGGTTGTCCCCCTGAGGAGGTAGCGTATCACTGAATAATGTGTTATAATTATTTTAATTCTCAGTAATGTTATGCCAATTTTGTAGCTCTATATTATTATTTGAAATATCTAACCGTCCCGAGACTTGGTTTTCCACCCTACAAATATGATACAACAGGAACAGACTATCAACAGAGGACGTGGTCTTCTGCCCTGAAGACTTGGGTTCAAACACTGCTATTCACCAATGGCATGACCCAGTTCTTCAGATTCCACCTAGTTTACCTATCCAGAACAGACAAGACACGTCTCCAAGGTGAGAAGAACTTTCTCTGTTTGAAAACTACCTCCACTAAAAGCCATACCGTATGATAATAATTATGTCTACTTGAACATACAAACTAGCTGAATATTGATAGTTTTATTTAATTTCCTGGAATGTATTTGCCATTCAATATTCATTTTTACAAGTTTGTCTTTAAAACATGTTAAAAATTGATTCCATAATCAACCCTAATGCTTAGAAAATTGCACTGTGTAAAATCATTAGATAATGTTAAAATTTGTGTTAAAAGATGGACATAGCCCTAAGCAGTATGCTTTACTTCCGAACAATATTATTTATAATTGGTGATTTGCTTGTTTAAAATCTTAATATTAACTGTAAATCCTAATAAAATATAAACATATTTGATACTTTGTGCCTTTTTCATCATTTATATAGTGGTTATTTTCCGATAAGTTGGTAAGTTATGCTGAAAAGCCATTTAAATTTTCATAAAAAAAATTTTTAGGTCTATGAAATCTAGTAAAAAATTTAAATTATGAAACATCTCTAGTCCCAAACATTTGCACATGTGATTTTAAATTATTGATATTGAAAATATTGAGTAGTGTTGGACAATGTCTTTTACTTTAAGTGTATGTATATCAATATAGGCTACTAGATTTTTGGTTTTTTAAGTTATGAACAATATGTATTGAGGTTACTGTTATTTTAAGTAAGAAGACGTTTTTAAAATAAACTAGACTTACACTGTGGGAGTCTGTGAAACTCTGTATATAGGCCTTCCACATGACGTAGGTGATTCTGAAACATAATTCCGTCACAGTCACAAATGTAGGCACATATAAAACACTGTTCATACCGATAAATGTTTAATGACTTACTTTTATATTGCTCAGTGGCAATTAAATCATAAATTAAACTACAATATAACTGTTTACATTGAAGTTTAAACTTATGGAATTAAATTCTATTAATGTGTTTGTTTGTTAACTTGAACCACTAAACTTTCATCTGGCTGACATAACTATAACAGCAAAGTATTGCCCAAGCTAAAACAGCAGTATAGTGGAACTACGGTTGTGTAACTCAATCTTCGACCATTGAGTATACACAAGGTTAATAGGGAATGGTTAATCTTTGCATCATTTGCAGTAAAAAAAAAAAAACTGCTGTGTAGTGTCTGGATTACAGTTGTGTATACACAAGATTTACACGCAATTGCAATTGTAATTATTTTCACTGATGGGACTCTAACTTGGAATTCCTGCCACTGAGAATTGTGGAGTTTCAAATGATTTGCTCATGGTTCCTTAAAATGTAAAGTTTTTGTAAACTAAATTTATTTTGAAGCTAATGTTATTTAAAGAGCTTGGTAACGCTCTTTAACCCTAAAGTTAAGTTAATCTGTGAAAGATACAAATCTATGGCGTAATTTAAATTATTTAACATTCTAATAGCTTGTTTATGTAGGGTTAAAGTTTGGTGATTACTGACAAGACATTTAGTTTGATCACTTCACAAGGGACAGAGACTGGTAAAGGACTCAAAGTAAAACAACCCCGCCGCAGCAAACCTGCTGACTAAGCAAATATCTATTTGTCTGAATTGATTTTTAATTAAATCTATTTAAATATCATCAGGTTTAACAAGTTTAGTACCTTGGTTTGCTGCTACAAGGAAACTAATAAAGTGTGGTTTTTATTAAAATATAAACAGCTTAGTATTAAATAAATAAATTTGCCTAGTTTGTTCAAAATATATCCATAAACAAGGAAACTACAACATTTTACAATATTCTCCATAACATGGGAATTTTAAATTTAAATTTTTTTGAATTTTCTCTGTTACCAATAACCGTACAAAACCCTTTGATATACTAAATTATTTGATTTTTTGAGCTCTTTCTAAAGAGAAATTGGGTCAAAAATGAGAAAAACCAATTTTTACCCCATAAAACCACTTAAAACCCCGTTCCCATGGTCCGATCATGCTGGTTCACGAGCTCAATCAAGTTTATTCCGCCTTACTCCTTTAAACCAAATTTCATCAAAATCGGACAAAAATTACTCGAGTTATCGCGTCCACGGACACATATATCACTCTACAGTAGACCCCCTCTTAACCGACCCTAACGGGACCGGACCTAGGTCGGATAACTCAAAACATCGGTTAAAACGGGTAATACCTAAAAACACAATAAAATTAAGTGATATTCATTTATTATTGTATAATCATTATTTTGAAGTAGTAGTTGCATTATTTATAAAATAAACTACACTAATCTCCTTTTTTCGTACAGTAATAAACAAAATAACACGGTTAAGTCAAATACTTTCAGTAAAATAAATTATAGTTGTAGGCAAGAATCAATGAAAACTGTTACATATTTTACTGTACTGTTATAACTTAAGTACGTTCTGTTAATTGATGCTTTCAAAATACAGTACAGTATATTGTAATACAGTACAGAGCTCTCTGCTCTTAGTCGAAATTAAAGATACAAGCTGTTTATTTATAGCCTCTCAATGGAAGCTCGAGTCACAAAAACAATCTTGACCTTGGACGAGGAGTCGTTAACCCTCCCCTGTTCCCGCCCCTACAAGTTGCGTTGTTTGTTTGTTTACTCTAGCGATAAGATAATTCTGGAATATATTACAAAAAATAGCAGCTGTTTTCAGACACGTTACGTAACTAGTAACACTATTTTTTTTACATACCAATTGTTCTTTGTACAGACGATCTCGCTGATTTGCTTTGGTTTGACACACTGAAGAGGATCCACCAGGAAACTTAATAAAAAACACCTTAAATGTTTCACACTCTATTACTGTATTGAATTGAAACACACACACTACTTTACAGTAATAAAAAAATACAATAAACGATTGATAAACTCCATTTTACTGTATTGAATTAAAACACACAAACTTAAAAGATGAAACAATATTTTCAATCATACAAATGATAAAAAAGAACAGTTTTAATCACTTAAGCTTACTTGAAAAAGTCAGTGATTTTTTTCTGTTTTTCATTGTCCAGTGTCTGCTTGAAGGCATAGTCTCGCCATTTTTTTATAAACATCACATCTGCAGCACTTGATACTTTTTGTTGTTCAATATAACTTGCAGCTAGAGTAAATGCCTTTCTTGCCTCGGAATGACTAATTTTGGATTCCTGATCTAAATCTTCGATTTCATCTTCTTCCTCCGCATTGTTATCTTGACGGGTGACTGCCGTAATGATTTCTTCGTCTGTCATCATATCGTTCCCCAGCTCGTCGTCAGCGTGAGCAAACCATTGTTCAACATCTTCTGCTTCTATGACGTAATCACCACCTGTCAATGTTTGAAGATCCTCCAATAATAATTGTTCACTTGGGTCGATCTCTTGTTGGCGAACTTCTGCTGATGGATTATCGTCCATGTTGTTTAGTACCGCTTCTTCTACTTCAGGCCACAGTTTTCTCCATGACTTTACGATTGTAGTGCTTTGAAGTTCTTCGTACGACTTAGCCACCATGTAAATCTCGTCCTTTACATTGATTATTTTTAAGACGTCAACAAGTCCTTTACTGTGAAATTCCATCCTGTTCAAAATTTCAGAAAGTAACTTCTTCTTGTATCGTCTCTTAAAACTCTCGATTACGCCTTGGTCCATTGGTTGGACAATGCTGGTAACGTTCGGAGGAAGAAAATAGCATTTTATTCCACTGTTTTCCTCGCTTTCGATGCCTTCTACATGACTGGTAGCATTGTCCAAAAGCAAAATTGCCTTTATTGGCATTTTCAGGCTAGTCAAATGTTTTTTCACGCTGGGAACAAACTCGTTGATAAACCAGTCCTTAAAAATATACTCGTCCATCCAAGCAGATCGCTGCGCTTTGTAACAAACTGGAAGAGCATTTACGTTTATGTTTTTGAAAGCTCTTGGCTTTTGATATTTGCCAATCACTAAGGGAGGTAGTTTGTGGGTTCCAGACGCATTAGAACATAGGGCAACTGTTACCCTCTCTTTGTTCATTTTGAAACCGGCAGCCGATTTTTCATTGCTGGCGGCGAATGTTTTATCCGGCAGACGTTTAAAATTCAATCCAGTTTCATCCATGTTATAAATTTGTTCTGGATGTAAACCCTCCTCCTCAATATACTCCTTGAATTTTGTAGAAAATTCACTAGCTCCAGTAGGATCCGCCGACAACTTTTCACCGCAAACAGATAAAAAGTGGACGCCATGTCTTTTTTTCCACCTGTCGAACCAGCCGTTACTGGCAGTGAAACTGCCGCCGTTTTCAATCTTAGAATGAAGCATGGTTGCTTTTTCCTTTAAAATCGGGCCACTTAATGGGGTTCCTTTGCGCCTTTCTTGTGTGAACCACAACCACAACGCGTCATCTACGAGATCATTTGTTGGTTTTTTTAATGTACGCCGAGTCGCCAATGCCGTGCCAGATTCTATTTGAGTACAGAAATCTTGTAAAGATTTCCTGTTACGACGCCAGTCTTTGACAGTTGTTATTCCAACACCCAGCTCGTCACTAATTTGTTTCACAGATGCACCTTTGTCAAGACGGTCCAATGCACTTAGTTTCTGTTCCACAGTAACAACGTTCCGTTTTTGTTTTACCGATGCCATTTTGTAGTTTGGAAATCCTAGTTTACTGTACTGTATTTGATAAAAACACTTTACTGTACTTTAAAACGACTATTTTTACATTTTAATTTAAACTGAAGCACGGTCCGATTAATATTAAATAAACTAAACCGCTAAACACACACTTCCACGCACTTTCCGATGTTACTGTATAACTTTCCGCACAGAGAAAAAATTAGACGTGCTCGCAAGACGAACGATGATGACAAACTGACAATACGCAATATTGTTTGGGATAGCTATAAAATACTTATTGTTAGTCACATCCTGTGGAGATAAGCGAATGTTCCCATAGCCCAGCGTGGGAGAGGAAATGCCGAAATTCCGAGAAAGCGGCGGTTAAACCGAGCTGCTCTCAAAGCAAGGTCGGTTAAAACAAACTGTAATATTTTACGATCAAGGGCGGATAATCCGATTATCGGTTAATGCGAGGTCGGTTAAGAGGGGGTCTACTGTATTTATAGCCTATATACAGAGTGGTAATAAAGCCCGAAGACAGTTAAATATTTTAAAAAATAATGTAAATAGAGCTACAATACTTGGTACAAAGTTACAGAGCATAAAACTTTATTTTAACACATATTCAGTGATCCAAAAACTCTTCAGGGGGACGGCCCACAAGGAGTCGGTCGAAAGTCTTAAATGGAAGCATAGGTCAATATGCACATCAAATGAAAGGTATTTTTTAGTAGAATACAATGCCACAAACCGCACTTCAAAAGGTTGATCCTGCGCAAAATGGCAGCCGTTCAAAAATTTCTTGAATCTGCCATTTTGTAGCTTTGAATGACTGCCATTTTTTACTCAGGCGTTCTTTAGAGCTTGAATTTACGGCATTAATAATCTACTAGTGAAGACCTTTAATTTGATGTGCATATCGACCTATGCTTACGTTGACAATTTTCTTCCGATTCCTAGGGGGCTGTGCCCCCTGAGGAGTAAGCGTATAATAGCAATGCAAATTAAATTAATCTTTGGTATTAACTTACCGAAGCCATTACTATTTGCTGCTGAACTGTGATCGAACTGGGAACAGCTATCTTCCGTTACAGGTGGAATGGCAGCCAATGTCGTCTCAGCAATCTTTTTTAATGATTGTTTGACCTGTTCACGTAACTGCTCTTCAATATCCTTTTGAGAATCACCTTTGCTCGGTTCAGTCTTGTTATTTTTATTCAGCCTGAAAATGTTTTGAATGTTAAATAGGATAACTAAATTGAATATTATGGTACAGTTTCATAGGATAAAAGTATTTAAACAACGGGTAATATTGATGAAGCCTCTGTTACGTTTACACCCTCCTTCTTCCAAACCTAGTATGATATTAATGTAGACTTTGTTACTAAAACTGAGGGATTTACTTCCAGCATGGAAATTTTACTATAATACTAGGCTATATGGTTGACAACTACTTTGATAAGTGTAGGTATCAAATTAATTTCACAATATTTTCATAATCAAAGAGCACTGAGACAATACACTTAAAAGTTAACTGGGTGCAATATTTAATTAACTAATCCTAAAGAGAACCATAGAAGATACATACGAGTCTGGGCCTGAGTGTTTTCCCCAAGCAATCAAAGATGATTTTTAGAGATTTCAGTATTTTAACATAATACTTGTTTCTTGATTTCTTAACTTGTTTGTAACTAATTTTTATTTAATGAAATTGAATGACTGATTAGATTTAATTTAATTATTTTTTTTTCATATGCATTATTTTTTAGCTTGTACATTTGGGATTTAAATAAGCTAGGTTCATGAGTGGCGCAACCTTTTAGTTTTGAAAGGGACTAAGGCCAACATATTCCTTAGACACAGCTGTTAATTAATAGCCAATACAGCCAAAGGCAACTACTTTAGTTCCTAGTAGTTCCTTCATTTTAAAACTTGATTCGAACAAGCTTGCAAGTTTTCAACTATGAAATTCAAGTTCACAACTTTTGCATCATTATCCTAAAATATTAAACACAATCTTGCAGTGAATGAATTAGTTTGTAAATTTCAAACCCAAATATAATCTCTGAAGCGTCTTGTAACTAAAACATTTAAGTTTTTTTTTACTTACACAGAGGTTTTGACTTGAGACAGAAATGACTTTGAGAAACTTGGCGACCCATTAGTAGATGAAGTAAGGCCAGATTCACCTTGCAATAAGACTTGACTATTTTCGTGTGAACCTAGAAAAATGTTTTATTATTCAAAGGTACATAAAATTCAGACTGTCGTTCAAGTAGATTTTCAAAATATCAATATCGATGTTCATTGATAACATTGAAGAGTAGAACACTGAAAAACAACGATTCTTTTGCAGTGTGACTGGTTATTGGATGCTAGGTAAGTTTTGCTAAAACTCTTTAGTTAAGGTGAAGTCAATAATAATGAGAAACATTTATTCAGAATAGGGATGTGAGGATTCTTGATACTTGGTATCGATATCAAGAATTGAACATCAAAGGTCGATTTGGAAACCGATACCTGTCACACACGTTTCGGTGACTGCGGGAGTCAATGTTGATGTCTACACGGCTGCAGGAGATGTTCATAATTTCGCCGCAATGGGGCAAGATGACGATCATGACAACGTCATGCCTAATTGAGGCAAAATCGGTAATTTATCGATCGCGCAAAGTTCGTATATGTGTCAGGTATCAGTATCGGGATCAACTTTTAAAGATCGATTCTGTGTCAAAATCAGTGTCTTAAGTATCCGTGGTATCGAGAATCAACACATCCCTAGTATAGGCTTATCCAACACAAGACACAAGACACAAGACTAACCAACACAAGTAGACTTCTAATCCTATTGTAAATTTTGAAGCTCCTTTTATAAGTCTAGTATATGTACGGTGACAATGGGCGCTAGTGTCAACGAAATTTTGTTTCTATTTGTTTAAGGTAAATTTCATGATTTGAGCTTTACTGTTTAGTTATATAAATTTGACAAATTTGACGCTATCTATCCGTAATAACGGTCAAAGATAAAGAAGACAAGTATCAAGTAAATAGGGGACGAGTTATTGTTTATGATTAGATCGTATTATTTGGTTAAACGTCTAAACGATATTTTAAATTACTGAAATAACAAGAAACAATTTGTAAACAAAACACAACTCTACAGAGCACCGTACAGAACTGACAATAAAATTTGCTTCAGCTGTTCTAAAGGATGAGAAATTTACCAAGGGAGTATGTTTTTTTATCCATGCTTATATATATATATATGCTACATATACACTTTGTAGTTTTCTCTATTATCTCAAAATATGTCCAAATCTTATATAAGATTGTTCAATAATTTAAAGTACAATAAAATATAACAACATTTACAGCCTGTAATAATTACCTATCAAAATAAGCTGTGTTTTTAACTTACCTAATGATTCAGTTTTGATTTTTTGTATCATTTCTTTTACTTTTTTCTTCCTTTCCTCTCGTTTCTTTTCAAGATTCACTGAAAAGGACAGTTTTTTATTAAATAAAAAGTATTGGAAGGTAAGTGGGAAACATTGTAGGGAGTGTTGTGTTTGTTTACAGAATTTAAAATACGTAAATAGGATAAAAGTTGATAGGATCCACAGCTAATTTGAGGGGTTGGGTAGTCATGCTCAAGTGGATACAGGTCGAGCATTGTTAAATATACACATTGGATCTGGCTAATTTTTGGGTCAGGCTCAAAATTACAATAGCCTATAAAAGTTTCAAGTATTTCTATGTGTTGGTAAAAAATTTGTTTTTTTAATATTTGACCTTGTAAAGATTACTTGAATTGTTGTTACAACCTTGAACATTTGACTTACTTCATTTTAGAAACAAAATTAAGCTATGTAAAATAATAAGGTATTTCATCTTTAAATTTTCAGTACCTACAAACATCTTTTCAACTATGATTGCAATAAGAAGAGCACTACATTACAACTATATTACATTGAAACTATATTACATGTAAAAAAATTAAACCTCCAAACTAATAGTACAAATATTCGACACTATAAATTATGGCATACTAGGCAGGTTGAACGACATAAATTAAAGTTTTTTGAGAAGAAATGTAGTTTCATTGGCATAAAATTCTTATTTAATTTACCTAAAGTTATAATAGAGGAAAAACGTTTTGACGTTTTTAAAAAAAGATTGAAAACTTATCTCCTTTCATTGTCTTTGTATTCTTTGGATGAATTTTGGAATTCAAGAGAAATCATAAATGATAGTTTAGAAAGATGATTTGATTTAATTTTGTTTTGTTTATTATTCTTAAGCTTAAAATTTGTTTTGAAAAGATAATGATTGTTTTAGCGATAAGTAAAGCATAATTCATCTTAATATTTATTTGACGCTATTCATTGTATAAAAACTTGTACTGTGAATGAATAAAGAGAATTTGAATTGAATTGAATTGAATTGAAGAGCAAGAGTTGTATACAGAATGTATTCATGATGGGTTAGCCTCTGGATCGAAAATTGCAATATAAAATGGTTTAAGTTACCTTTTGCGTCAAACGATCCGTGATGTAGTAGATAACTAGAGGTGTGCGGATATCCGAAAAATCGGGTCGGATTCGGTTCGGTTCGTCCGTACAGGGCCCAAATTCGATATCCGACACTATCCGTTATATATCCGACTTTTTCGGATAGACAATATATTTTGACGTTTTGGACAGAAAACTAAATCTCCATAGCCACCATTAGTTTCCCAGGACAAAATTACAGCAATACGTTTCCAACGACCTAACAGCAAACGGCAAAGAAGCCGTATGATGCAATACTGATAACTAGTTTAGTCGTTATCGGCTGTTTTGCTTTACGATTAGATTCGTCTGGAACGAACAGACATGAAGCAGAAAAGAACTACCATGGTCAAATGAAAGTCAACTCGTGCTTGTCTCGCTCCTGATACTAGGGGCGCTGCGTAATAGTTTTTTTTACAGTACTGTTTCAAAGTAGAAAAATCTAGCCTACTACTGTGATGTTACGTAAACAATAGATTTAATGTTTCCCGAAAAAATAGTCAGAATAGAAACAATAGAAAGGCAACACAATAGAAGGGTGGGAGGGGTTGGGCAATGACCTCGAAAGGAGTGCGGGTAGTGAGTCAAGTAGGACCGGAGGGGGAAGGGGTGGGTAAGACCTTGAAGCTATATATAGACTTGCACTACTTCCCTAAACCTAAAGGACTGGCCGGCGAGTGGTATTCCAATCACAGGACAAGATACGTTGTTTTTTGGGTATTCATTGCCCGGTTTGGCTTTGGATTGTCTTACTGTGTAGAAACTTTGAATAATAAAAAATAAAGTTAGAACTAGCCACGATTATTTAGCATTGATTGTGTACATATTAAATGATTAAACTATAGGGACCATGGATATATACAAACTTTTGTCGTGATTTTAATTTCAACATCAAATTACAATAATGCACAATCGTGATATTTTAGGTCATTGACCTTTATTATGCATCCGGTATTGCTGTTTCAGAAGAGAAGCACGTTGATAAATTATAAATTGATATTCCCGTAGTTAAAAAGAATTATTTTATAAACCTATAAAACAAAATCATAAAATCTTACATAAAGATAACAATAACGGAAATTGTAAAAAGGGTATATATAACAACGTCGTTATTCTTTCTCTTTGTTCTTCTATTTCTTGGGTTTCCCTTCATCACGCATTCAACAAGTAGCCATGGTTACTAATCACCCATGTCGTTATCAGCTTTTGTGACTTAGCGCACAGCAGGGGGGTAAAACTTGACGAAAATCGGTTAATTTTTACCTATTATTTAATTACCAATGAATGTACTACTTTATTGGTATTTGGTACTGTATTAATAATCGGTCAAAATGGCCGATTTTTGTCAAATTTTACACCAAATTTATTGAAATTTCAAGGTGAATATTAATAAAACAATTATTACCAAATATTTGTGTTAATTTAAAAGATTGATTTGTGGTATTGGGTTCCCCACTGAGTGCAGCCGAGCGGCACTAATGAGGGTCGGACCTTCTTGGGGGTGAACAATAGACGGCTTATCAGACCCTCCCTCCCCGTGGTCTGGAGAAAGCTTGTAAACAAACTATTGCACAAGCGTGACTTTGCAAGTTGACATTGGGCTGCTTCAACTATAATGTTGTCAAATGAACTGTGATGTTTCAAAATCAAAAACAATAATTTGGGACCATACTGCTTAACAATAATGGACTGCAATTATTGTTGAACATACAATCCATTTTTAACAAACTAAGATTACACGATTCAAATACAATTATAAAAATTATCTTGGTATTTTACTCGGGGTAATGAAGTTATGTAGGCTAGTGTAATTCTCGGTTCATCAAGGTTCTACTGAATTATGTTTGGCAGTGAATAAGTTTAGAATGCAACTTATAAATTCAGGGATACACACCTTTTACACAGTTATAAAGTCTAATTTAATTGCCCAACATCAAATCGTGAGCTAGAGCCCATCTTAGTGCATTAGTGATGTTTTCTAAACTTGGCAAACCCGCAAAATGCCACTTAAGGCCAATAATCCGTTCCAAAAACGTAAGGAAATACAATGTGAAAATAAACTTGAGATCGAACTCCTTGGCTTGTGAGAACCAGGAAACAAGATAAAACATAACCTCAAGTAAACAAGCCCAAACGTTTGACATCAGTCCTGCTGAGCTAAGGTGTTGTGTGAAGATTTCGGCTGCAAATGTACTTAATTCAAGCAACCAACTTTTGAAAATAAATGTTGTGAATTGTGATTTTCAAGAGAGAGAAAACTGTGGACTTGGCTAATTTGAAATTCTATAGTTCAAAATCGTCATTTAAGTTTATTTACACAGCTTTACATTGTTTTATAGGTTAAAAATACATATGCAGCTTATTATTAACCGCGCCGAACTATCCGAATCCGAAAATATCCGAATCCGAACCTCCCAATATCCGATCCGAACCGAGCCTCAACTATCCGATCCGAAATGAAATTTCACTATCTGCACACCTCTATAGATAACTACAGCTGTTTCGTGCCGCTGGGGCACATCTTCAGGTCGAGCGTTAAGATGATGAAGCTGTCATCCGTGGATGAGTTTGTCAAAATAAATAATTACACAAAATACACGGTACAAAAACAATTAAAAAACACATATTTACAAACTTGGCCAAGTGAAGAACACGCGATACAGGCGCCGGTGAATGTTGCCTCATGACTGCTGGCGTGTGTCCAAGCATCATCTGTTACCCCCTCCTCCTACTCCTTTATCAGGACCTGTTTTGTGTTGGTCTAATTGAATGGCAGTATTGTAAATAATGTTCAATCTGAATGAAATTTGTTCGTTTTGTATATGGTTAGGGTGTTCTTTGGATGCCTTGTAAATTTTGAATTCCTCTATTGTGTCCATATATCTGCCTTTGTTGCATAAATGCATAATTTCCAAATTACTATGTATATCTGTGTAGTTGTGGTTTGAGTTAATGATGTGGTTGGTGAATGCTGATTTCGAGTTCTTTTTGGGTAGATGTTCTTTAAATCTAGTAGAGAACGAGCGAGCAGTTTGGCCGATGTAGGAACTCGGGCAATCGTTGCATTTGAGTTTGTAAATGCCTGTGTTATTCACTTTATCAGAAGGAGTTTTTTTCCTTCCTCTGAGCAAGCAAGATAACCTGTTGGACGTTTTGTATGCAACTTGTACATTGTTCTTTAACACTTCTTTTCTCAAGGTGTTAATGAGTACTACTCCAAATTCAGCGGAGACATATTTTTTTGTTTCTGGGTTCTGGAATGTATTTTATTTTTTTTTCTGTTTTCTGATGAGTTTATCAATTAGTGAGCTTTCGTATCCGTTGGAAACTGCTATGTGTTTCAAAATATTTATTTCATTGTTGTAATTTTCTGTGGTAAGCGGTATGGATAGTAGTCTATGCACGAAGCTATTGTAAGCAGCTGTCTTGTGGTTGAAAGGATGGTGTGATGATGAATGAATGGTCTGGTCGGTTGTTGTGGGTTTTCTGTATATTTTAAATTCCAGGTTATGGTCGGCTCTTGTAATTGTTACGTCTAAGAAATTAATCGACTTGTTGGCTTCGGTTTTGAGAGTGAATTTTAATTTGTCGTGGACTTTATTTAGATAATTTCCAAGTATCTTGATTTGCCTTTCATTACCATTAAATAATTAAATATTTAATGGTAATGAAAGGCAAATCAAGATCAGAAGGAGCCATTATCTAAATAAAGTCCACCACAAATTAAAATGTGCCCCAGCGGCACGAAACAGCTGTAGTCATCTACTACATCACGGATCGTTTGAGGCAAAAGGTAACTTAAACCATTTTATATCAGAATGTATTGTTATATTGTTATTTGTTTTATCATATAAATCTTTCACCTTATATCATTGCATATAAGTTTATAAAAGCAAAACTCCAGATACAGTACTAATGTGGTCTTTACCATAGATATTAATAATGAAGTCCAGGAATTTCAAATCTAAAATATCAAGTCTAACCTTTATTTAATTAACTTAATCAATTATGAAACTATAATTTGATTTCTAAAAGTTTTACGCCAGAATTGCAGCAAAGTCAGGGTCACACACGACAATTGCAGCAGCTTTCATTATTTCCTCACAATTTTTCTGCAACATCCATGATCGTGTCACCATCATGATCATTTTCTGTGATTGAGATTTGCTTAGTAGACATGACAACATTGAAAGAGAATGCCAGTTAGTAATGAATGGATGCTCGAATTATAGTAGTTATCAATGGGTGTTTGAGAAAAATCAGTTTCTGATTTCCTGGTTAGTTAAGACGTCTTATTACGTGTTTAAACTTATGTATTTCTTAAATCTGCTTTACCCAGCAAGAAGTAAAATTTACATGATTATCAGATTGAAGTTGCGTACCAGTAGACTCCTAAACACAATCGTTGAAAGAGTTTACTTGATTCAAAATGCAAGTATGTCAACTTTTACAAATAATCAGTTACTAGATGGTATTTAAATCTATTTTACCTAGACAATCTACACAATGGAAAGTTGTAATTGAGATAAAACTAACCTTCTACACCAGAGTGCGAGTTAAGAAGCGAGTCCTCTGGAAGTGGGGGGAGATCATCACTATCATTTCTAACTTTTGTTACAGAGTCGGCATTTCCTCCGCCTTTCTCCTCCATTGCCTTCATTTTTTCTCTTATTCTCAATAGTGAATTTACATCAGATCTGTCATTCAAGGCCTTGAGTTTTTCCCTTTCTCGGTTATCCTTGTATTTGTCTGGAACTAAAAAAATCACTTTGAAACTTTTCAAACAAAAGCATATTTTTGACTTTTTAAATTTTACTGCTCAGTATATTGTTATAAAACAGTTGTCCATAAAACAGTGGTTAAAGCTATAATTTGTAAAACATAAGGTTGGATTTAAAGGACATTCCACTTGACTAATTTTTAAGTTTTTTAGATGGAAGTTCAGTTAGCGTTAGCATATTTGAGAATATGTCTGTCCAGGGTCTTAAATGTATACAACAAAGGCCACACAAAAGGCTACATTGAAGACATGACATTTACTATCTCAAAAGGTCTTACTCAGGGATGAAAATATAAGTGTTAAACTGTGATAATCTTTTTGTGTATCTTCTATTTTTAAACTGTTGTGACGTGGGACCTCAACATTACGCCGTCATGGGGACAGGTATGGATTGATACGTAAGCTGGCAGCCCTGGACTTGAGACTGGAGGGGGAGACCAAGACATTCTAGCCGAAGGATCAGTGAGGGTGTGGTGTCCTAGAAGCGACGACAGAGGATCACTGTCGACCTGCGTGGAGGGTAAGACGCAAGGGCAGGGATGTAGGGTAGGACCAGGCAACGTCAAGAGGATGAGAATTTACACGTAGGGCCTAGGGCGAGTGTGTTGTAAAGTAGGGAAGTTAGCATGTTTGCCACCAGAGAAGGAGAGCCCCCCCCCTGTCACTTAAGGTGGGTGTGCCACTATGTAGCCAGTCAACTATTTCTTATGTTATGACTAAGTTTGTATCCAAACAATTTTATTTGTTGAAAAATAATTATCTTATGTCAAATTTTGGGCACTTACATGAGGTTGATTTTGCTTTGTATTTTGGGTGATGTTTTCGCTCTCTGCTTTTCCTACTTGAATCACCAGATGATAATAATTTCCTGGAACTAAGGCGACTGCCATTTGGGGTGGTACTTTTCCTACTTCTATCAGTGGACCTAGTTCTTTTTTTGCTGCTTGAAGTTTTAGTTTTGTTAGGAGTTTTTACACTTTTTCTGCCACTGCTTAGAGTAGTTCCTGGGCTTACATGAGAGCTACCATCTGGAGTTGCATCGGTTCTTCTGCTGTTGTCTGATGCTAAAAATTTAAAAGATTGTTCAAACAATTTTAAAATACAAACTAAAAACAAAAAAATAACGATTTATTGGGCAAACAAGTTAAACATGTCCTTAAACGTAGTTATTATCATAGCTAGATTCCACGTGCAAAATTAACATTTATGTAATACTTTTAGATAAACCAAATTCATTCAACATTTAACAATTACATTAAACGACAGCACATTTAACGTGATCTTCAATCATCAGTAAATAATTTTAAGTTTTATCTCCCATGACAATAAATTTGTACCCATTGAAATATGAACTGTGATATGAATATTCAGTTGTAATATTTAATATTTTATCAACTTGTAAGCTATGTTGTCTCAAGGGAGTATAAAAAGCAAACTTCCCATCATAAGTACTTTTGGGATGGAATATTAGGTAGGAGAGTAGCGATATCTCAAAATCATGAATCTTGACTAGGCATGTCAAAAAGCCATTAGCCAAAAGTTGGATACAATATTTTGGTAAAATTAATTCATGGTCACTTGAGAAATAAATTGTAAATGTGCCAAATGTGTTAAAAATAAATGATAAACAGGATCTCAGAATTAAGATTGCTACTGATGATGTAATTAGTGAAATACTTACTTGAAATACTTGAGGTCTTCATCCTTGACCGACAATGTCGGATAGATTGCGTCAACTCATATGAGTTTGTCAATAAAAAACATATATTTACACTATTTACAATAGTAGTGATGTGTCAAAACCAAATATCAAATCTCAAAACCAACAAAACTTAAGATTCGATAGGAGAGTTTCGACGAGATTAAAAAGTTTTGAAATTGAAAATGTTAGCACTTTTATTTTTGAAACTGCTGAGATTTTTTGTGTCATTACATTATTATTGTTTTTAACACTGTTTACAAACAAGCTAGTAGCAATGGAGCAAACAGATCACCATTAACACTAATGAAACAAGTTAATTGTTTTCTAAACTGCAAAAGGCATCTTAAATACTGGAACTTACAATTCAGTTTTATATGAATATTTAATAGACACAAAGAAATTTTTATTGACCACTAAATGTTCTAATTATTATAATATCATTACAATGTCATATCATCTGATCATTAATTTTATATCAGGAGATTAATTTATTTTAATGTTAGTTGTTTATAAAAAAATTATGTTGTTTTGGGTTTGAAGTTTATCTGCCAATGTTATTACTAGCAGAGTACCCGTCCTTCGTACGGGGTTGGAATATAAGTATAAAATGCTTATTGCAGTTATACTCAAGCTTTGCGTTTGCAATAAGGGAGGACACAGTTTGATAAAATTTACTTTTTTAAATTTACAGTATTCTATAGTATTACACATCTACCATAGCCATAATGTTCTACCACTTCACCTAAACAATAGAGAAAAATAAATTATCAACAATTCGCAAAATACCACAAATTATTCATGAAATGAAAAACATAAACATAACTGTAAACAATCCTACTTTGACAGTTCTCATAGCGAATCGCAGTTTTTTGTTGCTGCTTAGTTCAAATTAGCTGTTTTCATAAATGCAAAAAAATATAGTGCTGCACCCTGTTGGTAAATCTTATAACTTTTTAATGCTTTTTCATATCATAGAACCAACTTTTTTAGTTGAAACAGCTGACTAAATTCTTTAATTCCCTTTAAATATGAATACTCATAAGGTTAACATGGGGAATTACAGAGCCACTGGGGCGGAGCCCGAAAGGATTTTTTAGATAAGAATATGCCTATATGTTAATCGGGAATGTAAGCTATCATCATGCCAAATTTCAGCCCAATCCGTCCAGTGGTTTATGCATGATTGAACTTCAAACACACAAACAAACAAACACACAAACTTTCACATTTATAATATTAGTAAGATTTCCGGATCAGGAGTCAATCTCTTTCAGTTTTGATCACATAATCATAATGAAAATGTTATCATTACCTGTATTTTTCGGGTAACTAAAAAGTTTCGCGTTTAGGTTTTGAGATTCGAGATTCGGGATTCAATTTTTTAAGTTTCGGTTTTGGTTTCGAGATTCGAAATTTCTGGTTTTGACCATCACTAGATGAAATGTTGCTTAGTTAGTACCTACCTCTATTTTTACTATTTTTTAAAAGGTCTACTAATAAATTATTTGAGTGGAGGAATTATGTTCTACAAAAGCCAGCAAGCAAACAAACGAGCCTACAAAAGCATAACAATGAGCAAAATAATTGTGAAATTTTAAATTTGTTGATGTGAATGTAGGCTCTCATGTGTGAAGAGGATACTTACTTTGTGGAGAGATAATAACAACCTCGACTGAGGAAGCAGAACCTGGAGATTGTTTACAATGTTTTAACAAATGTTCTTTCTCTTTTGAAGATTTTGTTGGGGTTTTTGGTCTTTCATCAGAAGCAACTGTAAATTTAAAGATCTAGTTCAATGGGGTAAAGTTGGGACACGAGTGGAGTATTTAGGAAATTTGTAGTGAATCAGCTGGGATCGTGGTTTAGAAATGTAATTGAATTGAAAGGGAGTATGGAAATAAATAGAAGACCAGGAGAGGAGGTTGGAAGTAAATAGAAGAAAATTAGGATGAAAGTATATAGAAGACAAAAAGAAAGGGAGATGGAACTAAATAGAACACAATAAGTTTTAAAATAATTATTGATAAGTCAATCATATTTGAATAACAGTCACAAAACTCTTTCAGGAGCCAAACTTAAATTACAAAGAGAACTTAACCACCATTGATCTCTTACATCATGTTAAATATGTCAACATAATAATTTAATTCCCCGATAATTCATTTTAGAGATATATGATTTTGACAGTTTGAACTAAGGAAAATGTTTATACAAGTTTCATGTAAGACATACAGTAGACTCCCCTTTATCTTAACCGGACATCGGTTTAACCGGCCTACACGTGGTGGAAATGACATCTCTTTAACAGGAAAATTTGTATCAGCATATCCGTTTAACCGGACTAGATCGGTAGGAAGGGTGGTACTGTACTTAAACAGCTGTTCTCGTGGGAAAGATTTGAGACCAGTGATCACGTGTCTAAATACAATGCTCTCCAAAATTTAAGTCAAATACTGTATACTGTATACTATATACTGTATACTGTATACTGTATACAGTATTCATTTAAAGAGTCCGTTTTTACGAGTTTTTGGGGACGTCGTTTTAACCGGAAAACTATTATCCGGACTGGCCTCGGTCCCGAGGAGTCCGGAGAAGAGGAAGTATACTGTATCCCAAAATTTTAATTGACCAAAAAAAGCCTGATGAAGAAAACTGTTAATGATTTGACAACTAACTTTTACTGGGTACTGAACATGGTACAAGTAAACTACTCTTACCTGTGCTGTTCTCCCCTTCACTGCACCTTTCTTTTCTACTGTCCTGAGGTGTTGGAACAATTTCTCCCTCCTCTACTCCATCTTCACCAGAGGATGATTCCTCCAGAGGAAAAGCACTAGCGTGTCCTAATCGCTCTGTTTCTTTCGGTTTCTTGATGGAGAAGCAAACTGGAGCTGTGTGAAAAAAAAAATTTAGTGAAATACTGACTTAAATAATACTGTTACTCGAAAACAAACAGACAACAGCACTCAAGTATTGAGTCAATTAGTCTTAAGTCCAATAGGGTTTCATTGGGCGCCTTCTGGGAACATCTACCGGTGCACTGGTGCAGATTAACCGGTGACTTATTCACCGATACCGCCCCGGGGCAAGAGTCTTGGTATCCCAGAACGGTTAGTCACCGGTTTACGGTACACATCAGATTATAATTTACACATCCACCTACTATTTACTTTTTAATATTTAAATCAAACAATCTTACACTCACAGAATAAATTATTTGAAAATTATTCACTTATAACGTAATATAACCCCCTCATAGAATAAATTATTCACTCATTACGTAATATAACCTATAAAACTGATTAACATTATTCGATGGACCCGCCATCTTGCCGTAGCTGCATACTGTTGTCCAAGAAACTGACCAATCAGAAGCCGCCGGTATATTATGCACCATACAATTTCTCTGGTGCATAAATCTTGCACCGATGGAGGAAAAAGAGAAAATAACTGTCTGCTAGGTTAACTCACTGGTCTCCCAGAACGACACATTTTTTGCACTGGTGCGGTACCGGTGCACCGGTACATGTTCCCAGAACGGCGCCCATTGTTTTACCAAGTAGGGACCAATTACAGGTCTAAATTCCTTACACCACATATTTGACATCGTTATTAACAGATTAAAAGTATGAACATGTACACTTATTCTGGGAGCATTAAGCAGCCTTTATTGCTTTGCAACATAAAATGGTTTAACCAAGTCTCAATAAAAATAAATAAAAATGTTATATGTATTTGCCATTTAACAAAGCATTTTTTTTACATATAAATTTTGCAATTATGATGCGGAAATATTTACTGAGTGGCTTTGTTGGTATTTTGGAAAGAAAATCCAGGAGGTAATTTTAATAGGCCTTTAACATTTCCATTAGAAACCTAACAGATGTAAATGCAATTGGATGCATGGAATAGCAAAATATTCTATGCGACCAATGAAACGCTATGGAGGTAAAAATAGGCATTGTGGCATTAATGTGCCAAGTTAATACATCAATAGGTAGGCCTTAATTTAATAATTCTGAGCTATTTATAAATCGGCTGGCTCTTTAGTCCATCCTAGAAGACTAAATTCTAAACAGAACCATCTAAAACTAATTTTAAAGCTATGTTTCGAAATGGAGACATTGGTTTTTAGTTTTTACCTTCAATTACTTACTATAACACCTCACATCGCATGAGCATCTGAAATCTGTAGTGGGATTTGGACACACATAGAACTGACAAAATCTGGCTACTGAGTACGCTCCTTTGGTGTATGCCTACAACACTTAAACTGCCAAGGCCACTGAACTGTTTTGATGTGAAAAGCGTGTAAATTAGGGATGTGTCGATTATTGCTACCATTTCTAGAATACATTCAAGAGGTCATGGTATTACCTCGAGCTCGGTCTGATAAAAAATCTGAGGCTGGCACACCTCTCGTTAAAATAAAATTTTCTTTTGATGATTCTTTGCAAAACTTCTTTACCTTTAATATGGTATCTATTTTATGTGTTAATAAGGGCTTACATGTTGATTGGTTAGTTATAATTTTCCATTTCTGATTTAAAAAACATTACTTAAAAGACACAACATCACTCCAAAATTACCTTGTGTAAGGCCATAAAGACAGGGGAAGGATTAGAACACCAATCTATATTGAAAGTTTGGTATTATTTGAGAAAAAGCGTTCGATCAATTTTGGTATCGACACATCACTAATGTAAATCTAAAATATTAATTTTTCCATGGATGATAACTTTAAAACTATACATGGTTTATACGGTAGTAAACAATATAATGAAACTAAATTACCCCAGAGATCAGGAAGGGGTCGAGGATCCATAGGAAGAGGATTCATAGGTGAAGGTTTTTCTTGTAGCAGCATTTCCATTGTTGATGAAGGTGATATTCCATCGCCATAGATGAGTTCAAGGGTGCAGTTCACATATATATTGGAGATGGGTCAGGATGGTCAGGAGAAGGTTAAGTGAAAGTGGAAGGATTTATTAGTACATTTTGTAATAAAATTAGTTCATTTGATATACAAACAGTGCTTAAGTAAACATAAAAATCACAGAAGAGATTTGTTCCTAAGTTGTTATGTATAAATCTGTTTAGCTGCCACTATATGGAATCTTATGTTATATATTTGTTAAATTTTAAATTCCAGTGTATTGCAGTGATGCGCTCTAAATTTAGATTAGGTTAACACGTTCAGTGCTGACTACATCAACTGATGTAGTGGTGCCACGAGCGCTCCTATACATACATTTAAATTATGGAAAAATACCAAGAACACTTTTATTTATCATTTGTAATTCTATCAAACTATACCAAGTTCAAAAAGATCAAATGAGAAATAGCTGAAATTTTACGATTTTTATTTTTTAGTTGTAAAACGGGGTAGAATAAGGCAGAAGCTAGTCAGGTTTGCCCACTTTACAACTAAAATTCGTAACATTTCAGCTATTTCTTATTTGATATTTTTGAACTTGTTATCGTTTGATAGATAATTTAAATGCTAAATAAAAGTGATGTTGGAATTTTTTCATAAAACCAGCCATTTTCGAGTAATTTAAGTTAACAAAATTTTAAATGGCAGCCATTTTGAAATTTTAAGTTGAATCGAGATGAAGTTTTACGGGTCTCTTCTACCTTAACAAACATACCAAGTTTCATAAAGATTGGTCAAAAATATTAAAAGATAAAAATGTTTATGTAAAAAATAGAAAATGGCGGATATCTGGTTAACGAAGCGATTTTGAATAAAATGTTATTCTTGATTTTCTATTTATTTTGACCCAAGGAATCACTAGGTAAAATATGTCTCCACCTTTTTTGAACACCCTGTATATCTAAAGCCGAGTTGTTAAAGTGCTCAATTCTAATAGGAAGGTTGATGGTTTAATCCTGAGAAAACAAAAGTGCTTTACAATTTTTAGCCATAAATAGCAAAGAAGCCAAAATCTGGAAACAAAATACTATAAAATATGAACAATAGCAATAACATTGGGGTAATTAAATGAAATAAAGATCATTTAAAAGTATATATTAAATATTTTCCGACTGTACAATAGGTTTTGTGAGTTATTGAGATTCTCTGGCACATCTCATTGGTAAAAATTTATATTTTAAGATAAAATAAACAGGTATTTTAATTTATGAATGGTTTTAACTTTAGTATATCCAAGCAAAGAGCAAAGATTTGAAGGCCCTTATGTCTGAAAAGTGAAGAAAACAAAACAAAAATGGCCAGATTGGTTGATGAAACAATTGCTATCAGAAATTGAATAAACTATTATTCATGGAGGAAGATTACATAAATTTTATGTTTCACAGATTTAAAAGTAAAAGTAGCAATAGCAATACAACATTATGATAGAGAACAGATTTAACCAGATATCAAGTGATAGGGTTATTTTCTTTTAAATAAAACAAAACATATTAGTTTGTGATACATAAGTAGTAGTAGGTTTATTTATTTTTTATTTTAAAAGTATTTTCAACACATCTATAGTCTGCAGCTAATCAATAGATGAAAGTAGCTCTGTTTTAAACTAAATATTTGCTATTGCTGTAATTCTTATTCTCACCTTGTTTACAGCTTGTCACCCATTAACTTTACTTTTAACTATCTTGCCTTGTATCATTAATTCTCTGCTGAGCTAACACCATAAATAATTCAATAAAACATAATTTTAAAAATGGTAGTTAACTTGTTAACTAAGTTTTATGATTTATAAATAAAATTGGTTATTACCTGGTTTGGAGTTTGGTTGACTTGGGACATCATACTGGCTGTAAGGGGCAGATGAATCTTCATCAACTACTGACGACACACCATCGGTAGACTCCTGTGTCAATAGCATTAAATTTAATACGATAATTAATAAGTAGGGTAGGCTAGGACTTGTGCTGGAGGTATTTATGTAAACACCGAGGCATTGAAGCCTTGCACTCAATTGCAGTTTAGTTAAATAAATAGGCCACTTGAAGTGGAAGGGAAAGGGGTCAATTGGCCAGAGCAAGGTTTGGCGAGTAGGTTACTGTCTTAGGGTTAGAACCTATACAGGAAGGTTTATATGGGGAATTTCTGATTGACAGAAATTGTTTTCAAAATCTCGTAAAATAGGCCTACATTTTTTTAATAAAAAGTGTAGTGCAACGACACAGACACACATTCATTTCAACCCTTCCCCAAGTACTTAATTATTGGTGTTTCTATAGTCTTGCAGGCTGTTTTAATCTAACAGATAAAGATCCCGGTGGTTGGAAATTAAAAGCATTAATGTTTGCTTTCAGTTAGTTGTGTATGGAATAGCTTTATATGGTGGTACCACAAAAAAAACCTGGACAAAATTCTCCGTCAACAGGCAAAATCTCTTAGAATTATCTTTAGTATAAAAAAAAAACAGAGAATCAGTAAACAAATATTTTTCTAAATTGGGTATAATGACCATCTATGATTTATACATTTTTGAAACTATTCTAGGCTACATGTAAAAAGTTCAGATTATCAAACTAAAAATTTCCACAGTTACAATTTACGAAAAAAACCAGTTTCATAGGCAAAAAATTGTATTTAGCCGACCCAAAAATATTTTCAATGAACATAATTACAGTAACTTTAAAAAACTACTGAAAAACTATTTGCAATCTAAATCATTATATTCAATAGAAGAGTTTTGGAATTTAAATGATTAGAAATATGTTATGTTAAAATTTATGTTCGTAATCTATTATTTAGGATACTTGTATACCTAACTTTTTTGTTTCTCTTTTCCTTTCTGTGACGCAATTCATGTATTTGCTGTTAAATTGTACACCATCACTTAGTAATGAACTAATGATCGAGTATGAATACATCTACCTTTCTTTATTTTAAGCGACTTGTAAAAACAATTAGTCTGGAATAATAAGCAATTACACTTATACGATGTAACTAAATATTATGTCTCTTTTTTTTAAACACTGGTCCGATCAGGATTTCATGTACAGAATAATAACACTGAGAATTTGTAAATAATAACTCACCTGGAATGAAGGAGGGTTCTTACTTAAGACTAAGTGATTTAAATCTTCCTCTGATGGCCTTTCAGGACCATAAGCATTGCCAAGGTTAAAACCGTTTTGTTCTTCGTTCTCAACTGTTTCCATTGAAGGGTTTGATAAATTGTATATGTTTTCCTTATATGTTTCTCGTAACTGTTGAACGTAGTAGTCATGATACTTATGACCAGGCTCCACAAACAAAAAGTTCTTAGGATCTGAAAAATAAATAAGCATGAAAAATTTGACAGATTAAGATTGGACGGTAGATAATCAGGATTTGGTTAAGTCATCATTGGTAACAGAGTAAAATAAACTTCAAACGGTTTTCTGAGAGAAATATTTCTAGATGGGGCCTTTGGATCTGCGATTTAAATAAAAAATGTTCTTTCCTTTGTTACATATAATCATACAGTAGAACTCCGATTATCCGAATCAATAGGGACCAGACCCCATTCGGATAATCAAAAATTCGGATAATCGGAGTTTTACTGGAATTCCGGGAATTTTAAAGAAAAATCCTCATTTTCGGTACTGAGTGAACTTTTAATTAATAATAATTTAAATCAGAACATTTTTACAGTTTACAATGCTCATAGTACAAGTGTTCTATACATGTTATTAAGTCAATAGTGTTCCATCAAAGTCCAAAATTGGCTAAATGTGTTTAATAACAATTTTTTGATATTTTGCAAAACTTATTACTGTAGCTTTACGTTTTTAAAATTGTTGAAATAAGCGATTCGGATAATTGGAGATTCGGTTAGTTGGAGTTCGTATAATTGGAGTTCTACTGTATTCCTTTATTAATTTTTATTGAAATTGATTTTGCTTAGCCTGAAATCACTCACTATCATTAAATAATCTACATTCACTGAGTAAAAGTTAATTTAAAATAAAATAAGACTAGAGATGGGTCTTCCGTCCATAAATATATTCATCCCTATTTCTACAAGGCAAAATGAAAATGAACCACAGTTAGTTTAGTTTTGCATCGATCATGAATTCAAACTCACACGAGAAAGAGATGACGAATTCCTTAATTTTCTCATTCCAGGCTTTCACATGTACTCCTGGCTCGAAGTAACTTAAATACTATTGATGAAGTGAATATCAATGAGAATACCAAAGCTATAACATTTCTATACGATATTGTTACCTTGTTTCATTAAGTCAGAAGCTATTTCTGATGGATGTAAATCTCTGGAGTAGGCAAAATTTATTAGTCGAGAGACAATCTCCTTGACATGCTGCGGCGGAACAGAAACTTGTTTCTGAAACATAAAGGGAACAAAAATAAATTTAAAACTAGGGATGGGCCGATTCCGATTCTCGATACCTCGATACCTTCAATACCAGTAGTGGTATCGAAGAATCGCCGATAAACAATACTTCGCTTCATTGTACTCGATACCGATTTTGAAAAGAAAAGTGAGGTTAATTATGATGCTAAACTCAACTGATGTTGAAGGTTGTAAAGAGTGGCACATCATAGTTTATTTGAAATACTCTGAAGTCAGCTAATATAAATAATTCCAAGTTCATTATCTCACATTCATAATAGTTTTATAATCCAAAATAGCTTGCCTTTGCATTCCACAACAATGACGTGTTCAACTGACAACTACTGGTAGAACAGAACTCTAGTTGAATGATAGAGGCTTATCACTTGCCGCTCTGTTGTCAGATCAAGGGCAATGTTGCCAGATGGTACAAACATTGAATACATAAATATAATACACATAAAGTGTATATGGTCAATGGTACTAGTATAACTCGTGTTTTCTAACTCGTGATAGGGTTTATGTACGTTTCATTAGCAGCTTAACCCTCGAGCGGGCACTTGCGGAGTTTTCCTCCGCACTTGTAGTTTTTGTTAATATAAATATGCATAATGGGTGTCGGCAGTCGTGTCTGGCTTTACACTTCACGCACCTCATCCTGGGAATGCTCCTAAGCTATTTTTACCCCCGAATTCCTCCTCATTTTGTTGTCAGTTGCAATTCAGTGACGCGGTGTCAGTTTGCGGAGGTTTACTCCGCGTGCGCCCTATCGCGTAAGTCCTTAGCGCAGAATTTATTTCCTCATGCGCTATTGTCAAACTGCGTGTAAATTTCATATATACAAAATTATAAACATGTTTAAATGTATTATTTCATTTATAATTATTATCAAATATATTTTGTTTGAATGTATGTATATGTATAATTGCATCATTGCGGAACAAAACTGCACACGCACCCTTTCTCGGAACATACCTTTATACTACAAAATTGCTCAATATGATTATTTGAAATATTACTCATATAAAGTTAAACGAATAATGTTATTAACAAGGAAATCAGGTTTCTGATTAGGTTATTCAACATTTACATATAATATTTTGTTATAGCAAAAAGTAAATCGGTAAAATTTATGCTATTTAGTGTTGCGGAATAAAACTCTGCATGCGCCCGCCCCTGTTCTACTTGTGTTTTAATGAGGTCAAATCCCGACCTATGGTTGACCGACGCTGGTTCTGAACCTCGACTTTGCGAAATTCCTGCAAACATAACCTCTATATAACGAACCTCATTTAAACAAAATCCTTGATATAACGAATATTCAGTTCGGTCCCTTCATATTCGTTATACTGAGGTTGGACTGTATTATAAAGTCAAGAAGTGGACATTTGGTTTTAAATATGAAGCCTACATATTAGAATATTCAAGAGGAAGCGATCGGTAGAGAACAATGAAGACGACCCTTGTACTTTGCCCTACGCTTCTGCAAAGACCTAGAAACGATCGGAGCGGCAGTTGAGTTCGAGACACAGGTACGCATAGACTCGCGTTTCTGCCTGTAGTCATTAACCCATTAATTTGTAAAGTTAAGTTAACTGCTTAAGTATATTTCGTTACCGTCAACTAAAAGTCCTAACAAAAATGTATATCTTCTTGATGTATCTTATTTTCCTTATAGGCTGACCTAATCTATGTAACCTTAATCAATATCAATGCAGTTATCTTATCGTTATCTTGTTGTTAAAGATTAAATCAAAATATCATACTCCTTTATTTATAGAGATAGCGAGAAGCACACATAAGCTATGTGTTATTAAATGAATTTTTTGCAGGTATCGGTATCGAGTGCGGAATCAAAAATTGAAACCAAAGTTGCAGAATTGGAATCTATATCAGAATCAACCAATTCAGGAATCGGCCCATCACTATTTAAAACAAAATAAAATAAATCCATAATTAGTGGAATGGCTTTTTAAATTAGGTACTTAATCTTTTAATCTGTGATGTGACAGAGTAGGGGTCTGTGGATCCACTATATTTTCTGGTCAGGTAGAATCATCGATGTATATAGCCAAACTGTATCACGCCCTGGCACAGGAAAACGGTGCAAAAACCGAACCGGCACTCAGAAGGCTCCCCACATCAACTGTGGGCACCAGAGCGACCCACAGCATTGAAGTAGTATTGTGACCTCCGACATATACTTAAAGACCGCTTTGTTAGCAAAACGTTTTGAATTAAAATTACTTCCTTTTAGTTTAATATCATATGTATTTCTCTCTTTACTACTAATATCAAAACTATTACAGGTTTGAGGAAAAGTCTGGAGACCCCCTATTAACTTTTTAATGGGTTACACCAGGAAAACCAAACTCTGCACACCTCTATATGGCATAAAAGTGCACTTTTTTCTTTTGTTGGTATCCCAATTTTGACCAAAAAACCAAAATTAGTTATTTTGGGGGCAACTCAAGAATTTTAAATGTAAAGCCCTATCAAGTGACACCGCATTTTAAAGGGCATTAGTTTAAAAGAATATCGGCGACAAACACTAGAGGTACCAATCTCAACCCATTACAGAGTGGCGGCCATTTTTAATTCTTCATCAGCCTGAGAGACCCCATGTAAATATATAGACCAATATCCCCTAATCACGTTTTTATGGGTTGTACAAGGGAAACTAAACTCATTATTACTGTAACAAGAAGAAGTAACTAAAAAAAAGTACTTTTGGTTGCTATGAAAATTTTGCCCAGGATCCCACAGGGGGCGGCTCAAATTTTTTAAATATAAAGCCCCATCAAGTGACACCTCATTGTGAAGGCAATCAGTTAAAAAGAATATTGGTGAAAACCAACTCAATCTAATACAAAATGGCAAATTTTTTTAGTTTCAGGCAGTAGTACATTTAACATTTTTGAGCTGCCCTAATATGCTTCATTTTGTTCCCAGGGGAAATTGTGATACCAACTAAAAAGTACACTGTTTATCTTATAAAGAGATAAGAATAGCAATTCTAGCTGTTTTATCACAATTTCTTCCCTAATGCTGGTAATATGTAATTAAATAGCCGATAAAAGTTACTTGGCACACAAAAATGGGATTATGATCGCCGTTCATAGTCCGACTGCACCGCTAGGCCCGTGGCCTGGTGGTACCAATGTACCAGTACCAACATTTGAATATTGGTTCTCAGTACTACTACTTTTTCTAAGAACCAGAGGTGCCGAGAATCGCCCTCAGGTACCAATACATCACTAATTACTATCACAAAAGGAGAGGGATAGGGTACAACGACCTACTTCAACAAACAACAATTGTAAAAGCTTCACTCAATCAAATCATTTAAGTTGAAACTGTGAAGGGAGATTCTGTATAAATAAATTATTCAAAGCTGATATTTCAGTTTCTACCTGAACTGAAGTTGTAGGTTGTGCCTGAATAGAGTGACGTTTACTACGCCGCCTCCTACGGAATGTTGGGCTGTCTCCAGAAGTGCTAGGTTCTTCTTTTTCTCCCATACTATCAGCTAGACTTTGCTGCATATTGCGGATCTTGTTGACCAACAAGTTGTAGGAACAGTCTGAGGAGGGCTTGTAGGCAATACTTGGTATACTTGGAGCCTAAAAGGATCAATACAAGACATTTCAGGAAAACAACTTATTTAATCTTTATTATAGAGTTTGCACAGAAATTAACTAATCCAATAACTATGACTATTCTACAAGAAGTCTATTCAACTTCAACAAACCTCTAAAAAAGGGGAAAATATGTCTATAAAAGGTATAAAATTACCTGAATAAAGTCCTCGAAACGCGTAATCCGTAAGGATTAACAGGATCACTCTGGCAGTACTCAGGTATTTTTATACCTTTTATAGTTTGTTCTGTGATCCAGAGACAAAACCACTCAAAATACGAAAATACTTTTATTTGACTGTTTCCGATACTATTTGCCATCGTGACTGAATTTGGAAAAAAGTGTTTTCTTGTAGTCAAAGCAAGTAAAAGCATTTTTCTCTATTTAAATAGGATTAGTTTAACGAGTACTTAGGTTTGCTGCAACAGGGAGGGTAAAAGGTTTTTTTTTGTTAATAGTTTAGAAATAAATAAATGCATTTTCCAAATTTGATCAAAATATGTTCATAACCAAGCAAACTACAACAGATTACGTATTCCCCGTAAGAATAACATGGGAATTTAAAATTTAAAATTATTTTTATATTTTCTCTGTAACCACTAGGCACATAATAACGCTTCAATACCAGGTCTTACCATGAGTACTACGGTAATAGCTCATTCCCTATATGGGAAATTCACTAAAAATCAAAAGGATTCGATCAATAACGTTGGCCGAAGCGTCTAAATAATAAACCATATTTCAATTACTACTAGCTGTTTGAAAAATGTCCGGCCGTTGTTTATGTCTGGTTATTTACCACATCCCATCAGCTATAGTTACGATTGGCACGTGTATAGCCTATGTGAGTTGTTTCAAATTTAATGTTCTTTAATGTAATTAATTAAGACACCCAATTAATTTCAGACTAATAGGACATAACTTATAGTTATAAAATAGATTGTTTAGGATGAAATAGTGTGAGTGACCTAGCTCATGAAAGTATTGTACAATAATTAAATGAAATTGTAGGCTTATATTGATTTAATTTTTTTTTTATTATTGGTCATTTTCAAGGTAAAACCCTATAGGCCTACAAATAACAATTATTGTTCATTATAACAATATAATAATTCAAACATGTAACAACATATCAAATAACTTCTTGATCAGCATTGTACGTGTTATTAAATTTACGGAAAGTAAATAAAGATACTTCTTATAACACTTAAAACACATATTTACGCTTATACTGTTACTCACAAGACGGTAAATATACAAAAGATGGTAAGTGGTGATCGATTTCGATTGGACACTCCAATCATCATCAGACCCAATAGGCGAATCTTTCAAATAGGCAACATTCGCCTATTGGGTCTGATGATGGTTGGAGTGTCCAATCGAAATCGATCACCACTTACCATCTTTTGTATATTTACCGTCTTGTGAGTAACAGAATAAGCGTAAATATATGGTTTAAGTGTTATAAGACGTATCTTTATTTACTTTGCGACAACATATCAGTAATATAAATAAAGGATACAAATACAGTATTCTATTATAAACAGACTTGGCCATATTGTTTTGTAAGGCTGAATGGCTCTGGTTGACTCTCAAAGACAAGAAATAATCTAAATAGGCAGAGCTAATATGCCAAGATCGAGATGTACGGCTCGATGTCGAAAGGTAATGAAATTCGCCACTGCCCCTGCATAGGTGCGAATTTGGGTCTTTGCTCTTTAGTAGTTGTGTGTTTACACAATGGCACACACAATGACTCAGGGGGTGCTACTCGCCCGTCCACACCACCTTCCCCCAAGGCCACACCCTCAAAACGGAACTACCCCTAGGGTGATGATGACACTTAAAGAATAATTATGATTTGAGAGTTTAAATTTGTGGGTTAAAGTAAAGTAGTTTCTAGCTAGGGGTCGGTATGTGCTTTTTTTTCTACGAATAATCTACAAAAGATTCTCATCAATTATCTCAATTATTCAATCCCAGGTTTGGGTTGAGTATACATTTTTTAATGTTCATAAAAATGGAACGAATCAAAGAAAGAGTAGATAAATCTATGTTGTGATTTTCACGTCAACAGTTGGACAGTGGGCTATATTAACACCATTCAACATAAAGAGAATAAAAATTAAATATAGGCCTAACTAATTTTTATATAAGCCAATTGTAGAATAAACTTTGAAAAAACAAATTTTGACTGATTTGTGTTATAAACAACAAACTAGTCTATTGTAAGAAGACAATCTGGTTTTTTCCTAATGATATTTGTTTTAAGTTCATCTTAGGCCTATTACAATCATTGGTTTTAGGCTAGTTGTTAAATATGTTTTTAAAATAAATTTTTTCCCACAGGATAAATATGACTGTTATTAAAATCACTCATTTATCCAACTGAGCTATTTGTTATATCTTGATCTTGTAATTATTTCAATAACCACATCTTGTAAAATGCAACCAATTTAATCGTATTAGGTGTCCTATTAACTTAGGTGTCCATTAAACTTGTAGGTGTCAATCTTGATCCTAAGTTAGTTTGGGATATTCATGTTACGAAGGTTTGTTCAAAGCTTTCCAAAGTTGTTCACATGTTGCGTCGCCTTAGATTTGGCCTACCTAGTCATTACTTAAGATCTTGTTATTTTGCTTTTTTTCATGGTGTTTTGCTATATGCTATTTTGTACTGGGGCAATAGTTCAAAAATAAGTGAAATTTTACTGATTCAGAAAAAGGATGTGAGGATTTTATTTAATGTAGACCCTGACGAGCACTGTAGGCCCTTGTTCAAACAAGCCAAGATTTTAACTGTGATAAAATGTATATATTTTTGTGTGTTTATGTTATGTTAAGAAGAATATAGATAACCTCACTTTTTCAAACCAAATCCACAACCATTTCACAAGATCTAGTCATCATGTTTATAGGCAACATTGTAGGTTAAGTAAAACCCTTAAGTCTTTCAATGTTTTTAGTAAATTTGAGAAAGTTTTGTCAGATTGGTTAGTGGAAAGAACCCAACGAGTTCTTGAAAAATACTATCAACGATTAAATGTTACCATTCTGTGTTCAGATCTAGGCCTATATATCTGTTTATTTTTAATTAGGCTAAGATATTTTAAATGTGACTTTGCCCATTGCATGTACATGTTTAACGGCAATAAACGATTCTTATTCTTATTTGGTTTAGGTTTGAGACAAGCATACTTACAGATTCAACAGTAGTGGATGAAGGAGCTAAACTAGGATGTAAATAATGTTCATCATTTTCTAGAGCGCTTTCATCTTCTGTAACAAAATCACAGTCTTAAAGTCAAATATTGCTTTAAATATGGACCATTTATAGAGAATGTTAAAACAAAACTATGTTATTTTTAGTGATGGGTGGATCCAAGAAAATGTTGGTACCGGATCCGGATCTTGAAAAATTTGGATCTGGATCCGAAGATACACAGATACACACTGCCATAAGGGCGGGTTAAACAAACGTAATTAACAGAATGTCAATTTAAATCATACTGTTTAATATGAAATTAGTAATGTTTAAAGGTTAATATATCTTATTGAGTAATCTCCAGTTGAGCCCATAATCCCTCATTTTTTGGGGACATTACAACTTTCCAAAATCTTAAAATGAAACTATAATGTGCTAAGTTTGCACGACCACCAAAAGGGTATCTGTGTATATTTTACTATAGTTCGATCTTGAGTATGCTATATCGTGGTTTTTGCATGCAGCATCCAATTCACCTCTTGTTAATCTCTTCCTTAAATTCGTTCCAGGTCCACAGTACTGATAGCCGTGTAAGTGAAGTTCTACTGGTAAAATACCCTGTGTCTGTGTTCAAGAAGATTATACTGTGTTCTAACATATTAGATGGGGGAGTCTTGACTTTTTATTCACCCTGTATGTACACAGAAAATCTTGTACACAGACACTGGGTATTTTACCTGTAGAATTTCACGTACCCTGTCAGTAGGCTACTGCGGACCTGGAACGAATTTAAGGAAGAGATAAGCAAGGGATGATCCAGGCATAAATAAATTGGATGCTGCACACAAAAACCACGATATAGCATACTCAAGATCGAAGGTAGGGATGTGTCGAATCCGGATCTCGAATCCACCGAATCTTAAGAAAAGATTCGGATTTGAGATTAATTTTTTTTATAATAGAATTATGAGGCATATACCACGATATATTGCCTAACCATAGAGGTTATTGACGTCGTTATATATTAAATGTGACATTGCCTGACCATAGAGGTTATTGACGTCGTAATATACAGTACTGTGACATTGACTACCATAGAGGTTATTGACGTCATAATATACAGTACTGTGACATTGACTAACCATAGAGGTTATTGTCGTGGTGGTGATTATAAGTGTTAAATGATTCCTATTCCATTCTTGCTTTTTTAATCGCCATAAGCCCGTTTGTAATTATTTTTGGGACTAGAGATTCAAAGATACCGTACGAGATTCTATTTTTTAGGATTCAGATTCAAGATTTGAAATTCCTGGATTCCACCATCACTAATCAAAGGATAGTAAAATTAGATCAGTGGCTGACAGCTTATTAGCTTGGGAAAGGGTAAAAGCTTCAGACTCTAGTATTGGTGAGAAAGCTGCCGCCTGGGCAGTTACTAACATAATGAAAACTAAAGCAAAACTTGGTGGGGGAAAAGGGAAGACTTCAAAAATATAAAAAAACAAATAAGAAAGAAAAAACCTGTTGGGAAAAGAAAAAAATCCTAAATATGCCTGCAAGAGGAAAAATAAAAGTGGTATGTGGCTCTATTTGAGACCTTATACGGGATCTGGTATTAAAAGTAGGCCTAAAAAAATGTACTCATAGGAAATGATTGAAAGACTTCCAGAAAAACCATTAAGTAGTTTGGATATAATAAAACTTGCTGCTGATTTAAAGTTGCCTTATTTTAGAGGAGTCTTCTTGTACACAGATAGTCATCTTGTACACAGACACAGATAGTCTTCTTGTACACAGTCACAGATAGTCTTGTTAGATACAGACAGCTTTGTGTTAGTAAAAAAATCTGGAAAAAATCTGTCTTGTACATGGATAAAGACAGCTTTGTGTTAGTAAAAAAATCTGGAAAAAATCTGTCTTGTACATAGATAAACAGCTTTGTGATAGTAAAAAAATCGGGAAAAATCAAAAAAATCGGATCCATCAAAACCAGATCCAGCCCAAGATCCTGAATTTTCAGCTCCAAGATCGTGTGATGGTTCTAGCTAGGATCTGGCGGATCCGGTAGTCCGATATCCGGATCCGACCATCACTAATTATAATAGTAATTAACTTTTTCTCCTTTTTTTACTATAGTAGTTGCCTCTGTTCTTGAGCACTAGTTTTATATTACTTTTAGGGGTCTGCGGTGCACCGAAAAAGTCGGTACGGTACGGTACAAGCTTAATTACCGTCATCGGTTCGGTACAGCATTTTACACGGTACAAATTCGGTTCGGTACAGCCTATTATAATAATAAATTACTTTCAGTTTACTATCGTAGTCAACGGCAGTTGGTTCCGAGCACATAAAAGTCTTATCAGATGTTTGTTTACGATCTTCATAATTTATAACTAGCATGATGATGCAATAAAAACCCCATTAGCAGTCCCAAATCCATTAACATTTTATCACGACAATAATTGTTGTATTGTAGTACTTCCAAGAACTGTTGAGTTTTATCACTTTTATTTTTTTACGACTTTCCCCAATTCTGTTTTATCATAAAAATAATAGTTTTATGATGACTGTTAAATGTTATCTCTAACTTAATCAGTATTTTCGTGAATATTGAATTTGCCGCTGGCCATTGCCTACTGCCATAAAACTGTTTATGGCTACATATTAAACTTGTAACAAATCTACAATCTTATTTTATAAATTAAATATTTGTTATGGATCTTTTATCTTTCTATTGACGACCATGGATATATACAAACTTTTGTCGTAATTTTAATTTCAACATCAAAATACAATATTGCACAATCGTGATATTTTAGGCCATTGACCTTTATTATGCATCCGGTATTGCTGTTTCAGAAGAGAAGCACGTTGATAAATTATAAATTGATATTCCCATAGTTAAAAAGAATTATTTTATAAACCTATAAAACAAAATCATAAAATCTTACATAAAGATAACAATAACGGAAATTGTAAAAAGGGTATAAAGATAACAACGTCATTCTTTCTCTTTGTTCTTCTATTTCTTGGGTTTCCCTTCATCACGCATTCAACAAGTTGCCATGGTTACTAATCACCCATGTCGTTATCAGCTTTTGTGACATAGCGCACAGCAGGGGGTAAAACTTGACGAAAATCGGTAAATTTTTACCTATTATTTAATTACCAATGAATGTACGGTACTACTTTATTGGTATTTGGTATTGTATTAATAATCGGTCCAAATGGCAGATTTTTGTCAAATTTTACACCAAATTTATTGAAATTTCAAGGTGAATATTAATAAAACAATTATTACCAAATATTTGTATTCATTTAAAAGATTGATTTGTGGTATTGGGTTCCCCACTGAGTGCAGCCGAGCGGCACTAATGAGGGTCGGACCTTCTTGGGGGTGAACAATAGACGGCTTATCAGACCCTCCCCTCCCCCGTGGTCTGGAGAAAGCATGTAAACAAACTATTGCACAAGCGTGCGTGACTTGACATTGAGCTGCTTCAACTATAGCCTAATTTTGTCAAATGAACTGTGATGTTTCAAAATCAAAAACAATAATTTGGGACCATACTGCTTAACAATAATGGACTGCAATTATTGTTGAACATACAATCCATTTTTAACAAACTAAGATTATACGATTCAAATACAATTATAAAAATTATCTTGGTATTTTACTTGGGGTAATGAAGTTATGTAGGTTAGTGTAATTCTCGGTTCATCAAGGTTCTACTGAATTATGTTTGGCAGTGAATAAGTGTAGAATGCAATTTATAAATTCAGGGATACACACCTTTTACACAGTTATAAAGTCTAATTGCCCAACATCAAATCTTACTCTGTGATAATCCAAATTTTAGTTTCAGAAAAAAACTTTGCAAGAATTGTATCCATCTTATAACTTAACTAGTTTTGAAGCTGATAAAAAAAATGGTCTTTGCCATTACTTCATCATAACCTCCAGTTTTTCATTGTCATCTGCTGTGAACAGCTGGCAAAACTACACTGTCTTCTACTGAATGCTTTTATATGTTTTTAAAATAAAAAAAAAAACAACTAGACATTGTGTTGGTTGGAAATAATTTATCAGTTTTGTGAAATTATCTTGTCAATAAATGTTTCAAACATGTTTATTCATAAAAACTCTCATCCTATTTTTAAACTACTTTATCATGGCTATTCAAAGTATCTCAGAGTAAAATAGGTAAAGCCTTTATCTCAACTGTGATTTTTCTTGACAAAATCCTCGTAGTAGTAAAAGGTTTTGTTTTAATAATATGTGGTACAGTAATTGTTGTTAGAAAACCATGAATGTAGGATACTATCCATTTTCATAGTAATGTCTATGTATTAAAGTTAAAAATAATGGTTTGGATACAGTTCTGAGAAGAAAACCGCAAAAATACGGGTAGCCGCGTACCGTACCGATTTTGTACCGAGAACCGAGGTACAAAATATTGTACCGTACCGAACCGTACCGACCTTAAATTTTCTGTAATTACTTTATGTACGTTTTACCATTTTCTTATGCTCTCACTGACACTCCCTATTGACTATTGTCTATATGTTTGCACACGTTTATCGTAGTCACGTTGATCGAGTAACGTGACTATAAAACATATTTCACTTTTAAAACTAATAACATTTTACAGATGATTCATATAATTGTTTAAAAGAGCCAGGTAATGTGAATATATTACAGTGACGAAGGACACAGAGTCATGTTGGCGGGAGATCTTTTTCCTCTGTTTCATTTCTCGGACTGGGGTAATGTTCACACAAGTTTGTACAAGATGTACGTAGGGTACAACCACTACTCATGAACAGAGACAACAACAAAATAAGGCAATAACTAATTTTAATAATATATTTCGAGTTCTTGAAACCTTGAATAGAACCAAAAATATTAAAACGTTATTAAGCTATGTAGATAGTAAAAATTGAATCTATGTAAAATGTTCTTGCTTGTACCCTCAAATTATAACCAACATAAACTGAGTCGATGGAGAATGTTTCAGAAACATCATTAAGACAACAAACAAAATAAGAATAGTTTATATTGATAACTCTTTTGGATAGTATTAATCATTCTTCGGGTTAAATACTAAAATTACAAAGATGTAAGTGTAAATCTTCATTCAAATGAGTAACAAAAAATCCTCAATTAAGTATATTTTTTAACTAGATACCAAAATAAGGTTTTAACTGTTTTTTTCATATACAGTTAGGCCATATATAATGTTGTAGATGATACAGAAACTAATTACTCAACTCTGAGGTTAAGGATATAGGCTAATATAGAGGACAAGGACCTAGGTTTTTAGGTTTTTTTTTTAAGGATAGCAGGCTTATCTGGATGGGAAAAAGTGTGAGTGGGAAGAAACACAAAACTTTACACTATATACAAAACATTAAAATATTTCACCGTCACTGATAGCATTTTCAACTAAGGAAGAGAAAGTTTTTCAGGCCTAACGGTGGCCAGGAAGTTATTGCAACAGTGTTGCCAATATATACATGGTATAATCTGTGGTTTACAGTGAACTTATATAAAGTGTAGGCCTATACAAGTCAACAATCTTAGCTAAATTACCTTGTTGGGTCATAAATGCTGGTTTGTAACGTCCTATTTTTATTTGACCAAGGATGAAATTGTAGTATGGGTTCAGAGGACTTCCGACGTGTAGAAAATTAAGTTTCTGGTTGTTGGCTTGTCTTGTTTTGATCAATATCTCTACTTGAGATCCATGGGATGCTATATGAGCGGCAGTTTTCTCTATTATTTGGTTTTCTTTAACTGTGGATGGCTGTAAAAGGAATAATAAGCAAGGTTATAAATCAATCCATAAAATACTGATAATTAATTAATAGGCCTATAGATTATGCATTTTGAGTAATATGGTCCAAACCATTGGCCTAGCCTTATACTGGCACTTGGTTTGACTCTACTCTATATACAAGCAATAACATTTCTGGTTGGGTCAGAAATAAATGTTAATAGCCCTCGATTTATAAATGTGATTTTGGTAATCTTTTCGCCCATTTATTTGAGATAGAATCCTCTGTATGGGTCGAACCATATATATACCGGTGATAAGTATATTTACAACAAAAAACTTTCTACAAATAAAAAATAAAAATTTTTAAAAAGGTAGGCCTATTAAGTTTTAAGCAATTTATTCTACAGAAAGCAATATAATGAAATATTGGGCACTATGTCAACTATTGACAACAAATACCTTACTTCTAATCTCAAGCTCAGTTAGTAATAGTAAACAAAGCAATAACAATATGGCGTAGATTCAAAAAGAGCAATTTTTGCCGAGAGAGGAAGAAGAAAGTGCAGTCAACTGTCCACCCGACAGTTCAATCGGTGATGAGTAGTTTTGGTTGGATAAGTCAACTGTTAATCGTTTGAAAAATACAAAACGATTGGGAAGTGAGTGACTCAATACTCAACTATTTTAAAAATAGCGCCCCAGTTCCAGTTGTATGCCAAATGATGACGGGAAGGGAGTGATGATGTAATAAGGTAAGCACCAATCAAGGATGAGACATTTAACTACCGGTACAGTATTACCAAAAAATTATAAAAGATAAAGAACTTCTTAATAACTGAGAGCTGTGAAATTTGACATTATTTTTAGATAGTATTAATTTGTGAAGGCTTGTGGTTTTAAATGCATACTTTTCATGATTAAAAATCAATTTCAGTTTTGAGATGAATTATTTTTTATATAAAGTGTATGCCTATTGGGGAGGGGAGAGGTTCTGCTTTGAGAGAATTCCCTCAAAATCAACGCCTAATAATCAGTTATTTGCATTTACCGCTGATTTTAAAATTGTAAATATTGTATTTCCTTACCAGTGTCATATCTGCAGGTATAAACAAAGTGGGGTTTGGTGTAAAAGGCTCCTCTTCTTCTGTGTTACTATCTGGCTCAGTGTTGGTAGGCGGGGGTTTGTCATTCTCATACTGATAAGCAACTTGCCCATACTCCTTGTCTGAACTGAGCGCTTGCTTTAGTCGTTTCAGTTCCTCTTCTGCAAAACACCAGATAAGAATATAAATCAGATAGGAAAATATACGTCGATTAACCAAAAACTTACCTTCGATTTACTTCGGATAGGTAGGTCAAGATGTCCAGGGACTGGACTGCACAGGTCCTAAGGGTGCAGTTCAAATACATGGCCAAAACTATACACAAATAATAATGTACTGTAATAAATTGTATTGTAAGTTAGTATTAATTAGACCTATAATATTATATAAGTTACTGCATTTAAGGCCAGCTTTTAGTGAAAGACCCTGTTTTGTAATACTTCATTGTAAATACAGCATATAGGTAACGTAAGTAAAGTATTTGCATAATATATGCATAATTGTTGGGCTCAGCACAGGCTGATTTCTGCACATTGACCCGAGCTAATGTAATAATATTTGCTTTTTTTAGTTCATGTCACAATATCTTACCTTGGTACATCTCTTGCTCCTCCTCATTATGGTGAAGGGCTCGATATCTTTCTTCATCACAAATCTGTTCAATTCGTCTTTCCTCTGCAGTTAAAACATAATCTTGATTTGTGGCTTCAAACTGAGAGACTTCACTCAAATGTCCTCTAGCATCATACCTAAAAAAAAGGTTAGTTACTAAATATCATAGGCTAAACATCATGTAGCTTAGTAAAGACCACCATTTATATTGGTGTTTTGTATACTTGAGGTATTCCTCTGTTGCTATTTGTCCTTTATTTTATTTTTCACCACACTAAACTGTTTTAATAGACTTTCCACGCACAAAATTAGTCAGGAAAACAGCTGTTTGCTGCCTGCTTAATCAAATAGGGTTTCATTAGGTACTACTGTACTGCAATTAGTTAAATGCTGACATCAGCTGTTATGATTGACAACAAATCGATGAATGACTAAATGGAAACAAAACCTCTCTTAGAAGTTGCTGAGTAGTGATTGTTAAGTCCTATAGTCAATGGGAATAAATAAATGAAATTAAATTAAATGAAAAATCATTCATAACGGATTAAATAACGGAATAAATAACAGATTTGTACAGTTTTTTCTTTTTTTATATTTTTTTATTAGGCTATTAGGTTAGTTTAGTTTTTTTTTTAGCCTATGGCAAAAATTATTGTACGTCACTCGTCAAAAATGTGTTAAACCATACTCGTCTGGTTAACACAGATTTCCCGGACCAGTACTCTAATATAGGCTACTATTACTGTACCATCTAGACTAAGCAACACAAGTAGACTCCTCATAGCCTACCATTGTAAATTTTGAAGCTTGTCATGTACGTCCACACTGATCGCTGGGGTGGACGAAATTTTGTTTCTATTATTTTAGGGTTATTTTCATGATTTGTGCTTTACTATTTGGTTAGGTCTATATAACTAGGAGACCAGTTATTGTTTATGATAAAACTAAATCATCAGTGTTTAAAATAATTGCAGTATATCATAATAGTCTTATAAGCTATTGGCCCAATGTCTTTTATGCCTACTCTTTTCTTAGACTTATGTTCAGTCAAAAAGAATGATGCGCCATTCACTGACTGACAGAATGCCATTTATGAGGCATTCATAGAATGGGATTGACCTAGAGGTCTAACTTACTTTGGTAAGTAAAAGTAAAATAAATTAAATCTAACATAAGTTACACCCAATCAGACCACATGATTAAATAGCAATAAATTAATTACAGTAATAATTTAATAAGTCAGGCTAGTAACAATTAGCCTACTTACGGTAAATCACATAGGCTAACTTAAAATATTTACAGTAATTACCTATTAATTATCATTTAGGCTATAAATATAGGCTCAAATCCAGTCAATAACTTGTTATCATTAACTTAACTTAACTTAATATCTTACGATACCGTAATGGAAAAAAGGAAACTAGATTAACTTAGCTAGGCCAATTGATTTATCCAATGGAGTCATAAGTTAGGCCTAAAAGTTAATAATGGTTTGAGGAACCTGGAAACCTATAGGCCTTGTACAATTTTATTTGACGAGGGAAAATACTAGTTTGTAAAATTAATACTGACCCTCCAGGTGGAGCATCAGTCTTTTCAACCATAGTGTACATAAACCTAGGAAATGAGCAACTTTTCCTGAGTTTGTAGACGCTTCGGTGGAAATTATCAATCTTGGACTGTATTATTACTGTAAAAAAAACCCTTTCTGAGGAGTAGCTGCAAAGGCCAAACCTCAGCCTGCTTTCTCCTTCCTGCAATTACCAAGATAGTGTGTTTCGGTCTTTTCCACCGACATGTGCCCCCTGGAGGGTTATCTTAAGTACATAGTCCCTAGCCTTAGTTTAAATTTTATCTATAGTAATGAGCTTTGGGATGTGAGAATATATATTTTAAGTCTCCAATCAAGGAACTGGCCCTGGCCTTACATCAACTTCAAAATGTAACTAGCCTAACCTAGGGCTATTGAGATCACTTTACTTACTTAGGCTAGGCTAGGCCAATCAGTTATTTTTATAAAAACAAAGTCTGATTACCTGTCAATTTTAAGTGTTTCGTCCCCCATCCATGGTATGAGGTGCTTTCCTTGATCCATCTCAAGTGCTTTTTCGTCATCCCTGAAGACTTTGCATGCATATCCAAAAACAAGAAGGTCAGTTTCGGCATCTGCCTTTTTACGCAAAATACCTGGATCATTCTGAATAATCCAACGTTTATCTTTACTCATTGTTACTCTAACTCACAACATAATCTGTCGGTAATTCTCTGCAGCATAGCCTCCTAAAAGTATCACTTAACCTAAATATAAATTCTACAGGCAACAACAATAATAGGGACTCTATTAATCTTGTTCTTTATCTGTTATGTTTGGACCTGCCCCCCCTGTCCAGTCCTGCAAGTGATCACTGATCTGACTTTTTTTTATCAAACGAACGAACGAGCCATTGGCCATTCCTTCCATTCTTCTTCTTCTTCTTTTCTAGGTTGCTTGTAAAGCTGGCTTAGTTTAACTAACCATGTAGCTACACTACTGCATCAGTACAATTTTCCTGGGCTTTTTTTTTAAATGATAGCAGGATGCTGGTCAGGAAATTTTTAATTTGAATGTCATTTTTATAGTTCAGGTTTCATTACATGTCAAAGTTTGATTTCTGTTTATTTTAAAAATGTCAGTAATGGTGGCCCTATTAGCTTGCAATTCTTTTCCATTAGCAGCTAACTTACTTACTTGAATACTTGTTGTCTTAATCTTTGACCGAAGTATCGGATAGATTGCGTCGTTATACTAATATTTACAAAATTATTATATACAAAACTTGCTTTACAAAGTATCATAAAACTTAAAACTTAGGCTGTGGTAAGCGTGTCTATTTCTCAACCTGGCATCAAAGGATCATTTGACAACTCGTCAAGACTACAGGGGCCTATTTGTGAGCAAGTTCTTCAGCTCGGACTTAAACGCTGTACCGTCAAGGTTCCTTAGGTGGTTTGGAAGGGAGTTGTAAATTTTGATAGCCGATCGGGGGTATCTCCTTAAGGTATGGCTCAAGCGGCAGCGAGGCATATCCAGGTCATGGGCCCTTCTTATTCCATACTCATGCCTATCACCTCGGGTCACAAAATCACTAAGGTTTTCCTTTAGCAAGACCAGACTATTAAGTACGTACTGGCTCACCACTGTGAGGATTCCCAATTCTTTGAAGATGGGTCGGCAATGTTCTCTTGGGCCTTTAGATGTTATCACCCTCACAGCTTTTTTTGTAGCAGAAGTATTTCATGGCATGCAGGAGAGTGTCCACAGAGCACTATTCCATACATCAAATGGCTATGAAATAAGGCATGGTATATGGTTATCAGATAGGTCTTAGTGATTTCATCTCGGAGTTTCCTTAGCAGATAGAGAAACTCTGGATAACCTAACGCATACCTTATCAATGTGGTTACACCAGTTTAGCCTAGAGTCCAGCCAAAACCCAATCAACTTCACAGCTTCCTCATGATTAGTCCTCGACTTGAGGGTGCACATCAATGATTGGGTCTTTTCTTCATTTATTTTGAAGCGATTAGCAACAAACCAGGACTTAGCCTCAAACAAGCAACTCGTCCGCTGTATCCCTCAACAGGTTAATGTCTTTCCCTCTGGTCACCAGGGTGGTGTCGGTGTCGTCTGCAAAGAGGCGGAGGGTGCAGCCGTTTAGCCAAAGGTCGTTGGCGTTTGGAGCGTTTGGACAGTTAGTGGTGAATTCAAATTTGCTGTTTTTAATTTTGAATAAAGGCATTGTCTCATCCTATTGTAGGCTGGGCACTCTGTAATTATGTTCTCTATTGTTTAAGTTGTCCTAGTTCACACTTGGTACAATATACGGAGATTCCCTCTTCTTCATTTGAAATAGCCTTTGTAGCATGAAGCATTGTATAGTAGGCCTAGATGACCAAATCTTTGTTTACATATTAGAGAAGTGTCAGTACGGCTTAGTCTGTAGTTACAAAACCTTGGCTTTTCTATTATCAAATTCTCTTGATTTGAGTATTTTGTATTTTATGTTTAATATTACGTTTTAAGTCTGACAGGGGTGTAAAGAAATGGTTGTCTATGTCTTGATTCGAATTAGCTGCAGTCATAGATAAACCCATTGACTAATAAAACATACTTCTTTTATCTATGCTGCAGTCTTAGCCAGTTTGTCAGCCTTTTCATTGTCAGGTATTCCTATGTGACTTGGTATCCACTGCACCACAATGGTCTTCAAGTTGAGTGATAAAAGCTGGTCTACAATCTCTAATTTTAACTGCTCGTTGCACTGTCCATCATCTATAGTTTTCTTGATTTTTTGTATGGCTTTTGGCTACCTGTGAGTCAGTGAATATAACCCATTTGTCTTTCTCTGAATATAAATTTTGTTCTAATGCTTTGTGTATAGCATATAGCTCTGCAGGCAGAATATACTATTGAAGTTTTGTGTGACAGTTTTATTGATTTTTTGTCTAGGTCAGTTTCAAAAAGATATAGCATTAATGTTTGTCATTTCTAGTGGTTTGGAGAAATTCTTCTGTCTGCTGGGGTTTGCCGTCGATTAAACAACAGTAATAAAAATATAAAAAAAAACAGTGTACTCCATAGTCCTTACACTTTTAAAAGTCAACGTCCCATCCCACTAGTTCGACAGTCCATTACCGCCAAGGCATTGACTTTCGATACCATAAGTAGGCTTCTTACAAGAAATATGTAAAATATGAATCATGTTTTAGTATGGATTAAATAAATGATCAGAAAGCATAGCGGGCATTGATATAGTGATAGTTTCTTTTCATTGGAGGTATATTTTACAACATTAAGCTGTGCTTTGGCTGTTCTGATAACAAAATTGTTTAATATAACAGGATGATCCTCATGCTCTGGTGAAAGTTTAATCATTATGGCTGTTTTCACAGTGCATTGAGTTATATTGCATTGCACTTTGGGCTAACAGCGTTGAAGCAAAATGAGTTTTTCTGTTACAAAAAAATAATTATTACAGTAGAATAATATGTAAAACCCATTTTAGAACATTAAAGGACACTTTTCATTAATCTTAAAGTTCCCACCCTCTTATAGAATCAGCTATAATGATATATGGGAATATCTTGAAGTCTTTATACGCAACCATGAAGTACATAATTACAAAACCAGGCAACTAATCCACATAAATTTGAATTGTCGCCGAACATCATTGGTAATTGTAATAGCCGGACCACATCACTTGGTAAAACGGAGGGCAGAGGCAGGTATAGAGTCTCTCCGCTCCGTGCGTACATTTCGTCGCAGTTAGTCTGGGCTTGCGGACACTTGTGTATACTAACCGTCCCCCACGCCAAAGCAATGAAGAGCCAAAGAGCCGTGTGGGCCTGATATTTTTGGAAATGAGCAATAAACATTCCCCTCTACCTACACCCCCCACCATAGCGCGGCCGCGTGCCCAGACTAGCTGCGACTACTGTACGTGTTTCCCGAATCCCGGTACCGGGGTTTTAGTAATGTTTGTTTATCGTGTTCGTAACAAATCTGCTGAGGGGACTTTAAAGGCCTCTGGGGCAGAGCCCCAAGGGAATTTACCTCGTTTCTCTTTTGATTGCTCATCTACAGACCAAGCCCTTTCTTTAGAGACCCCTACCAAGTTTCTACGCCCAGCTGTTCTTTGAAATTAGCTGTGACAAAAACCCGTTTTTCCCCCATAAGAATAACATAGGATGGGAATTTAAAGGCCACTGGGGCAGAACCCCAAGGGAATTTACAACATTTCTCTTTTAGTCTTTTGATGGCTCATCTACAGACCAAGCCCTTTCTTTAGGTTTAGACACCTCTACAGAGTTTCTACGCCCAGTCGTTCTCTCAAATTAGCTGTGACAAAAAAAAAACCGTTTCAAATTAATATTTAGATATTAAAAAAATTTGGTTTTTCTTTTCCGAGTTCGTTTGGCTCTTCTACCCGACCGATTTTCATGATTGAGGTCACAAATTGAAGGTATGCACGCACAGACTCGGCTGGATGCATTGCACGACGTCCAAGTGCCACGACGTCCAATAATATTTATTCAGTGCCACGACGTCCAAAACATAATTTTTGAGTTGTTGCACAACGTCCAATATAAATTATTTGACTGTTGCACGACGTCCAAGTGCCACGACGTCCAAAGCTTTTAGAAAGACTATATTTTTGGCAGTTACTGTACTTTTGGACGTCGTGGCACTTGGACGTCGTGCAACAGTCAAATAATTTATATTGGACGTCGTGCAACAACTCAAAAATTATGTTTTGGACGTCGTGGCACTGAATAATATCTTTGGACGTCGTGGCACTTGGACGTCGTGCAACACTCCCACTCGGCTTATACGTAAACAAAGTTTGCTCCCCATGTATTTCTTATGGGAGTTAAATTTGGTTTTTCTTTGCCGAGTTCGTTTGGCTTAATTAACCCAATAGTTAATTAATTCAATTATATTAACCACTACTAGACCATTCCAAATCATCCCCACTATATAGTGTTGTCAAGGCAATCGTGTGGTGTTCCGCAGTCAGTTTGTCGGTGTTCGGATTTAGCAGTGAAAAACTAGTTGTTTATATCTCTACATTGAGGTACCATACCTGTTGTGCAATTGTTACAATTTAAAGTTGAAACCGTGATTAAATACGGAGGATACATATTTTTAATTTGTGATGAAGCATGACTTCAATACACTTAAATTTGGTTAAATATAAAATTCAAGATTAACTGATTGAAGCTGCTCTTGTCATCTAATCTTGAATTGCATCTATATTTTTATATACAGTAATCAATCTTAACTAATAACAAATTCATAGTATGATCTGGGATCACTGTCTATTTTATGTATTTGATGGTGGTATATTTCAAATAATGTTTAATGATAAAACCATATCAAGTGCAACCATGGAAGTAGGTTGTTTCTTTCAGTGTGTTTATTTGTGGATTTTAAAAGTGTCATAATAACTCACTCACTCCACTCTCTAACTCACAAAAGAAACTAAAAATTTGGACCCAATATGAATCTTAGTGCTTATTAGCATACATTTTATCCATGTATCCTCACTACTTTCAGGATGGCAGAGATTTAAATTTGTCAAATTCCATAAAAAGCTGTCAGTTTTATCAAAATTAAATAAATAAAGAGCTCTTACAGATCTTAAAATTTAAGGTGTCATTTGGAGCATGAGTGTATTTAATATTGTTCATCACCCTTCATAAAGGTGTCATTTCGAGTATGATAATATTGAGCATTGTTCATTCATCATCATTCCCAAAGTTAGATAAAATTACAGGATGAGAAATTAGGGATGTAATAATTTAATGGCTACAATTTTGAAAGAAGCTTTTTTACAGAGATCGGTTTCTGAATTATGATGAGTGTCACTAAATGTTTATTTCTTAACATATTATTTTTGTAACTGACTGTTTGTAAATGTAGTTTGAGAGGTTGGGGAAAAATTACAAAGAGACAGATAAGTTAAGTTTTTTTATTATCAAAATTAACAAGAGAATACTATGTTGGTATCATAAAAATAGACTTTGCTATTATTAAATTCACAGGTACAACAAATTCAAGGAGTAACAAGTACAGGGTCCCCACACAGACTAGAAATGAAAATGAAATTCTCTGTTTGTTCTCTTTATAACCATATTTTCATGATTTTAGTGAAGTTGATAAAGATCAGGTGCTTAAGCCGGTTTCAGATTGCTAATAAATAGATGTTTTTTTATACCACCTGTATTGAAAGCTGTAAGGATTAAAAATCTGCACATCCCAATTTTAGAGATTTAACCAAAAAACTAACAGCTCAATCCAGGGTTTTAAAGGATTGACAAAATTCACGTACCATTCATGGTTTTATGGGTTTCTACGACCGAGTGGGTACCCAACAATGTGTAACAGTACTCCTCCAAAACTTAACTTAACTTTTCAACAATGTACAAGTTGTACAATATGCACATTCTTAATATAACTAGACATTACACAACTTCCTGACAAAAAGTAGTTGTGCTAATAGCTCTACTACTATAAGCTAATCGTAATTTGGTTAAGGTAACTTTATGTATGAGTAAAGGGAGAAGATAAAACATTGGAACTTTTTACTTAATATTAGCCTTTGAGAAATGTCAAAACTCATGTAGTTTTTTTTTTTTATCCCCTCATGTTGATGTGTCAAAACCAAAAGTCAAATTTAGAAACCACCAAAGCTTTGAAAAGTTTTGGTTTTGAGATTTGATCTGCCGAAATTGATCATGCTGAAATACCAACTACAATGCAGTCCCACAACTTTTTATAGTGTTAAAAAGTAACATTAGTGCATCAATGTGTTTTAATAAGGTGTTTTTTTTATTGAAATGTTCATAGCTTAGCTTAGTATGAAATAAACGAATTTGCAAAATTCAATCAAAATATATCCATAGAATTAAAAAGTTCTACAATTACCAAGATTTATTTTCTATGGTTTTTTTATAGGCACGTTTAGTAGTATATGTGTTTGTGACTGATGATTTTAGATTTAATTTTTGAAGTTTCAGTTTATAAATTTCTGGTTTTGGCCATCATTACACTCAAAAACTCAATCCATGTATTTTTTTTTTGTTTCTATTGGCGATATCATTGAAATAGCTATATAAAAGATAACATTAAATTTAATGGCAAAGAACAAACAAAAGGTAACACAAATTATGTTTTGATATCCGTATCTGATGAATAACTTAAAACTAGTATCACATCACATCAGTCTAAAGCTATGACTTAAATTAAAGGATATGTGATGTAAGTAATGGCCGCAAAGGACTGTTACAACTTTGATACCTTACATCAATGCTCAATTAAATTACAAACAAACATGAGAATACAAAGAACTGAGTTTAACAAAGAGAACAAACAAACACAAATGAAAGAATAGATACAGAAAAGTATCTAAAAAATCTTGAGGAAACAAAGAACAAGATTTAACTATGACATACAAACCAAAACTAAAGTAATTATAGATATACAAAAGTATCTAATATTTCTTGAGAATACATAGGACGAGGCAAACTATAAGAAAGAATGAGAAACAAATGTAACAATAGATACATAAAGGTACCTAAAATGTTTTGAGTATTTCATTAGCATCATGCTAAATTAAGCTCATTGCTTATAATGTCCACAGAATATAAAGTTACAGCTCATGTTTATTGACTAGCAGGTAAAGTTCGTAGTTTTGTTTTTGGAAGAATAACTTTCCATACTCAAAAGTTGATACCATTATAGCACAGGCTGGTGCCACCTTCAGAACTCTTGGTGTTAGTCCAGCAAAAATGCCAGAGAGACCGTTCACTCTGTAGATGTCTTTCATGATAGTGAACGTCGATCTCTTCATTCCTTAGAACAAACATTATAACATAAGATTAAAACACAAAAAAATAAATCAATAATTGTTAAACATCATTACACTAAAAATACCTATATTGTTTGCATTTTTTGACTTTTTAACGATTCTAAGAATATGGCATAAGTGGTGACTTTTTAACACTTATACTTGAGCCCTTGATAAAGATTTCCAAATGATTTTTTGGTAATTTTGAAAAATATAATTTTATTTTCAAATAAGTGATGTAAATACAATTATCTGTTTCCTAATCTATAAAATAAAAAATAAATAAAATAAATTATGTCAATGTTATAAGCAAGAGTGACCATTGGTTTGTGTTGTGAACAGCCTGAGTAAAACAGATTCACACAGATACGTCTTTTTAACCTTGTTAGAAATATACTATTCAAAACATGATGTCAATTTAAACCTAGATATTGAGTTTGTTAAAGTTTAAACAATGTAATGTGTCTGATCAACTAAATAACTAATAATTAAATTATAAAACCTACAAAAGATAAAATATTAAACCCATTTTACTTGTCCTCATAATATTTAAAACCGACTTAAAATATAGCCAAACAAATTAGACTGACCTTTTTTTGTTATCAACTCTTCGGCAAGAGCCACTTGTTGATGTGTTTTTACGACATCAAAAGGGGTGGTCACCAAGGCAGCAATCTGAATTATAAAAAATATCCAAGGCATTTTAAGATTGGTGCAATAGTAATATTACTTAAATACCTTTTAATATGTTTGTAAACATTTGATTACAGTATTGATATAGGCCTTTTATGTACTGTATTAAAGAAAATGTGTTTACATTTACACTATTAAGCCTTTAAGTTAAATAAGTCTACATTTATGTGGTGAGATACATTCAAAATCATTAATATGAGTTGAATATGAACTTTGAGATGGAAATAAGAAATAATGTTACTTATTCTAGTTAAATAAGAGTAATTCCATAGATAGCCACCGACTCACATAAATAATGAATCTGTGACAACTTTTTGTCATATTTCAGTTTTATAGATTGTTGGATTTACGTTATTTTCTGTTTTAAACAGATAAAATTACCTTAAAAGCTATATTACAGAAAATTTCCTTTAAGGTTTATTGTTGATTAAAGGTAGGTTTATGTTGTTACAGGCATTATGCTGTTAAAACTTGAGTTGCCCACCTCAACGAACTGTTGGAAATGTATGCAACAATCCTTTAAACAACACATAAAAGATAACATAATTTTTTCCTAAACACTCAATCACCCTTCAAATGTGAACAGTGAACATATGTTGTGTTTTAGGCCATGTCTTGTATGTTTACGAATAAGCAGTATTTACTTTTAGCATCATACATTCGGTAGGGTGGGATATAAATTTGACTATCATCCGTGATCGTAGCAATTTTGTAATTATCTCCCGCTGCCGCAATAGAATCTTGAACATCCCCAACAAAGGCAAAACATCATCATTGTATCTTGCAATCACAGAGAACTAAGGAGTATCAACATCATCATGTTCTCCTAGAATCTTGGAAAAAATTTTGGTTTTCAAGAAATTATCCAAAAAAAATAATTGGAATAATTGTAAATTTTTAATACACAAAGTTTGTTAGAGAAGCCTTATGATTTATATCCACTCAAAACTCAAGCCTTTTAATAACTCTGAAAAATAAGATAGGCCTAGTAAAGTGGTAATAATTTTTCAGTTTGAGGTGAAAAAAACCTATCTATGACTTTCCAACTGTGCTTTTGCTATTCTCTTAGTGCAATAAACCATTCAAATTATCACTTGACTGGTTATCTATTGACCTTTTAGAATTGGGGGTGTTCAAACAAATAAATTATTCAACCATAGTTTTGTAATCAAATGGCAGAAATGGATTTTAGAGTAGTATTCGTATTTAGTAGAAGTAATTAGGGTACAGAAAATAGTACTTACTGATCCTGCAAGGCTACCACCCAAGAAAGATGGGCCAAATGATCCCTGATGTTGTTGAGGATAGCTAGCGTTGATTGTTTCATATGTCGCCCAGTATATCCCTGTACAAAAACAGAATATTCACTATTGGGCTGTTTGGAATAAAACACTACTGTGTAGGTGGATTCACTAAATAAGCAGACAAAAATACCCCCCACTGCAAACCTAGCAATTTCCAATTGCCTGATTGGATTTTCACTCAAAAAATTACCTTACACATGTCCACCAACACTTCAATATACAAAATTATTTGGTTTTTTTATGGCTGTAATTAGAGGTGATGGTGAAATTTGAGTTTGGATCGGATAGATATGGCTTGGATTGGATTGGATGGTAATAGGTTCGGATTTGGATATTTTCGGATTCGGATAGTTCACTGTTATTTAATAAATTAATAGCAAAATTAATAAGCTAACGTCATCTTTATATATCGTAACATTAAACTAATATTATTGATCAGATCTAAATTACTTTACTGTATGGTGCATTAGATTTATTTACCTGGAAAGTGTTTTATATTTTGTTATGTCGGTAGACCACAAATGTTGCATTTACATCTTACATTTCTTCTTACATTCAATCAAGATCTCAGTTACGGTAGCCATTTTTCAAATAAAAATGCTAAATAAGTTTTAAGTCATTGATAATAGGCTTAGGCATATTGTAAAGTATGCTTAGTAGCCTACATACCTAACTTACAATCTCTTTCCAATATTTACTAAACTGTATTAAAAATACAAATGGTTTAAAATAGGCCTAGGCCTAGCCTACTTGTTTTTGTTTTCACTGTAGGCTAAGCAAGTGTAAATAAATGTCATAACAATGACATTAATATTGTGATAATTTGGGTAGGCCCTATTGTAAGGGAATACATACTGTAGACATAAATAAGTACATAGACATAGAATGACCAAGGGCCTAATTTATATTTTGTAGCATTTCAAGATTTATTTAAGTTATTTTAATATTTTTAGACGGTAAAAAACGTATGGAAAGTAAGGGCTTGGTTATGGATAACGAGGGTGTGACTTACACCATTGGGCCTAGCTATTTAAGTTAACTTAATCTGCAATCTGTTATCTATCTTTAGTGCTCCGGATCACAGAAATCATACTACTATTACCCAGAATGCTAACTGCGTGTTAAACAGTGTTAAGTACTCGGAGAGAACTTTGCCTGTCAATTCGAAGGCAGCGCCACCAGCATACAATGCACCAGCATAGCAATGCTGGTGGTGCTGCCTACGAATTGACAGGCAAAGCTCTCTCCGAGTACATAACACTATTTAACACGCGGTTAGCATTCTGGGTAATAGTAGTATGTTTTCTGTGTCCGGACACGTGAATTAAGTTGCAATGAATTGTTCTCACATTTAAAACATCGCATTTGACAAATTAAGGTTCAACAAATATAGCTTGAGAAATCAGAACCTTTATTGCCATTGATCAATCATACATTGAAATAGGCATAGTCAAATTAGGGCTAGATATTTACATTTTACTTAAGACCTACAGTAAGTTTTAACCTTTAGCACAAGTTTGCATTTAGCCTTTTCAATGTTGTCAAATTTTCTAAAACATTTCCATATTTCACTCCTCCTTTTCTTTGTTGATGTAGGCCTATCCATTTTGATTGAAAACTAAGCAATATTTCAATTCGGAAAATTCTCAGTCCCGGTTTGTTAGTTTGGATATGTCAATTGTTGATGTTATATTTTGACATATTTCAATGTCAAACCAAACCACTCCAGTTCTAGTTCCAATCCAAAACGCAATTTAGTTTATTGTTTTATCTGAAGCTGAAGAATAAACTACGGACATCAAATGAGTTATAGTTTTGTGTAAACAGCAACAGTCAGACAACCACTATTGCGGTATTTCACAGTTATATTACCAAACGGTGTCAATCCACTTACACTCCACAATCCATACAACCAAATAATTCCCACTCATTGGGTCAACCGGTCAAGAGAATGACGTTTTATCCCACTTTAACGTATCTAAAATCCTGGTTTATCCCGCTTGACTTTTTCTGGTTTATCCGATCCGGTGTTACCTTTTTGACATAATATGTTTAGAAAAGACTAATTTAATGACGCTTACATCTTGCAATAACACTGTCGTAAACAATTATCCAACCAATAATAAGTTTTTAATATGGAAATGGAAAGCAGCAAATTCCTATTCCCGTTTCTTGCTCAAAGTCTAAAATTCCCATTTTCGGGATATAAATACCACACATTGAAACACTGATCGAAACGGCACGAACATTATCAAAATTAGGGCCCACTGGCCCAGTCCAGATGTTGTGAATTGTGATGTTGAAGAGCTAAGAGACAAGCAAAGGAAAACATTACTAGTGGATTCAAGTGCCTGGCACGACAGTCGATCTTTTTAACAGTTTTAGCATTGTTGTATTATTATCTTGCAGTGGCACTTAAATAATGGCCGACTAGTGACATATGTAATGGCGTCATAACATAGCGCTCCTAGTAACACAGTAACAGGCAACTTACACAAATTGACCTCGGCTCGGTAGCTCTTTTCTGCTTTTTCTCTGTTCGTTTTAGATAAAGCAAATCGTAAAGTAAAAGCAAATGAATGAACAGCCGATAAACAACTGAATGAGATTTCGGTATTGCATCATATGGCTTTGTCTTCGAGCTCACGGATAATTTAGGCTAGACAAAATTAAAACTCAAGAAAGAAAATAACAAGGCACGAGATTAAAATTTAGTGTTTGGCGTTACTATACTTTGATTGATAATATTTATCATAACTGAACTCTTTTCAAATGTCTAATGTGTCTATAGTGAATTAAATTAACTGCCTTGTTCCCGATTGGTAGTAATGCGGTACTGTAGGATTCCATGCATCTCCAATAATTTAAATTGGTTACGAAAATGAATACAAATTGATATTGAGTCCACCATTCTACATTAGACGATAATATTTTTAATTAAAATAAAACTTTACAGCTACAGTAAATCATCTTTTTCTCAAATAACAGAACCGCAAATGCAAATATTAAATAATCAGAAATAATTCAAACAGAATTTAAAGAGCATGACTATTTCGTGCCATAATGAAGAAGAATGGTTTCCTGCTTCTATTTAGTTATAGAGGGGCGGTTGGATACCATAAAATCCGTGAAGGTACGATATTTTCGTGTCGGCAAGAAGCGGTTCCCTGCTTCCACTCTTTACGTCGATGTTAATGTGTGTCGGCCATCAATATATCGATGTTGTCGACTTCAAGCTGAGTGGTTCCATTGACTATCAGGGTTGGTACTAAATTGGGAAAACAAAATTTTCTGACTTTTCCTGGTTATCCAGACTGATATTATACTTTTTCCGCAAGTCGATATCGAACAATCAAAATCAAGAAATATGTAGAAAAATGTAAATATTTAACTTATTTAATCACTCCCAAATACAAAACTTGTTTCAAACTATGTACATATCGATTCCTCCCCCGCACCAATAAATAACTATTGATATAAAAATGTGCATCAGTGCTTATGTCGCTCTTTTTGCCATTAGTCATCACCCTGATAAAAACATGTTTAGGTGCAGAATGTACCATATTTGTAAAAAAGTAGTCTTTCAGGAGAAATTCCAGAATTTTTTCATAATTCCCTTACTTTTCCAGACCAACCGAATTCCCTGGCTTTTCCAGGTTTTTCCTGACCATACCAACCCTGATTATCCATCTCAACAGATTGCATCACGTTTTTTTCTCACTCACAAACACTATCGCTCACTACGAGGCGGGGTAGGCACGTCACACGCCTAAATATAGATCGGTCAGCTGGCAGCTGGAGGCAGATGTACATATTGAATAGGGATGGGATGATAGGATTGATAGGTCAACCATCAATGTTCATATTCGTATATCGATTGTAATTTCTGTTATTTTCCACGGCGACGATGACGATGTGAAGGTTTTAGTTTTGTGTCATAGACGATGACTCGAATCGACCGCTGTAACGTCAATGGGAACAAGTGTTGTTGAAATTATTATGTCGTGGGAAACTAATGATGATTTAAGTAGCCTTATGAACATTTTGACCTCAGTCTCAAATGTTATTATATACAGTCTATCCAGAAAGGTCAGATATTTAATGGATAGTGTCGGATATCAAATTTGGGCTCGGTTTGGTTACGGATATCCGAACCGAACCGAAACCTACCCGAAATTTTGGATATCCGCACACCTCTAGCTGTAATGAAAATTGGGCATTTTTCTGTTGAAGGGAAAAAACTTTAAAAACAACTTTTTGAACATTTCAAATACCCTATAAACCTTGGTTCTCATGATCCCCCCCCCCCCCCTACATCTTCAGCCAAATTGAATCAAAATCCAAAATTACCCAAGTTATCCCGTTCACAGACACACACATATGTACATGACAATTTGAAAGAATTGTTTTTTACCTCTGGGGACAAAAAAATTAAAAAGGTATATTGGTCCTCGGTCTAGGTCTTACCATTCCACCTACGGTAATAGCTATTTCCCTACAAAACTTGAAGCAACAAGTCCAAGATTTACATGGTAATAGGATAAAACTATTTGGTTGTGTTAATTCAAGTTTTTATGTAAATTTCTTTTTACCTGAAAAGGGCACATCCCGCAGTAGTGTAGGTGTAAGGCCTTTGAACAGACCTTTGACTCCATCCTTCTTTAACAGGTCCCCAAAAGTGTTCCGGATTTCTAGAAAGCAACAGAATTTAGTACACTCATATAGCATTTCAAATTCGTGCAATCATTCAGCTTTGTTACTAGTTTGTTCGTGCTGATTTTAAAATTATAGTGATTTTTTTTGTCCTAGGATGCCAGGCACGAGCCGTAATTGTTTTTCACATTACTTCAGGCTAGACTTAGGGGTTGCGGCATTACCACTTAGATAAAATCCATTGATTATCTGGCAGGATTTGAACCCGGGACCTCAAGGACCCAAGTTCCACGCTCTAACCACTAGATGTTGGAGGTCCTCGATCCAGTTGTGTGTTGATGTATGAGGTTCAGTCCATACTCCTGTACAGTGTGAAAGTGGAGGCAGACATGCTTAACGAGGAGGTATATTGTATGCAAATCACTCTTGTGCAGCATCTGCCTACTAAACAGTGTCTGAACCCACTGTCCTGTTGGTCGACAGTAGGAAGGAAGGCGATTAATCAGCTTTGTGAAGAGGACCAGGTTAAGTACAGAGGAGCGCATCTGACCAGAAGGCTGATTATACCTATAGCTATGATTGATATAACCAAGTAATCACCTAAATTTTGCATTGTACTTATTTTAACCAAGGCAACTAACTACAACTTATGTTTTTTATGTTAACTTATGTAATTAATTGTGTTAAAGATTCAAACTTACGTCTCCAGCTCAACTTTTGAGCCTGCATTCTAGTCCTCATCAGTTCAAGAGGGTTGACAATAGTCACAGCCCAAAATCGAGCGGTTCCCCCTGACAGCATCGGGATCCAGATGGGCTGATCTTCCCTCTTTACACACATGTAATCACACAGCCTGGTGCGAAGTTGTTCATACGTTACAAAGTACACAACAGTTGCTGGCAAAGCAAGTACAAGTGTTGGGCTCAGGCCAGCCCACAGAGATGTAACTCCTTCAGCACGAGAAATCTTCACTATGGCATCCTGTCAAAGACAATAATTATACTTTAGGGATGGACGAGATTGGATTTTTAGTTCGAGACGAGACGAGACGAGATTTTTTATTTCTCATAAAATTTCGAGACGAGATCGAGACGAGATTTCTCTTCTCATACACAACGGGAAATGCACGTTCGAAATTTTTACCTGATTTTGTAACATTGTTAGATGACTGTTTAAATACTAAAATAATAATAATAGGGAAGAATATTTACAATCTTTCATTAAATAACATCAGCATAACATTTTTTTATTAATCACGCCTAACTTATTAAAAATGCCTACGATTAGGAAACATGGTGATATCAGTTAGGATAGAGTTCAACTTATACTAAAATAAAATAAATCATAAAATAAAAGCAATATTAATTTTTATAAAATAGTTACTTGTTTTGACTTTTTTTATAGTAATAAAACATTCCTCACACTCCTTACACTTAACAAAACTTCTCAAATGTTATTAAAGTAATATTATCCAAATAATGAAAGTAATATTTACATTAAAAGAATTAAAGTAATATTTACATTAAAAGAATTAATTAAATAAGAACGCCTTCGAAAAGGAAACGCAACTACAACACGCTCCTGTATTGCGGGTATTGCATTGACTTTCTGCAGGCGTTTTTAATTTTTTTTTTTTTTTTTTTTTTTTTTTTTAATTCTCGTCTCGATAAAAATCTCGGCCAAAAAGTAATCTCGTCTCGTGTAACGAGATTGAAAATTTCCCGAAAATTTCCCGAAATTTCGAGACTTGACCATCCCTATTATACTTAAAGTAAAATCTTATCTTTTTAAATAAATAAGTTTTTTGTATTATTAAGGTATTTAATCCTTTTTTAACCCAGTACTAGATTATGTTTTCAACCTTCCAATTTAGTGAATAAAAGCTTTTTAATCTAACAAAAAATACTTTTGAAAAGCATTTACACGATAGGAAAATTTAGGTTTAACGAGTGTAGCCTGCTGCTACAGGGAAGGTTACAAAGTTTTTTTTTATTAAGTGTCAATAGCTTTAAATGAAAAAAGTTAAAAATAAGGTAAATTTAATGAAACAAATTTGATCAAAACATGTCCACTGACAAGCACACTACAACTTTTTAGTAACCCACATAAGAGTAACATTCATTTGATGTATGTCCAGTAAACAGTTTTTAGTAAATTTCCTGTTTAGCCAAGGGCAGGGGTCTCCAACCTACAGCCCGCGGGCCAGATGCGGCAACAGATTTTATCCGGCCCGCGAAGGCTTACTGGAAAATAATTACTTTTTATATAATTGGTATAAATCGATGATTGTCAAAGAGGCGGCAACACCCGCAAGTAAATTTTTCAGTCACAGTAATATCGTGATCGTCATTCACGGTAGCGGCAACACCCGCAAGTAAATGTTGCAGTCTCAGTGATAACGTGATCATCATTGGTGATCGTGGCAACTCGGCAATACCATAGTCGTCAATCACGGTAATGGCAACGTAAGTAAATGTTGCAGTTTCGGTAATAACGTGATCGTCATTCGCGACCGCGGCAACACTTGTAAGTATATTTTGCTGTTTTGGTAATAACGCAAATCGTCATTCACAATCGCGGCAACATCCGTAAGTAAATATTGCGGTTTCAGTGATAACACGATTGTCATTCGCAATGGTGGCAACACTCGTATACCCTTAGCAATATGGGAGTGCCCCTGAAGGCCAGGTAAAAAAGACATGTGTTTAAGGACACTCCCATACTGTTAAGGGTATATACTGCTGTCTTGTTATAACGCAAATCGTTATTCACAATCGCGGCAACGTCCGTAAGAAAATATTGCGGTTTTAGTGATAACACGATTGTCATTCGCGATCGCGGCAACACTCACGAGCATTTGTAGGGTCTCGGTGATACCGCGATTGTCTCCCGCGATCACGACTGCACTTTAAACATCTCTTGCGGTATCAGTAACATTTCTTTGATGGTATCCAGTGATTGTGACTTATTTTTGACAAAGTATGTGACAAACACGGTTTATATACCCATAAATAATTATGTCAGGTAGGTCAATTATTTTGTTTGGTATAAACACTATAAATTGCAAAAGCGTACAGAATTTTAGTTAGTCAAAATCGGTTTGGTCAAAATTTTAGTATGGTGAGTCAGTAGCTCAGTCGGTAGCGTCACAGACTTCGAGCCCAAGGCAGCGATGTCGTGGGTTCGGATCCTGGTCACTGCCACTAAAATTTATCAGTACAGTTCACCTTTGTACTGTAACGGCTCACCCCTTGCTTTGCTGGATACGTTCCACGCACAGATCTGTAGTCTATGTGGACGCCCAAATGCAAGGTTAAAAGAGGCCGCTAATCTCTTTTTAAAACAAAAAAAATGTTAAAAAGTAATAAAAAATCTGCAAGAAATGTAAAAACTTCATCAATGAGCTCAATGACCATTTAGAAAACTACCTCTTTGTGAGTTATTTTGAAGGGGCTACCTTTCTACACTGAAATAGCCCCGGTCCGCCTTTCCTCCAAAATTTGTCAATGTGGCCCTTGAGTATAAAAAGTTGGAGATCCCGGGGCTAGGAAATAAGAAATAAGCTATTACTGTAAGCCTCAAGGTAAGTCTCACCTAGACCTGGGACTACTTTAGTAATTTGTTTTTATGCAATTAGAGGGCTAAAACAACAACCGTTCAAATATTTATATCTAGCTACTGTATATATATTTTGAATTTTCTATTAGCATGTGAACTTGAGAAAAACCATCCGATTTTGATGAAATTCGTTACAAACGTGTAAACCGTTTAAACCAAACCTACGTTTATTAAAAAGAGTTTGCAAACCAACATGATCAGTCTATCACAACAGGGTTTCATAAGGTAAAAATTTGTTTTTCCCATTTTTGACCCTCAAAATATAAAATTTGGCAGTTTCTTTCTAAACCATTTTGAAGAGCTAAAAAAATTGATTTAACATATTGAAGCATCATTGTACATTTGATGGATATGGAGAGGATAAAAAAAACTATAAATTTTTAATCACCACTTAGAAGATATACCTTAGAGAATAAAAACTGTTGGCAGTTTAATTGGTTATGGACATTTTTTGATCAAATTTGGTTAAGGATTTTTCAAACCTAGCTTCAATGAAAGACGATTAATGAGGATCCTTGTAGCAGCTAACCTTGCTCCTCGTAGCAGCTTGACCTAAGTGCTCACTAAACCTTATGTTTTAAAAATATATATATATTTCAGTGAAAATCAGGCAAATAAAATCCCCTTAAATAGCGAGTTTTCTGTCGAGGGGGGAATTTTAACATTTTCTCTGTAACTTTCTATACTGTATTGTTTTTAAGTATCAGCAAAATGTGACAGCAACACCACTAACACTTATAGTGGCCGTACAGTCTCTTACCACTGATTCAAAGTAACTTATTCCTTATTGGCCAGACTTAGTTTTAAAATGGATTTCAAAGGGTATACTTGGACCCTATTTTCTAGTAAATTAAACTAATTCCATAGCCTGGCCGAATAATAATAATAATAGCAATGTTAAATAATTAATTTTTCTGCTCATAGCCTCTAAATGACCTATATTAGCTCATCTATCATAAACAGGTATTGAATTATGAAAACAGGAGATTGCTAATAACCATAGTGTAAAATTTGTCAAACTCTTACCAGAGTTCCGTTGAAATTGCCAGGCCTGTTGTACCACTTATTTCCCGCTCTCTCACAAGGACACCAATGATCCATCAGACCGTTGCAATAGTACAAGACACACGGCTTGTTTTCAGTAATTCTAAACTTTGTATACTTCTGAGTTTGCAATCTTATCTTGACAACGTCTAGAGGAGTCACTAGAAAATAAATAAATTATAAAAATAAGTTGATATTCTATTTACAGTAATAATACTTAATTTGTTAGATAATATTCCAAATTTGACTTAGACAATATGACAATCATGAGGAATACCAAATCGTTTTTGCTGATGGTAAAAATATTAAGCTACAAAATGTTTAACTGTAAATAATAATTTTTAAATCAAATCAAACATTAATGTAGCCCGAAATGGCTCAAATATAGGCTTTACATATAGCTCTTTAAAGATCTCTTCAAACATTAACGTAATAAAATAAACAAGTTGGATAGAGTTTTTTGTTTATTTTGTGTATTATTTACACACCAAGAGAGATTTTAAAATTATTAACTCTTGATTCCGTATTTTAATTTAAATGACAAGGTCCCATGAGAATCAATGTTACTGACTTATCAAGGACGTGGCCAAAGCTCCTGTTGTGGAGGCGGCCATTTGCTGATACGGCGTGATTCGGAACCTTGGGTCGCTGATTGACAGCTCCTTATTATCTGACAATACTAGAGTCTTATTATCTGACATTACTGGAGTTTTCTCTGCAACTGAGGATGGCCTGAAACAACATGTTATAAGATAAAACAATTTAAATAAATAATTTTAAAATTAGTTCACAGAAGAACAATCAAATTTTCCACGGTTGCATGATGGAAGCGTCAAGTACAATATTTAAAATTGTATTGCAACCAATAGCAGAGCCACAAGATGATGTACCTACTTTGTTGAAGTGTCTAGGAAGTTCTACACAAGATAGTTCAAAAAGATTTCATTGTTCAACAAGAGCTCAGCAGGTTGCAGAACAGCATAGCAACATACAGATGGATCCTGCTAATGTACTGTGTTGAAGTGTCTAGGAAGTTCAACAAGAGCTCAACAGGTAGCAGAACAGCATAGCAACAAACAGATGGGTCCTGCTGATGTACTGTGTTGAAGTGTCTAGGAAGTTCAACAAGAGCTCAACAGGTATCAGAACAGCATAGCAACAAACAGATGGGTCCTGCTGATGTACTGTGTTGAAGTGTCGAGAATCAGAATCAGAATTGTTTATTGCCATATTAATAGAAAAATGTGCAGGGCAAAAGTCACTTAAACTCAACAAATTAAATTAGATTCATTAAAATAAAGATGCAAAGACAATAATAGGTTTTTTACATACCTCAGTCCAATAGTCCAAAAAATATTGCTCAACAGCTTACATGTTTCGTTGCAAAGACAACATTTTCAAAGCTTGCAACTCGTCAAAAACACATTTAAAACACGGACACGAACACAGAAAACATTAATACGGTACGAATACACGATAAACATTTAGATAGCGCTATCATGATACTGATTTGGTCCCGGCGCGGGGCTGGTAGCAGACTCAATTCAGTATCATGATAGCGCTATCTAAATGTTTATCGTGTATTCGTACCGTATTAATGTTTTCTGTGTTCGTGTCCGTGTTTTAAATGTGTTTTTGACGAGTTGCAAGGTTTGAAAATGTTGTCTTCGCAACAAAACATGTAAGCTGATCAGCAATATTTTTGGACTATTTGACTGAGGTATGTAAAAAAACCTATTATTGTCTTAACAATATAGTCCATTGGCCGAAAACATGAATTTTGATTAAATATACAAACTTCAAGAGGTACATACTATTTACATTTTAAAACAAAGAAACACTGTAAAATTTCCTTATCCACTAAATATTTCCTTAAACCTAGAAAGTTCAACAAGAGCTTAACAGGTAGCAGAACAGCATAGCAACAAACAGATGGATCCTACTAATGTACTGAGTTAAAGTGTCTAGAAAGTTCTAAAAAAGTGAATTATTTTGCAAATTTTGTAACTTTCAAAGTATTACAACTACTAGACTATCCATTATCAATAGATACAGTTATTAAATAATTATAGTACCCCTTGGATGATAGCAAGTTCAACAAATTTCTTATTCTGAGATAAATTTTACAAAGTGTAGCACTTCCATTATAATGCCATGAGACAGTAACAATTTTGCAAATAGATGTTTATATTTTGAGGTATTTAAAGACAGTAGAATTACCTGTTTTTATATACCTAGATTGATAGTATAAAGATCATCTAATTAACAGTGTTTTTTAATTCATAGGCCTACTAAAGATAACATACACACGCAAAAGGTAGGCTATATATTATAAACTTACCTCAAGATTTCTAGGATTCGTAAATTTGCAGAATCACTAACTGAAAGATCTTTACTACCTGACATCTTAGATTTTCTCTGTCCTACTAGGAAAGACCTGAAACAACATTTTACATTCTCATAAAACTAAACCTAATCATCATTGTAATAAACACATTCACTATGGTAGTACGATAATGCAAAGAAACAGCTGGGTGACAGCAAGTAGTACACCATTTTGTTATACATGCCACAGCATGTCAATGTACTGTATTGAAATGACTGGGAACATAGTTGTACAAAAGCTCAATAGGTGGCAGAACAGCCGGACTACAAACAGATGGGTCCTGCTGGATCTCAGTGGCACCCAAGCATGATCCATCCATAACAACCGTGTTAAAACTATCCTTTACAATAATGATTTTACAAAATTACAATATAGTTAAGTAATTAGCTCTCAACACAAACCAATAGATAATAGACAATTAATCTTTATTTACACATTCATTAAGAATAGTAGTAGCATCAAGATAAAAACGTACCTGTAAAAATACCCATCTCAACAGACCTGTTTAATCAGTGAATTTCCTTTATGTTAATCTATGTTTTTTACATATTTTTAATAGTAAACTTGTTCACTAATAAACCGAGTACTGGTCAGGGCCGCTTTTATTAATGGGCCCGGTTAAAGAAGAGAAAAGTTCCCCCACAAGGTAGGTGGAGAGGCTATCTTTAAATATATAGGATAATACCTTTACCTTACAAGACTGAATTCCTAAATGGGTTTAAATCCAGAAGATGCACAAATTACTAAATAAAAAACTGTTTTATAGGCTACATTTTAATCTAAATTAAACAAGGAAAAAGAAAATATATAGGCCTAGTTATATAGGTATTGTTTATTTGAAATAAATGATTACTAAACTTTATAAAAACAAACAAAGAACGCCAAAACGATTTAGCTATGATAACCATAGACGAAAACAAACAAGCAGAAAAAACAAACACAAGGCAAAAGAAATATTTCACAAAACGGCCATCTTTGTTGGTTGTCATGAAACCCAGAATTTGCTGAAAACACTGGTATGCATTGTTACCGGGATTGTTTGGGATTATATCAAACGGAACAGAAAGCCTGCAATGTCGCCGTAATTACGGCGATTGACCCTTTAAGGGTTAACTTAGCGTACAACCACACTTCAGTCTCCGTTCACACTAAAATTAAGATTTGAGGGTTGTAAGGGAGATATATGTAGGTGTGAGGAATTGACTAAGTGGTATGCAGTGTCCTAAAACAATAAGAGGTCAAGTTCTGGTTATGGAGCTTTTTCGTCAGGCTATATGACTAGGCCTAGCCTACCACTAAGTTATGATTTGTATGAACAATACACAATACAAATTATGATGCAGCCTATATTACAGATAATACCTTAAGTATACTACCATAGATAAAAGGAGTAGACACAGATACCCCACACAATGCTAATAAGTGTTAACAATTTTTGGCCGAAAAACAGACTAGATCCTAGGCGGCGCTAGTCTCGAAACCGACTAAGCGCGGTTGCCATGTCGTGCAACTCAGTCGGTCGACCGGCCAACTCAGCCGGCTGGGAGAGATTCCTTCGCCTCGCACCCGCAACGTACATAGCCTACTGTGCACAAGCACTTCACTCTCATCTGCTGCTCCGTCCAGTGTTGAGCTTTAATGAAGTATGTTTTCTTCTGAAAACTTTAAAGACTTAGTGTGATAAACATAACATTAAATGGTCGAATATTGCTGTACGTTTACCATAAACTAAAAAATGTTATATACAGGGTGAGGCAATGAGAACGCTACAATTTGTTTTACCTGTCACATGTTAATTGTTGCAACAATGAATGATCAGCTGTGCTTAAAACATCAATTAAACTATGCCATTTTAGTAAATATTATGCTGAGGCTATTAACACTGAGATTTTGATGTGGAAACCTATTTATAAAATAGTGGTTCTTGTGCAAAAACCCAGAGATTGTTTGGACCGTATTCCATCCTTCGTCAACATGGCGCTGTTCCAGATTGGAAAACAATGTTGATCTGGGTAAAATTATTTAGGATAATCGCTTAAAGAAAAAAAATAATCGGTGGGTGCCGCAAAACTCTTTGTACACCAGCAAATGTTAAAAGAATATGAGTCCCAGTAACTCAAAGTCCGAAGAGATTTGCCAGGAAGCTTTTGTTGTTGAAAGCTTTAAGTTGGCTAATTTTTTTGGGAGGGGGGGGGGTTGTTCTAATAAGCTACTTGACGTTCTAGGTTTTTCAAAGTCACCCCACAGATTTGCTTGAACCGAAGCTAAGGATAGTCCAAAAACTAAAGTGAGTAAACTAAGAAGTCGCTGGAGCAGTATTTGATGGAGTTTCAAGTGGCTAAAAAGGAATGTCAAGTAGGACAATGAAGTAACTTGTAGAATTTTGTTCCCAAGAAATGGAAAAATGACTTTGTTAAGTTAAAATGGCAAAAGATAAGCTGTGTTTTGGTGTGCTATTTATATCCATAGGGTGAATATTATTGAGTTTGTACTGTTTATAAATTGGGGCGCTTTCATTGCCCTACCCTGTACTTAAAAAATGTTATATATTTTGTTTGTTGTTTGTCTGTCTATTCTTGTAGTTTGACGTGTTTTTTTTTTTAAATACTCCTCTTTTGTTGTTTATCATAAATATTCTGTAAATAAGTCGGCCTAGTACCGGTAACTTATAAAGTCGTTCCAATAGTGGTACGGTTTAAAGTTTGATAGAAAATAAATTGAAAACTTTTCATTTTGTTTGTTGTCTATACCAACATGTTTTGATATTGCAAGTAAAATTACGAATATTCATGATTTAGCCCTGGTTTTTAATGCTCAAATTCTCAAATGGTTCAAATTTTATATACATTTTTTTATGTTTCATAAAATCATGATACAGTTTGATTTACGAATATAAAAATAGTTAGTTAGTTGTTAAAAACGTGAGTTTCCTTTATATTGCTTTTACAATCTAAATCGAGACATACTTCTTGTATGCAGGTTGAAATATAAATTAAACAATAAACTTAATCGATTTCATATTTATATTCGGAGTGAGTAGGCCTATCTCAAATGCTATGGACACAAGTCGTATCAGGTGTAGTGTCAACTGTAGAGAATGCCGCTACGATGCATACTACTGAGGCTGCGCGCCACTGCCATTAATTCTGCCTCTCTCACTCCGTGGGAAACTGGGAATTTCCGTCCCTACGCTGCACGACTTAGCCACGCTGCGGGCCTGAAGCGCCAAAACAGCGACTGCACGTACTCAAATATGGTGTTTGTGACTTCCCTATCTCGTGGGGTATCTGTGTCTACTCCTTTCATCTATGATACTACTCAGGTATAGTTTTTTCCAAGCTATAATTGCTTTATTGCCTATCTCTCTTTCTTATCGGTTAGGCCTAGGCCTACTGAAAACCAGGCAGTCAGTCAATTGGCAGTGACCCGCTGGTTGCAGTTAAATATTAACTTTTTGGCTATTGCTGGTGGATGCTACACATAACCTGACACTAAAATAACTTAACGATTGGTAATATTTATAACATTACACTCTGAAAATATCATGGTAAGTTAGTTGTATAACTTAACTGAGAAGGTCCCAGTTCCTAAAACCTTGTGCAATTAGACAGGAGCAGAAAAAGAGGTTGAATCAGTGCAGACCATATCGATTACAGTCATACCACAACACGGAATAGCAAGCAATTTTACTGTAGGCTTACTTAGTCGACTGCGGACAGGGTCGTATAACACAAAGATTTAGTTAACAGAAGGTTAATTAACATAGGTACCTATAATCGTAAGTAACTAACCGTATTGCAATTTATTCTCCAATAACCAACAGGACAATTAATTAACCCTTTGAGTGCCAACGTCCGGGGAACCGGACGTTTTTAGAACGAGCCAAAAGTGCCAACGTCCGGCTGACCGGACGTTTCGTAATGATCGAACAGTTGTCATAACAACCGAATGGATACTCGGATTCTTTTAACCCATATATTAACATTGAGTCGAAAGTTACTAGATGCGATACATCGATTTTCGTTGGTCGAAATATCGAAAATTCAATTTTTACGAAATTTTAACCTAAAAATCGCCAGATCGCGCTCGGCATTTTTAGCGCGACCTTCGGGAAAAATCATCGGCATTTTTTTAGCGTTACTTTTATTTCTCGCCTGGCACTCTAAGGGTTAAGTAGGCCTAGTCAATGTTTAGTCAACTGAGAGCCTAAGTTGAGTGGATTTGAAGCATGAGACTAGGCTATATATTTCAGAATTGAGTTGACAGCCAAATGTCAAGCAGTACTGTATTAGTTACGGTAAGGCCCAGGGCCAAGCCTATAAAATCTGAACCAGACGTGGCCTAGCAGCATAAACATTTAAGTTAAGTTAGGTAGCCAAGGCATATTTTAAATAATCTACTGATAAACATTAGATTTCAAGTAGGCCTCATAGTGGGCTTGGCCAATTGTACTCATAAAACTTCTTCTGCCTTAAGTGGAACAAAATTAGACAAAGACTAGGCCTACTGACTGATAGGTCCAGTCACCTTTCTTAGGACTGGAGGGTTGGTGGTAAATCGAAGCCAATATCTGTGAAGGAAAAATGAAGTAATGGCAAGTCTAACATCTTAGATTTAATAAATGAAATGCTCAGAAACTTTGCCAACTACATCATGCTGGTATTGAAATCAAAGTTTTAGAAGTTTAGGTTAGGAACCGGCAGGGTTACCTAACCAGTAACCAGAACCGGCAACATTCCAACTTCCAAGAATAAAATTACCAAACAACTTGGTGTTTACTTACGTAACAAGCTAACAGCCAGCCGATTCATCAACTAGGAACATAGGGGGGTAAATCAAATGAATAAAGTAGCTTTGAGGGGAAGGATAAATTATTGTAATTGTATTTTAAGTTAATTCACTCTGCTTCTGCTCACCCAGCACCAGCACAAAACCATATTTACTACTGTTACTGTACTCACTCACTGTACTGACTACTGTAACAACAATAACAATGTGATAAAACCTTTACTGACTCGGATCGGATTGAAATTCGGCGGAAGACTCAAAACAAAACAAAAACAGAAGAGTCAGAACTCAAATTTTCAAAACGTACGTAAGTGGAAGTGACATAACCAACCTCACACACATAGACATAGTCAGACCTAGACTAGTTTTGGAATTGGTATTGGACTGGACTTACTCACTGACTGGCCTTATTTTCATCTCGTCATACACAAAAAAGCAGTATTCCCACCTCATCTTTGCAATTTGCCATAAGAAAGGCACCCTCATCTATTTGAAGAAGGGCCGTCGTAAAAATTATCCTGAATATTCATATTTTTATCTTTATTCATTTTTTATCTAAAATATACAGGGTGTCCCGTAACTCTCTGGACACTTGTATATAGCGTTATTCCTTAGGTCTAGACAAACACATTTCACCATAGGTACATGGGTCTGTCTGTGGTGTCTAGTTTACCGACTGTCGGCATTTATGTGTTTTTTACATAAACATTAATAACTCCTAAACGGTTTGAGATACAGCTTTGATATTTTGCAAAAATGTTAACCTTATTAAGACCTATTATCGTTAGAAATTATACTAAACAATCATTAACCGTTTTAAAATGACGGCCAATTAAAATATTTGATGCCAAATTTCACGAAAACCGTTATTTTCACAAAGAAATTGCAAGGGACAAAAAAGTTTGTAAATTTTATGTAGTTTTCAATGATACCTTATTTGTTAAGATTGGATCAATAATAACAGAGAAACGTGTTGTTTTCGTAATGTATGACTACTTTTCTCCATTTAAACAATGATAAACAACGTAAAAGGAGTATTAGCATTGTTTAAATGGAGAAAAGTGGTCACACATTACGAAAACAACACGTTTATCTGTTATTATTGATCCAATATTAACAAATAAGGTATCATTGAAAACTACATAAAATTTACAAACTTTTTTGTCTCTTGCAATTTTTTTGTGAAAATACCGGTTTTCGTGAAATTTGGCATGAAATATTTTAATTGGCCGTCATTTTAAAACGGTTAATGATTGTTTAGTATAATTTCTAACGATAATAGGTCTTAATAAGGTTAACATTTTTGCAAAATATCAAATCTAAGTTTAAGACCCCTCATTTTAAAGGTCCTGGTAAAAGAAAACCAACAACGCAAACAAGAGGTCTCTATCTCAGTTCAGTACAAAATGGCAGCCAATTGAAATTCTCAGAAATTGAATTTAACTTACAGCTTTCCCCTTAACTTAAGTCTGGAGACCCCCTGTAAATTTTGTAGCGGCTCACACTAGGAAAACTAAACTCAACACACCTTTTTGGCATGTTATGAAGTACTTTTTAAGCATAATAGCCACTTGCTTACCAAACCCAAAATGGGGGATTTTGGGGGAAACTCAAAATTTTTAAATGATAAGCCCCATTGAGTGACCCCTCATTTTGAAGGTCCTGGTAAAAGAAAACTAACAACACAAACTAGAGGTTTCTATCTCAATCCAGTAAAAAATGGAAGCTGATTGAAATCTTTAGAAATCGCAAAACTTGCAATTTTATATTCAATTGGCTGCCATATTTTACTGTGTTAAGATAGAGACCTATAGTTTGCATTGTAAGTGTTCTTTTATTATGACCTTCAAAATGAGGGGTCACTCGATGGGGCTTATCATTTAAAATTCTTGAGTTCCCCCCAAAATCCCTCATTTTGGGTTTGGGAACTTATGAGAATTTCAATTGGCTGCCATTTTGTACTGAACTGAGAAAGAGACCTCTAGTTTGCGTTGTTGGTTTTCTTTAACCAAGACCTTCAAAATGAGGGGTCACTCGATGGGTCTTTGTATTTGAAATTTTTGAGTTTCCCCCAAAATCCCCCATTTTGGGGATGTACACCAAGTGACGGTTATGCCCAAAAAGTACTTCATAACATGTCATAAAGGTGTGCCGAGTTTAGTTTTCCTAGTATGGGCCGTTAAAAAAATAACAGGGGGTCTCCACCTTTTTTACTAACCCTGTATTCTCGAACAAGTAATAGATATATATTCACACCACCAATTTTGTAAAAAAATTATTTACACAATAAGAAGTCATTTGTTGTATTTAGAGTAGTAATTAATAAAAAAAAACAAGAAAATAATTTTGTCCACAGTTGTCATACAAAGTGGCATTTTATTCCGAACCAGACATTTTAGATGTTTTTTCATTGTTTTAACTAAAGGAACGAATACTCAAATTATAATTTTGTATATTAAATACCACTGGTAGACTTACCAAAAATTATCATGAGAAACAAGGTAATAAATCCAGTAAAAACAAAATGAAATTTTATTACTAAGAACAGTAAAAAATGAGATATTTGATTAACATTGCATCAAAAACATAAACAAAACCATGTAAATATTGAATCACTGGAAACCCTTGATGATATAACAAAAAATATTAGTATGTGTTGAAACGTTAAGACTCAAACAAACCTTTTTTGTTTTGTAAAGAAGAAGGTCAAAACTAAAACAAACAAGCTTTACCACTTGTAGTCACTTACAATCATGACTACAAATAAAATGATTACTGGTACCTGGTCCTATGTTTCACATACATTGATGTTGCAGTTGCAGTGACAATAAAAACGGCAATACGACTAGTACATGTGAAACAAGTTAACCTATGATATGTAAATTATGTATTTCATTTACATATAAATTACAATACATTATTATTTAGTTTATCATTACTCTAAAGGCTTCTTACCTGTACACAAAATTATGCAAATAAACAATTATCTTTACAACAGAAAATTACTTTTTTAAACTCAAAGTATCTTTTGGTTTAAAACAATAACTAAAAATAAGTAACAAGTGTAACAAAAAATGATAAGCTGGACTCATCTAACAGTTATGCTAGATTTACTAAAAACAAAACACACAAATTTAAACATTAAAGCCTAACTTACACAAGGTTAGCAAAAAGACAGTTTTACACTATAATGTAGATCTAAGCTGTCCAATTCACAACACAATTGTAATTTACACTTTTATTAAACTTAATTTTTTTTACTAAAAACAAGCTCTTTGCTGGATGGAAAATATAACTAATGCGACAACACTAATTGGTCCAACATTAACTCTGGGAAACTAAAGTACCTATTTCATCAAAGTTATAGTTAGTTTTGGAAGGCATCTGAAAAGTTAACAAGTTATTTATAAATGCAAAAAATAGGAACAAATGAATACACTTTAGCACTTAACTTCAATGAATGGTATTTTTCAGACAAGTTATTTCTCATGTAGGCCTATGGGTTGGATAAAAAAATATTATTGCCATTTTTTTTTTACAATTCACTATTGTTTCAATAATATAAAATTGCATCACTAATCTATACCTCAAAGTCACCAACAGATTTTAGGGTATAAAAGTTTGAGTATCCATGGATTTTAGAGGAATACAAAAAGAGAGAACAATACAAAATTTTAACAAGTTACTGAGCATATTAGATTAGCTAGAATAAAATATACCAGATCAAAATCATTACTGTAAAATATACCAGATCAAAATCATTACTGGCCTACACAAGTCATTCATTGATTCATTCATGGTCTGATTTCCTCCTAAACATATTTAATAATTTTATATTTTACTCTAGTAACTAAACAAGAGTAAAATATCAAATTGTGTTATGTCTTCACAAAGTTGCTTCTCATGTATATCCATTACAAAGCTAGAGTTTATTAATGTGTGTGTTGAATAAGTATGTCATATCTTCACTAAAGGATTAATCCTCATCAATTTTACAAGACGGACACATTAATTTTAATTTCTAAACAAAAATTCAACATATTAAAGGACACTATATACAAACAAATTAATTATTCAGACATTAGCTTGCCATTGGCATTAAGCTACTTTCACAGTTTACCTAAACTAATACAATTATTTCTGATTAAACTAATTAAACTATTGTGACCCTAGCAGTGCCGGATTTACCACTATGCCGACTAAGCCGTGGCTTAGGGCCACAGTGTTTAATGTTCTGATGGTGTTCCGTAATAATGGGGAAGTTCCATTTAAGGGGCAGGGGCTGGTCAGGATAATTTGGCCTAGAGCCGCAAGTACTGTAAATCTGGCAATCAGAATTTTTAGTTGTAGGAATGACTAACTGGCTACACTTACATTTTATTTTATTACATTTTAATGGTATTTTAGAATAAACACTATTTAAAAAAAAAACTTAATATCCTCCATTTGTATGTTTGAATACGTGGATATCAATGTTAGTAACAGTTCGCCCAAAACAATATTTTTTTGTATTAAACAGCAGAATGTTAAATAAACCCTCTTAACCAACAAGTTACAATCAGGGCCCTGTGTTGACATATATTAAAATTGTTAGTTATTGAGGAATAATAAATTAAATAAAAGATCCAGTAATGTTCTGTACTGGAAAGAATCTACAGTATAAAAGTTCTCTGCCGGGCCATGAGGTAAAGTTAACAATTGATTGTGTCATACCAAACAGAGCCAGTTCAATCAATTTAATACAAATTTTAACAACCACCTCTAAAGGCAAATAAATAACAATAAATGTGTTTTAAATAGAACAATGTTGGTACGGATAAAAATATCTAATCTCAAACAATTCAACACTATTGATTGTTTATAGTATTGAAGATGAAGGTAACATAGGTCAAATTGAACACAAGTAAAGAATCACAGTAGGAATATTAAGTACAAGTAGAATACAGTGACAGCATTTTCAGGGTATACTTTCGATGCACTCTCTTATATGAGTCCATGTCTGCAAGCCCTGAAACATGATATAAAATAATAACCATCACTTTCAGTAACAAACCAGTTTGTTGAAAATAAATATCCCCACCGCAGAAAACCGGCAGACTTAGCCAATTTCTATTGGAATGGATTTTATTTAAATTCTTTTCTCAAACACGCCAAATTTATTCTCTATACAGGGTGAGTTTTAATTGTCCCCCCCCCCCAACTTTTTTCTACATTTGTTCAAATATCAATCCCAGACCACTTCCAAACATTGTTGGGTAGTAAGTACTTCATTTTGACAAGATGGCCATTTCCGGCCGCCATCTTGGATCCGCCATATTGGATGCAAAATTTTTTTTTTAAATGTAAAGGTGGGGTTGTGACCCATTATTTCGAACTACATTTTTACCCTGATTACAATGCCGCAAACCGTTTAAAAAAATCTTGATTCATTCTAAAGTTATGAGGGCTTTTTAAAACTTTATTTTTAGCCCATTTTAACATTGTGCATTTACAAACTAAGACCATAATCTCAAAATAGTGCTAGATAAAGATAAGTATACACTACCAGTAATTGTCGACCTATTTTCACTTGGTTATGACTGATGTATTTTTTTCGGCCGCCATCTTGGATCCGCCATTTTGAAATGTGATAAATTATTTTAAATATGAAGGGGGCGTTGTGACCCATCATTTCGAACTACTTTTTTAAGCTGAACTTAATTCCATGATCCGTTTTTCATTTTCATTTTTTTATTTTGAAATATTGACATTTTTAACAAAAAAATTTCAATATTTCATAAATAAAACTTGATAACAAAAAATGGATTGCGGCATTGTCTTCAGCTTAAAAAAGTAGTTCGAAATGATGGGTCACAACACCCCCTTCATATTTAAAATAATTTATCACATTTCAAAATGGCGGATCCAAGATGGCGGCCGAAAAAATACATCAGTCATAACCAAGTGAAAATAGGTCGACAATTACTGGTAGTGTATACTTATCTTTATCTAGCACTATTTTGAGATTATGGTCTTAGTTTGTAAATGCACAATGTTAAAATGGGCTAAAAATAAAGTTTTAAAAAGCCCTCATAACTTTAGAATGAATCAAGATTTTTTTAAACGGTTTGCGGCATTGTAATCAGGGTAAAAATGTAGTTCGAAATAATGGGTCACAACCCCACCTTTACATTTGAAAAAAAAATTTTGCATCCAATATGGCGGATCCAAGATGGCGGCCGGAAATGGCCACCTTGTCAAAATGAAGTACTTACTACCCAACAATGTTTGGAAGTGGTCTGGGATTGATATTTGAAAAAATGTAGAAAAAAGTTGGGGGGGGGGACAATTAAAACTCACCCTGTATATATAACTTCATATTTAATGAGGACTAAGGTTAGCTGAGGGAAGATAAAGAAATGTTATTTTAGTGAAATTTTAATAGCTTAGTATGATTATTAATAAATTTGTTAAATCGTTAAATGTTATCTGAACTCAAGGTTGCTCATAAAGAATACAGTTAAATTCAATTTTTTCATCACAAAAATTCACAATACAGAGGCTGAAGATCAGCAATGAATATGTGACATGTGAATACAAATCATGCATTTTAAATAGTTAACACATACCGGTAATAAATATACAAATATTAAAACAAGATATTACAGTTGTCAGGATAAAAATTAATTCATATCACAAGGACAAAGTGCAATCAATCTTTCTGAAAGATTGTCTGAATTTGACTGTTAGACTGAATCCTACAGTCAGTTAAATAAAATAACAACCATGTTAAATAAAATAAATTTATTATATACATATTAAAAATATGTTCTTACCAGTCACAAATCTAGCAATAAATGTTATTGCTTTGTAACTTTTTATGAACACGGAACTGGCAGGATTTTAATTTGCATCTGTAATTTTAAACCTCCACAGTATAAAAGTACAAATGAATCATTCATGGCTGTTGGTGGTTATTGGTTAAGGAATAAATGTATCAAACAAGCAGTGCTAGAGCCATTCACTGCCACAATAGACCAAAGTGTCTGTTACTTTTTGGATAGCCCAATTTTAAATAGGTAAACAGCGCTTCTACATTTTTGCATATTTACTTTTGTGTAAGATAATGATGTAAGTAAACACAATTTTAAAATTAACAATGAATATTAATTTAATTACGTTGGAATTATTTTGCTAAAATTGTAGGTTTATTTATACCCTGCCCCTAAAATGAAGGGAGAAAATTATTTCCAAACCCTTTACAAAGTACAGTTTTTTCACATGCCTCAAATTTGTCACAGTGCAAACAACAACCGTACTATTTACCTTCTTGGCCATATTCATCTGCAAGGACATATAAGTGGCCAGAGTCTCTTTCAAATCAGTTGACTTCTTAATCTGGAATTCTTCAAACTCATGAACAGCTTTGTTAGAGAAATCACTGAAAAAAAAACAAGCAAACAGTAAACTTAAACATTGACTCTTTTTGCTCAAAAATACTTTTTGAAACATAATTAGGCCTATTTAAAACTTGTTTGCATGACAGATTTATTAAAGCACATTTTTTATTGGGGTATTGCAACACATTGTAGTATTTTTTTTAACTCAATTGTTATGTAATTTATTTGTGGTAGCATAAGAGTAATTCTAACAACTGAAAGTCTCAATGATGTTTGTACTAGCCTATGTGAAAAAATATCACAATTGAAAATTATATGGTTTTTGTTGTATCTATCTATTTTAAGTTTTATGCTGCAATGAAAGTATTTAGAAAACATTTTGATGACAATACAAAATATTGTGTTTTCTTATCTCTATTAAATGTTTTGGAATGTTGATTGATAGAAGCCTATCCATTCTGCCCTGCCGTAATATCATTTAGACTCAAACTATACGTTTGTTCTATATTACTTTGAATAAGAAATATTTATTTTGTTTTATTAGGCTAAGTTATATCTTTATTCTACACTATTGTACAAAACTTCAGCATTACCATATTTCTATAGAACCGAGGGACCTATATTTTTATCTAGATAGTTGGAAAGCTCTGATTCTCTTAGTCATAGCAATGGTTGGTACCACCAGACCAGCCGCTAAAAGTAGTACGGTAGCCAGTTTGCTTCCTGTTGCAGCCATGTGCAGGCTATCTCTTTGTAAGCCTGATTATTTACACGAGAGGCTTTCTCTTCGCATTGAGGTTTCTCAGCGCAGGACAAGACATGGTGGGAGGCTTCACCTCGAAAGAGTTTCCCTAGAGCTTGAGAGGAAGAGCTTCTCATACTTTAGACCCTCGTTGTACAATAGTCTACCCGACGGCCTAAAGTTTGTTATACATTTAATACATTTAAAGAAAATCTTAGAGAGATGGTTTGAAAAACGTTTAAGGATTTTCTAAGTCTATAATGGCCAAAGAGTAGAATAGGATAATTTGTAATATAGTGACTAAGCTGGTCTGAAAAGCTGTATCAGAGAAATGCTCAATAAAGATTTTTTTTTATTTATTTAACTACATGTACAGACCTTAGGGCCACCTTGGAGTCCTGCACAACTTGCTCACCAGCCTGTATCCGGGTCTCTAACTGGGCCACTTTCATGTCTCTAACCTCCTCTGGCTCAACTGACCCAAACAGACGAGACATCAGCCCTGACCTCCCTGCAAATTAATTCTCTACTGTAGCTTATATAAAACGACACTTACTCGATTTATATTCACATTTCTCTATTCTTTAACCATTAACAATCTGAAAGGTTGTGTTTATTGTTCTTGCCACTTGTATTGTCAGAGCTCTTTTGGACAGCAGCTCGGATCGGTGGTCAGTGTTACGGCACAACATAATAAATCAAATGCTTAGAAGGACCAGTAGCACAATAAGTACATAACCAGAGATGATGTACTTTTTTTATTATTATGGCAACCACTAAGTAGTTGGGGTCGCCGGAATTCTACCCCCGGATATTTACCCCCATGAAAAAAGCCTACGTCATTTTGACGTCACGAGGGGCGGGGCCTATACACGGTCAATAAACAGCCCGCGACTGGAAATCTACCCCCGGACATCTACCCCCAGACATCTACCCCCGGAAATCTACCCCCGTGGTCAGCTATGCTACGTATCGGCCAAGATGCATTGTTGTAATTGATTTCATTAATTGGTTTATGTAAATCAACGGCTCTTCGGTTATTCATTAGCTTATTATGCGATTTAATTTTTTTTTTTTGTAAAACGAAAACTCAAAAAATACTTTATTTTTCTTGGGCAATAATATACCCCAAGTCTTTGCCAACACAATAGGTGTGTCACCAAAACGATAATATCATCAAAAATATTTAAAAGTAAATAATAAGAAAGCATATTCATAATGGCATATTTAGAAAAAAAACATTGATTTCAGAATATACCTAGTTTTTTTTTATCTGCAGAATCTTGTAGTTGTTTTCATCCCAATAACATAATATAAATGTTATTTGTTATAACCTTATTTAGCTACGTAAATCAAATATGTAAAATATTGTACCTATTCGATCAGTGGTCATTTCCAAATTGCGACTTAAATGTTAACTAGTGACATCGATCTCTGTAGTAATAGAGATCGATGACTAGTAGTCATCATTCAAATTTTTTCTCTTTGTACTGTGTTTAGGTCGTGGCTTGATTGTAACATGTGCTTTGATTCTCTGTTTTGTTTACATTTACGTCGTTATTATGTAAGCACCACGGCAACCCATAAGTCCAATGTTAAAATAAAATAAAAACTTAGGGTTACTTTTAATTATATAGGCAGTATTATAAATTTAAGTTTGTTTCGTCTAAACCTTCCAAACATTTGACAAAGCAACCTTGGTAAGTTTGGCTAAAATATGTTCAGCCGTTATTGTGTTAATGTGTTAGAAAGTTTACATTGAAGTCGTTCCCAAAGAGCTTCGCTTCGCTCCGCTCATTACTAAATGGACTAATTAATTTTAATCATATTTCTTCAGGGAATATTCTCAAACGTTCAAATAATCCTTCAGAATGACAGCTGGGAGTTCTACCTAATGATACAGAGAAAATGATCAGTATGAAACATAATTAAAACTTGTACGCGATATGGTGGAAGAACAAATTACATTTTCTTACCGCCAAGTACACTGTAACCTTTCCCGAGAGGCAGCGCAGGTGTTCAAATAGTTTCAACCCTTTAAATAGTTAGCAAAATGATAAAGAGTGACGTTTCCTCTCAAGACTATCTGTTTCTTTCAAGGAGGTCATTGGGAAAATATACCAAACCAGCCATATCGGACTAATAGAAGAGTAGGTGTGTTTTATATCTTATAAGTATAAAAGAGGATGTTTGTATATATATTTGTTTGTTTGTTTGTTTGTTTGTTTGTTTGTTTGGCAGTGATAAACTCAGACACCCCTGAACCGATTGCCACGAAACTTGGTACATACGTGTAGAATGTCATGGAATAGGTTTGTACACCATCAATTTCGTGATCCGTCCAATCGGCTCCGCCCCAGTGGCTCTGGAGTTTCCCATGTTAACCTTATGAGAAATGGAATTAATGAATCTTAACAGCTGTTTCAATTAATTAAACAAGTTGGTTCTGTTCTATGATGTTCAATAGCATTAATTAAAGTTACAAGGATTACCAACAGGGTGCAGCACTATTATTTCTTTTACATTTATGACAACAGCTAATTTGCAACCAAAAGGTGAGAGAGCGTAGCGAACAAACTTCAACCTGGAGGCGAGTTAGCGTAGCGAACGAGCTAACCTGAAGGCAAGTGAGCGTAGCGAACGAGCTAACTGAAGGCAAGTGAGCGCAGCAAACGAGCTCCAACCTAAAGGTGAGTGAGCGTAGCGAACGAGCTCCAACCTAAAGGTGAGTGAGCGTAGCGAACGAACTTCAACCAGGACGTAATTGAGCCATGCGAACGAGATCATCTTGAAAATTAAGAAGTTAAACGGGGCAAAGCCCGCGGGATTATAAATAGTCAAAGGCAAGACAACGTCTGCCGGGTTCAGCTAGTTTTTATATAGGTCTTTAAATATTTGTAATATAGTTATTTTTTTATATTTTTTGTTATTGCAACTTCTGATTTAGCTCGAAAAATATTAGTATTTTGATTTATTGCTCTATGATCGTTCGTTACTGAGGTATTGAGAGGCAAACACTTTATGGTGTCCCAATTTTATTCATCCTATTGGTAATCAATAAAATGTCATAAATATAGTTATTTCTTGACACATCTTAATTAAACTCGGCATGTTACTTTATCTAGATAAGATATTCTTTATAACTACCTTAAAAAAGCTTCATTCAACATTTTATTGGCAGGAAACCTGCATATTCACTTCCTGTATGTTATTCTTATGAATGGATATTTTGAACACTTATTTATGGACATAAGTTGACAAGTTTTGTTTTAAGGCAGAATTTCCCAATTAAGTTAGGACTTATTAAAGGTGAGTCGGTGGCTCAGTTGGTAGCGTCACAGACTTCGGGCCCAAGGCAGTGATGTCAAGGGGTCGGATCCTGGTAACTTCCACAAAAACTTATCAGTACAGAGTTCACCTTCGTACTGTACCGGCTCACCCTTTGATTTGCTGGATACGTTCCACGCACAGATCTGTAGTCTATGTGGACACAGAGATCTGTAGTCTATGTGGACGCACAGATCTGTAGTCTATGTGGACGGGCAAATGCAAGGTTAAAAGAGGTCACCAACCTCTTAAAATATATATCTATATATATATATATAAAAGGCAAAGCCCTCACTGAGTGACTCACTCACTCACTCACTCATCACTAATTCTCCCACTTCCCATTTACCTAGGAGGCTGAAATTCGGAACACCGATTCTTTGGGCATTAAATAGGAAAACTAAGTAGTTTTTATTCTGATCGGGCTTTCGGGTTCCGCCCCAGTGGCTCTGGAGTTTCCCGTGTTAACCTTGTGATTTTTCATATTTAAAAGGAATTTTTTAACAGCTGTTTCAATTAAACAAGTTGGTTCTGTTCTATGATGTTCAATAGCATTAAAGTTACAAGGATTACCAACAGGGTACAGCACTATTATTTTTTTAAATTTATGACTACAGCCAATTTGCAACCAAAAGGTGAGTGAGCGTAGCGAACGAACTTCAACCAGGACGTGATTGAGCCATGCAAACGAGCTCACTAGTGAAGTTGACGGGTACAGCTAGTATATATATATTAAGCGTTATACATTCTCTGAATATAAGAATGTGCTACAATGGGTCTTAAGCTTAAAATGGCATCTCAATCGTAAAAATCGACGAAGTAGGTCGGGTGAAAATGGACTGTTACAGCTTATTGAATTAGGAAGATAGATAATGTTAAACATGACAACGACATATTGCATGCTTTATGCTGGATATTAGAAGCTAATGAATAACCGAAGAGCCGTTTATTTACATAAACCAATTAATAAAATCAATTACAACAATGCATCTTGGCCGATACGTAGCGTAGCTGACCACAGGGGTAGATTTCCGGGGGTAGATGTCCGGGGGTGGATGTCCGGGGGTAGATGTCTGGGGGTAGATGTCCGGGGGTAGATTTCCAGTCGCGGGCTGTTTCTCGATCGTGTATAGGCCCCGCCCCTCGTGACGTCAAAATGACGTAGGTGTTTTTTCATGGGGGTAAATATCCGGGGGTAGAAATCCGCTACCCCAGTAGTTGATCAAGAATCTGAAACTTTAGATTGATCTACCTTCAGACTGGTTTTGTATTACGTCAGGATTCTTTTGGGGCTGTTTTTTGGACTCCCTTCTAATTGCTCCCGCCATTTACTGATCGCTCCTGTTGTTAATTGATTGCTCCCAACGTCTACTGATCGCTTCCAACGTCTACTGATTTCTCCCGACATCTATTGATTGCTCATGACATCAACTGATTGCTCCTGAAATCTACTGACTGCACCTGAACCTGCCAAGATTGGCTTAAAACAGTACAAAACTTTTTAGAACGATGCCACATTAATGAAAGTGGCAGTCCATGTCGTATTAGAAGTTTTTTTACCGTATTAATTGTGTGAAACTTTCATTTAGAATAGACAATAGACAATAGACAATTAATCTTTATTTACACATTCATTAAGAATAGTAGTAGCGTCAATTTACAATTTTTTCTAAATGTGTGGTTGAGGTGTTGTTTAGTCAAAGACCTGTTGATGGTATTCTTCTAAGGAATAGAAAGGTCGATTAATGAGCCATTGATGCAAAGCTGGTTTGAGGTCATCTTCTGACTTGCTTCTTAGATCTGGAGGTAGCCTGTTGTAGATTTTTATTCCTGCGTATGAAGGTTTCTTTTCAAACTGTGCCGTGCGATGTTGTGGAAGGTTGTACTGCATGGTGTTTCTCAGGTTGTGTTGGTGCATTTCGCCACGCCTTGTAGGGTTATTTCTTACTGCAAATAACACAACTTCCTGGATGTAGAGTGCTACAAGGGTAAGTACTTTGAGTGACCTGAATGCTTCCCTGCAGCTGTCGAGTCTGTGGAGTCCTGCAGTTATTCTGACTGCCTTTTTTTGTTTTCTGAGAACTCTTTGCATGTTAGTGGCAGAGGTTCCACCCCATGCTACAAGTCCATATCTCATATGCGACTCGAAAAGTGCAAAGTATGCTACTTTTGTTGTCATGTCATCTGTTGCATTTTTTATATGTTTAAGAGCATAGATGGTTGAACTTAATTTTTTACATATATTGTCCACATGAGGGGTCCAGGTTAAATTCTTGTCGAGTGTGATGCCCAAAAACTTAGCTTCATCTTCCACTTCTACACCTGGGAGTCGAGGCACTTCTTGAGATTTACGGCCAAAAGCTATTTGAGTTGTTTTAGACGTGTTTACTGCGAGATCATTGTTATAGCAGTATTGGTAGGCCATACTGAGTGACACATAGGATTTTACTTCTAGATTTTCAGCTAGTGGTTCATTAAACACTAAGGTTGTGTCATCAGCATACATAAGAGTAAGGCAGGCGTCTCCTATTTGTTGCGGCAAATCGTTGGTAAAAAGAATAAACAGTACCGGACCCATAACTGACCCTTGGGGAACTCCTCGATTTATTGGTTGAAAATTTGATCTTGTTTTTCTTATTAGGCTGTTATCTCTGTGCCTTAGTTCTACAAACTGACTCCTGTCTGTAAGGTAGCTTTGAAACCATTCTCTTACTATCCCTGATACCCCCAGGGAATCCAGCTTTTTAATGATTAGCTGGTGGTCAAGGCAGTCAAATGCCTTACTGAAATCAAGAAAGATTCCTGTTGTTAGATTTCCTTCATCTAGGCTGTCAATCAGGGACTCAACCATCTGAATTATTGCTGTTGTTGTGGATTTCCCTTTTGTAAATCCATGTTGAAGGTTGTTTAGTAGGTTGTGATTTGTGCAATGGTCTAAAAGTCTTTTTAAAACAACTTTTTCGTATATTTTGGAGAAGGTGGAAACGAGGGAAATTGGTCTGTAGTTGCTTGCTTCTAATGTGCTACCTTTTTTAAATTTCGGGTATACTTTAGTTATTTTAAGTAGTGAAGGAAAGATGCCTTGTTTTAGGGACTTATTTATCAAATCAGCCAATGGTAGTGCTAGTTCATTGCAGCAATGCTTAAGTATTTTTGACGAGATTTCATCAATTCCAGACGAGTTTTTTGCTTTAAGTTTGTTTATAATCATTTTAACTTCCTTCTCGTCTGTGCTTTGAAAGGAGGAAAACGGTGGACCTGTTTGAGTTACGTCAGGAGTTTGAGCTGTGTTCTTTAGGTGTTTTTGTTTCTCTATTGTTTTTTCTCCTACTTGTGTAAAAAATGTATTCAAATTCTCTGCAACATGGGTCACATTACTTATGAGTTGGCCATCTACTTGAAGGGTTATTTCATTTAGGGATGTTTCCTTTTTGGACCACACTGTGTTTATTGTTTCCCAGATAGCTTTAGATTTATTTTCAGCTTTCATCAACTGGTCAGAGTTAACCTTTTTCCGCATCGTTTTCAAGTACAGGTCATAGTTCTTTTTATTTTCAATAGAAACCCTTCTGTCATCTGGATTTCTCGTCACCTCAAACTTTCTTAGAGCTTTAAGAAATTCGGCTTTAAGTCTCACTGCTTCTGGGTCCATAGAGAATTTTAGTTTATGTTTTCTTTGTGTTTTTATCTTCTTTTGGGGGCAGGCTGCATCCATAGCTACTCTCACTATGTTAATAAAAGTTTTATAAGCTTCTTCGGCATTGTTTATTGAGGTAACACTAAGCCAGTTTTCTTGACTGAGAAGATACTAGAGGTCTTGCAGGTTGAATCTTTTAAACTACAATAGTGAGCTATTTATTGGATTTCACAACATCGTGAAGTCTTATTTTTGCCAGTTGCTGGAAAATATTATACGAATAATTGTGTAGCATTAGCACTAGGAAACAAAACGACAGCCATCTTTATTTTGCTAAAATAATATCATATAATATCATGCTTATGGTAAATTTACTATAATTTTGTGAAAAAAGAAAATGGCAATGAGAATTTTGTGCCTGGTATGTTATAATAGAATTATAAATATAATATCAATATACCTTGTTGAACCCTGATTTTATCTTGATTTTTCATTCGGACATTTTCCTGAGCTTGTTCCAATTCATATTGCAGCAACTCCTGCCTCCTGCATAATGCTTGAAGGGCTCCCGAAAAAAACAAATATCTGAAATGTAAAGATGTTTGATTTAAAGCATTTGAGTGATTGAAGACAGAAACCTTCCCAGAAAACTTAAAAGAGCCTGATTTAAGACCTATTTCATAAAATGTTCAAAATAATACATTGGGTACATTGGACATTATCAATCATACGTAAGAATACAAATTTAATTGTGGAAGACTGTGCACATCAAATTGATGTAGCATAGCACATATAAAAAATATCCCTGCCGCAGAAAACCTGTAGACAAAACAAATTTTCATTTGCCTAATTAATTAGATTTTCACTAAAATATTTCCTTAAACAGGTCATATTTATTCCCCATTTAAATAACTTTAGGTTTAAAGTTTAAAGATTACATACTTAGGTTTGCGTCACCCAAACCCTCATACTATTATACTTATAACTCATAATTGTGATACTGTGAGAGTAATAAAGTGTGTTTTAAAAAGTTTATAGCTTAGTATAAAATAAAATAAACAAATTAGGCAAGTTTTATTAAAACATCCATAAACAAGCAAACTACTTTATTTATTCTCCATAAGAATAACATAGGAATTTTAAATTTACAACAAAAACATTTCTATTACCTATCAATTTTTTTAAACACACTTTATTCCCTTTAGTAAATCAGCTAACTTTAGTACTCTTTAAACACAATGTCATTAAAAAAAGGAAACCATTTTGACATGTTTGAGGAAATATTTGAGTGAAACTCCAATGAGGATGGATATTTACTTAGTCTGCAGAATGGATATCAGTACCTGTATTGTTGGGACGATCAACTGTTTAACCTTAAAATACAGAAATACTGAAAATTTTTTGTTACAACAAATTACTTATCACATGTGCCTGAAGCTAGAAGTTGTCCAAAGACACAAGAGATTGTGGCCTTTGTGCCAATTAAATAATTTGGTCTGTTCCATTGTTGATCATAAACAATACTGTTTAATGAATTCACCTCAATGTACATTACAAACAGAATCAATTGTCAAGACATTTAACAAAAACTAAAATACCCTCATTGAACCACTTTCATTTTACATGGTTGAGAAAAATTGTGATTAACTTGTTCGATAATAAAAAGACAGCACATATGACAAAAAAGAGTGAATGAACAAAAATGAACCTACTCTTTCAGCTGATCTGCCACAAGTTCTTCGTCCTCTAAGGCAGCTCCGATTCCTGCTGCGATGGAATCGAAGAAATGTCCAGCTCTCTGTAAAAATAACAAAAACAACTTTTACACTTGCAAAAAACTTAAAACAACACCTCTTCTTCAAATGTTGGTACCTACATTTACCATTTGCTTGAGTTTAAAAGAATCAATAATCAATCATTGTTTATGACCTTAAATGATAAAGTAAAGTAGCCTAATTGACTAAAAGTAAGAAATTGACCAGTCACTTCAAGTCAGAGTTGGCAAAGACATTTTTCTCCTGAAAAATAGAACATAGATTAACTATTGCGCTACTGAGGGAAAGGAGTAGCTATATAAAGATATTTAGTGTTAAAGCATGGTAAATTTTCCAGAGCTAAGTCCTCTCATCAGAGAACTCCTAACTCAGCCATACAATGGCTATCCTTCTGCTTCTACACAGAACTTTGTGGTGTGGTGTGCCATAAAGGCAAATTTGACATTCCCAAGTTAAGAACTATAGATATAACTGGCCAAAGTAATCACAGGGCTGTCCAGAAAGCAGCAATCACATTAAAATGCTTTAACATTACATTTCTTTGGTCTACTCTTGACAGTAAATTACAGTTGTTTTAATTTTTTTCTTAACTGAAACTATGCAACACACTTTCAAACTGGTGGAAGTGGAGTTAATTTAAAAGTCACTAAATTAACTCCCCAACTAAGTTAAAATACAAGAAACACAAGCACAGGTTAGCACAGCGGGGTGCACATTAAGTATGGCAACACTCAGGCCGAAATCAATGCAATAGCCGTCTACTTCCGTGCTTCACCAAAATATTTGTACCTTTTGGGCAGCCCTTGTATTAAACACAAAATGCTATCAGAGAAGAGCGTGATACAAACAAAAATACAGGCACTCAAGATCCAATACTAATTAAAGGACTGAAATAAACTGGGCATCTGATTGAGTAGAGGAGAAAAATAGGTGAAACAAAAATTGGAAAACAGATACAATAAATCCTCTACTAACCATCACCTGTGGGACTGGGGCATTGATTGAATAACATAAATGCATTTATAATCTACTACAGTTTGCAAAATTAAAATGATTTTGAAAAAAAATACAGTCAGGGAGTCCAGGAAGCAATGAAAATAAAATTTAAGGACCAGTACAGGTTCTCCAGGTTAAAAATCCAAAATTTACAGTTTGTAGCTTACTGCAAAAAACGAACATAATTTAGTACCTACTTGTACATTTAATAATGTTCAAAGAACCTAAATATTTTTCAATATTCAGAAAGAAAAGTATTCATGCAAACATTTTTGAAAATATTTTTATTGCATATGAGATCGTGGTTTAAGAGATCTTGGTTTGGTTCATTGTCATAACCACGGACAATAGGGATGATCAAATGAAAGAATTTTAAAGTGGATTCTATGCTCAAATTTTTTGAATACAGGTACAATTTTTATAAAATAAATCATTACATTTTCTATAAAAATCAATTCTAAAATTCACTATTAATTTTCAAAACTGTTAACACCAGAATTGCATCCGCGTTGTAACTCACGCTTGTTGGAACTCCTGTCAGCATTTCTGCGCACTAGGCGATACCATAATCATTTCCTGAGACTCAGGTGACACCCTAAATCATCTCCCGCAGTAACACCTGTGATCATCTACTGAGATTGTGGTAATAATAGCAATAAGCACATTTTTCATGTGAGAATTACTTTAAAAGAGCAACAGATGATTGAGGTTTCACTGTTGTGATTGTAAAAAAAAAAACCTCACCTGCAATCCATCGCCCATGTCTCTCTCTGCCACACTCCACTCACTGAACACTCGCCCGTAGCCTTGGTGCAGTTTGTTTACACTATACAGCCTAGCTGCTAGTTTGGCCCTTGCTCTCAGAAGGTGATGTAGGTTAACCTACGGAAAAGAGGCCAGTTATAGCCTGAGTAATTCAATTTTAAATTAAATCAAATGAATTGAAATTAAAATTATGCAGGCACGATACACACAATTGCTTGTGTTACAATATGTCGGTGGTAGGAATACAGTACCACTTTTTTAAATGCAAAATTGTTTTACCAAACAATATTTGCAATGTGTAGACTTTTATATTTTAAATAAGTCAAATGTTAGTTGAATGCACTGATGCTGAGTAAGCCGACCATTATGCTCGGAAGATGTTGACATTTTAATGATAGGCAATTATTGTGCCATACAAAAAGAACAGAGACAAAAAGTACAGCCAATAAGTCAATCTACGATGATGAAAGTATTTTATTTTGAAATTCTGTTTGATTACATGATTCTTAAGATTTAAATGAGGCTTTGGACAGATAACTATTACATAAATACATACAGGTGCGAGATAATGGGGAGAAAAAATATATTAACTGCTTAAAATAAAACTAAAGTAAAGATGATCCAAGAGTCCCGTTTCTGTATGTGAAAGCCCTCTTTTGCAACGATTAGGGGTTTTTCCCAATCCCTCAGAATCTTGAACTACAAGCATATCTCTGTTTACTTTAGTATATAACATTGAAGACGGACAAAGGTATATAATCTCTGGTTATTTTGGAATAAAAGTGTGAAGCCTAGTAAATTGACATCTACAGAAACTAAAACAATCTTCTACAGGGAGCGGCAAAATGATCTGACGGTTTTCTTTGCCGCTCTGTTGAGCGAGTGAGTGGCGGAGGGTGGTGGGAAAAGGGGCGTTACAAAGCCTACGTGTGAACATTGTTAGTAGCCATGGACCTAGGGACAGCTGAGCACCATGCATTTGTAGTGGAAGTGTTTTTTAAAAGTGACAATTCTTGTGTAGCTGTTCAGTAGGCATTTCAATGTGGGTCAAAGAAGAAAAGTCCCAACTCAAAACACCATATTGCTGTGGGTGGGTAGCTTTAGAGCTACTAGTTCAGCATTGAAACTAAAATCAACAGGCCATCCAAGGTCAGTCCAGACGCCAGAGAACGTCAAGAGAGTGAGGAAGACCGTGTGGTGTGGTTGAAAGTGCGATTCGTCGCTCATAATGACTATTTTGTCACGTGTAAGTAAATCAATCACTTGTTCTGAAAATGAGATGCGCTTTATGTGTGCTTCAACTGCTGCACGATTGCCATTTTGTATGAATGAAAGTGCGGGTCGTGCCGTAATACTCATACCGAGCGACCAGACATGTGCAGAGCTGCAGCTTATTTACGTGCAGGCCGCTGAGGACTAGCTTCCACACCTTCTCTCACTCTCTCGATGTTCTCTGGCGTCCGGGCTGACCTTGGACCTGTTGGACTTTTTTTCAATGTTGAACAAGTAGCTCTGAAGTTACCCACCCACAGCAAAATGGTGTTTCGAGTTGGGACTTTTCCCCTTGGGCCCACATTGAAACGTCTATGGAACTGCAGCTGAACAGCTACACAGGAATTGTCACTTTTAAAAAACACTTCCACTACAAATGCATGGTGCTCAGCTGTCCCTAGGTCCATGGCTACTAAAAATGTTCGCACGTAGGCTTTGTAACGCCCCTATTCCCACCACCCTCCGCCACTCACTCGCTCAACAGGGCGGCAAAGAAAACCGTCAGATCATTTTGCCGCTCCCTGTATTATGTAAAAAATAAAGGTCTTCTGTCTTTATACTATGTTAGCTGTGAAGTTTTGCTAGTCACGCTCTATTTGAAAATAACTGAATGACTTCCCGTAAATCTCTTAACATCTCATAAAAATGTACCTTTTCAATTAAATTTCTATGTCTTTGTTACCAACAACAACCATGGTAGTACTACAGGGTTAGGCAAAAGTCAGGAACCCCCCAGTTAACTTTTTAACACGTTGTATTAGGAAAACCAAACTCGGCACATATTTACAACATAAGAAATTGCACTTTTTCATCAATGTTACAACTTTGCCCCAGCCCCCAAAATGGTGTATTTTGGGGGCAGCCCCAAATTTTCAAATGTAAACACTTATCATGTGACCCCTCATTTTAAAGGGTCTTGTAAATATGTGCCAAGTTTGGTTTTCCTACTGCAACGCGTTAAAAAGCTAACTGGGGGGTTCCAGACTTTTGCCTAACCCTGTATAATGAAACAGCATGAAATTCAGACAAGACACAAGTGTTTTCAAAATCAAGTAAATTGGTGGGAAGAGCTTCTCTCAAAACTTGTATCCCATACTGGATCAATATTACTGTGATAATTTTTACCTAATATCCTCACATAGTGAGAGAGGGAGAGAGGGAGAGGGAGAGAGAGAGAGGGGGGGAGAGAGAGAGGGAGAGAGAGAGAGGGGGGGGAGAGAGAGGTTCTACCATTTACAATATAAACAAATCAAACAATGTGACAACTTACATGCAGACCAGATGCATATGTTTTGATGTCTTCAAATCTAGAATCAGTACATTTCAACCTCACACCAATACTAAGGGCTCGAAGTTTTGTTTCTGCCTTCTGTAAGTAGCCTAAAAATGTTAAGACTCAAATTAAAATTAAGAAAATCAACAGAATCTATTAATTATCATAATTTTGAACATATTTTTTCTATGTCACATTTTTATAATTGTTTTTGTAACATGCTAAATGTTTTATTATCAGGAGTAACAAAATAACTTACCTGTCTGCTTGACTGTTTCTTTCCAACCATCTTCTTGTTGAAGAAATCCTAAGAATATAGGATCCTTAGAGAGAATTGGGTGTGCAGCAATTCTATGAAGAAAGTTCTGCAAAAAGTTTTATTTATTTTAGTAACTATAACAAACAAGTCCACAATAATAGGCTAGACATTTGAAACATTGCTACCAGTAGGCTACTATTTAAATGCAAGATTTCTTCTTATAAAGATGTTCTTAACTTCTCATTAAGTTTATTAATGTATGATTATAAAAATTTTCATAGGAGCATAGTGCTTACAATGTGATGTCCGATTATCGAGAAATCGATTATTTCAACACCCCTCTACCCCAATTCTTTCGGATAATTGGCGCTCTACTGTACTAAGGTATTTTTAAACAAGTGATTTCAGAATCAAAGCATTTAAGGTAGTCAGAATGGTTTACTCACCTCCAAACTAGCTCTACGCCTGTCAACAAAGTCCGGGTCGAAGGTGTCAGTAGGAGTATTGTGCCATGTGTAGAGAGGCCGTTTCTCTGGTAGGGGGGGTACTACCGCCCACAGAAATGTTACCTCCAAATAGGCACGTAGCTGTTCAAACTCCGTGTACCTTCGCCACAACAACCCTAGCGGACGGATGGGCAAATGCCAATCATCATTCAGCTTCCTACAAAACAATTTGAAAAATTCCAACATCATCACCTTCCACATCATTTTACTCTTTTAAATGAAGAACAATAAAATAAACAAAATAGTTTAAAATTGATCGGGGAAACATTGTACAATATGCCATTATGTTGAACATTCAGATACTTCACAGATTGAAAAATAATTGAAAACTTAGTTGTAATGGAGCATAATTTTAATTGGCCACTGTAGAGTTAGCCTATGAACCTTAATTACTATAGGCCTAGAACAATAAGTGACTTAATATTAATTTAATATTAAAGATACGATTTAAATGTAATGAAGAAATACATTGCTAATCTAGCATCCAATAAAGCAACTCACTCAATAATCTGACATTGGTTATTTACTATGTATTTTTTACAATGAATAAGCCTTCTTCGAATCCAAACCCAAACCTTAAAAGTATAGAGTTTCAAAGCTCGAATTCAAGTCAAATGTTTACAAAACTATATAATCATGTCTGAAAAGTTAAAATCAATTCGCAATGTTATTCACTTTCAATACTCACAAAACACAAACTATGGAAAGCCTAAGCGGAAACGACACAACTTTTTTACGTGAGTTCTGTTTAATTCTTTGAAATTGTGTGTTCTTTTGTTGATTGTTGCGTGACTTATATAATTGTTAATATACTTTTCCTACCACTGCATGGCATGATTACTTGCCACACCTGTAAACAGTACGCAAAATAGATCATTGCCGCTCTAGAGCGGGAATGACCATTCCTGCTCGCTAAATCACTAAATCTGCTGATTTCATTGTTGGTGTTTCTATAAAACACTAACATTCAGTAAGCAAATATCATAACCTAAAATATCAAACATAACCTAAGTTAAATTGTACATACAACTAAAAAGTTAATCAGTGTGTTATGATAAGTTAATTATGGTGGTAGGAAAAATCTTGTGTGTATTACGACGTGCAAAAACAGTCATTGCCGCCTTCAGCGGCCATAAACGGTTCTTGAGTGGCAATGACGTACTTTGGGGATCTTAAAACACAAATAGAAGGTATATTTACGACATTCGATAAATCAAACCCGTTCAAAATTCTACCTAAATAAAAAGCTGTCATAATTTCTCAATAACCCCATTTCTCAATAAGTTTTACTTACTTTGTTTCAATCAAGTAAACAGTGTAGTAGTCTCTAAGGTTGAGGGCCGAGTTTGCTCTCTTTTCAGCTTCCGTCACACTGATCTCCAAATGGTCCATTAGACATTTCTGAAAAATATTTAAAAATGATAATGAGGAAGTCGTAGTAGGTCTATAGTAATAAAAATTATGTAGCCTATATAAAAGTTAAACAAAAACCTACTTAAAGAATGCCTTATAATAAGAAAGTTTTTTTTTCAACTTTGATAAAAGATACCGATTTTATTTTAATTTATGTCACAACCATTGTTGATGGTGTTTTTATAAGAATTATAGGAACGTTACAAGCCAATGTGTTCATAGCCATTGAAGCATCGCAAATTAATTATGAAACACAGTAATACAAACTTTGGTCAATTTCAATCTTCAAAGTAAAAGAGAAAACTGTAAGACATGATGAATGATTTCCAATTATCACCACATTTTGCTGACGGTCATATCACACTAACTCGCCACTGGGTTAGTCATACGAACTAGACCTAGTTAAACAACCTACTGTGACTTACAGATTTATTTATACACATATTTCACCCAAACAGATCAACGAAAGTGTTCTGATCGAGTGAACGAAGATATTGGGAAAATCATTACTTGGACTAATAAACACGGACTCAAACTAAACCACGAAAAAAAAACTAAAACGATCATAATTTGTCATCCACGTTTACGGAACTCTATCGACTTTCTGACGACGATTCCAATAACTATAAATGGAACAGATTTGCTTTACAGTGACAAGGTCAAAAACTTAGGGCTTACTATCAACTCGACACTTACTTGGGGCGATGCGGTAGTAAACATCTGTAAAAAGGTGTTTGCATCAATCCACTCACTTAAAAAGTTACAGCATTTCTTAACTTTGCACATAAAGTTACACCTGGTTAAATCACTTGTTTTTCCCAACTTCACTTACTGCAACTCTGTGATCAATGACATGACTGTAAACCTCGCTGATGCTCTCCAACACGCTCAGAACTACTGCCTAAGATGATCTAAGACGCAGTGGGCGCATCACCCCTTTCTACATTCATTTTAAGTTAGGCCTATTAAAGCTATGTGACCTGAGATCAATCAAAATTCTTACGCTAACCTATTCAATATTAAAAAACAATTTTTAAAAATATTTTGTAGATGATTTTAGGTTTGTAGCTGAAGAAAGTGTTAGATACTCATGCCATGCATCATTAACTTTGCGTATGCCTCACCATAGGACTGCAGTTTACGACAGAGCGTTTGTTGTAACTGCTTGCCGTCTTTGGAATAATCTCCTTATAGCTATTAAATCCCTCGATAGTCATTCCCGGTTTGTGGCAGCACTAAAAAATCTCTATTTTGAACGCATGGCCATGGTAGGTTTGTCCTAGGGGCTTGTGCGCATGGCGGTCGCTGACTTGTATGTATGTGTGTGTAAGTTAAAATTTACTGATTTAGGCCTATGTCAAAAGTTTCTGTATCTATCTATGATTTCTGTTTTGTTTTATTGTATAAACTGATTCGATTCTGTTAAAATATGTATATCATATATAAAAGTACAGGTTTTAAAAGTGTAAGAAAGGGCCAAGTGGCCCTAACTTTGTCTGTGTAAATAAATGATTTTTCATTTCATGTAAATCACTGATTCTGTTGACACCAACATTTGAACCCAGCCGAAATGAAGGAACAATCAGATACATTAATAATGTTCCTCAAATAAAAAAACAAACCCAAACCTCCAAAAAAACTCTCAAATCTCAATGGAGCACCATTATATCTAAATGTATATTTTCAGAATGTCAATGGACTTAGATCAAAGATGACTGAGCTCTCTATAAACGTTTCAAAGTCCTCTTACGATGTAATAGCCTTAGTGGAGACAAACTTAACCAATGATATCTGCAACTCTGAACTGGGACTTCATGGCTATCATATCTACAGAAGCGACAGGTCTAGGTCCACAAGTTCAAAATTAAGTGGTGGTGGTGTTTTGATCGCAGTGAAAAACTCAATTTCAAGTGTGAATATTCTAACTAATCCTGAATGTGCCTTAGAATGTCTATTCATTTCCTGTTCATCTTCGGCCTGCAGTTTCCTCATTGGATGTGTTTACATTCCACCAAGTCAACCGATCTCCGTCTACTCGGACTTCTACAATGTCGTTGATGAGGCTATCATTTGGTCTGGACTTCACGAAAAGATTATTTTGTTAGGTGACTTCAATCTTCCTGAAGCTGTGAATGCAATGACCCGAACGTCTTGTCTGGTTCCGAGTCATCTCCCTGTTTAACCAGTATGGCTACCCTACATTCTCTTAAGCAAATTAACTCGGTTACAAACTATCGGGGAGCAATACTTGACCTAGTATTTACTTCCATCTCATCCAGTGAAGTTGTTGCAGCGGAGGAGGCATTATTGACACCATACTTGTTTATCTGTACAGCTTAAACTTCACACCGCTATTCTTTCAAAAAAAGTCAGATTTCTGCGTGATTACTGCAAATGCAATATTGATGCTGTTTTCCACAGACTGCAAACACTGAATCTTCCTATGTTGGATCCCTCATCGGCTGTGGTTCCCGCATTTTGATGAATTCTGTCGCAACATCAACGAAATCGTCAGTGCTAACACTCCAGTGAAAAGAGTATCTTCTGCAGTTCTTCCTAAGTGGTTCTCTAAGGATCTCAAACAACTCGTGATAAAGAAGAAAATTGCCCACAAGCTATACAAATCATCACTCAGCATTAATCACTTTGAAGTGTTCAGAGAGTTGAGGAGAAGATGTAAAGTCATGGCCAGGAAATGTTATACTGATTACACGAGAAAGATTGAAGACGATATTCCAAGGAACATAAAATCCTTCTGGTCACATGTTGGCAGTCTTAAACGTAGCCCAACAATCCCATCAAATATGGCCCTTGGCTCTAGAGTGGCCAAGTCTGCAGAGGACACATGTGAGCTATTTGCAAACCACTTCTCATCTGTCTTCAGTGATGCGTCCCCTGCTGTCCCTTCCTTTGACTTTGGTTGGAACTTCTGCATCTCCCAGTGTTTATTTTCTCTAATGGACGTACAGCGTAAGCTTGAAAATCTCGATCCAAACAAAGGAGCTGGTCCAGACAATATTCCTCCTCTTATACTTAAACACTGTGCACGTATTCCTGCACCCCACTTATTTATTCACGGCTCTGCTGAGAACCGGAGTATTTCCTGATAGCCTTAAAACAGGATATGTAGTCCCCATTTTCAAGACAGGCGATCGGAATGATGCCAAAAACTATAGACCCATTGTAATTTTGTCTGCAATAGCGAAGGTCTTCGAGAGCATAGTACTGGATTTTCTTTATTTTAATTTGCGTAAGTGCATTTCTCCTGAGCAACATGGCTTCCTTCGCTCCCGATCCACCATCTCCAACCTACTTGAATTTCAAGATGTTATCATGGGTGCCTTCGTTCACTCCTGCCAAGTAGACTGCATTTATCTTGACTTGTCAAAGGCTTTTGACAAAGTCAGTCATCGCCTACTGATAGCTAAGCTTGGTGGCTATGGTGTTTGTGGCTCCCTGCTTAAATGGATCGATAGTTACCTAAAAGTAAGACATCTTATTGTAAAGTGCCATGGCAGTTCATCACGCCCATTTAAAGTATTGTCTGGTGTTCCTCAAGGGTCCCACCTTGACCCTTTACTCTTTAGCCTACTCATAAATGACATCAAGTTTGTAATAGGTTCAATATTTATCATGTTTGCAGATGACATGAAGGTCTTTAGCAGGATATCAAGTGACTGTGACAAAATTTATCTCCAAAACTCTCTCAGCAACATTGAAGACTGGTGCAAAAATAACGCCATGCAGTTGAATGTTGACAAATGTGTAGTTATGTCATTCAAACGGGGTTCGGACTTCTTAATTCACGACTACACAATCAATGAATAAGTTCTTAAGAGGGTTTCCAAAGTTAAAGATTGGGAGTTATTATGACACCATCGCTAAATCCAATGGAGCACATTACGCACATCACTGCAAGAGCAAACTCTCTGATTGGATTCATCCTAAGATCAACAAAGGGTTTCATCTCTCCCCTTACTCTCGTGACCTTATACAAAGCTCTTGTTTGTCCAATACTTGAGTAGGGATCCAGAATTTGGTCCCCTCATCAACTGAACCACATTAACCAGTTGGGAAGCATCCAGCGACCCATCGTCAGACTTCTTCGATGCAGGCTTGGGTTTGACAGCCTACGTACTCCTGTGAGTGAGGTTGAATCTCTGTTTGGCCTCACCCCTCTACACGTGAGGCGGCAAAACTCAGACCTACTGACACTTTTGAAGTTGGTAAATGGCCTCCTGGACTGTCCGGATATACTCTGCGGCATCCACTTGCATATACCGACAGGAACATATTCCAAAACGATATTCCGTAGACGCTACCAACCCACCTACTATGCATCAAACAGTGGCCTAGATATCGAGATTTCTACGTACTGGGAGTGATGTCGCAATCCACCTGGACTTCTTTCACGACTCATTGTCCTCGTTCCGGAGAAAGGTCGCCTCCCTGCTTAAGTAATATTTAATAATTCTAGTCACTACTGTAGTATGTATCTTACCTTCCCTAGCTCTAGTCATAATTAATCGTTCCTGTTTTTGTTGCCAAGTATCACCGCTTATGCTATGTTTTTGTTAAATCCAATTTTTATCCATGTTGCATTATTTATCCATAACTAGGCCTAGGCTTAGAAACACCTTGGTTCATAGCATAGCTTATAGGCTTTAGATATAGCTGGTCTATATTGGCCTAGATAAACTTAGGGCCTATATGTCTACCTCAGTATCCGAATGTCAATTGTATAGGCTAACCTAGTTGCTTTGGCTAAAGTAAGCTAGAAATTACCAAGACTATGCCTATCTTAATTCTAACAACTTACTCCATTTCCAGTAGCATCAACAGTTAAATTTTCAGTATTTTCACTTTCTACTGCTTTGTCGTCTGGTTCTGAAGAGGCCATCGCATTTGGTCAATTAACACACTAATATAAGTATGATATAACTTATTCAATCAATTATAATTTATTATTTTAGAGATCACAACACAACTGTCGAACTGTCTAAAAACCACTATAAACATAACCCTAGTTTAGGTCTTTTACGATTGTATTAATGATTATTGACAGTACAGTAACAGCATTAGCATTACCATTGATTATAGTAAATAGATTAGGATTTAGAACTAGAACTAGAACACAAGAACAGCAACAGAAGAACAGTACAGTATTTTGTTTTGGTTTTGGTACCAATAATTTCCATGCAGTGATTGCAGTGATTGTTCTTTTTTTCGTCACAAAAAGACTTGCTTTAGCTACCTACCATGAAGCTCTTAATAAGTGTCGTTAAACGTAGTTTTAAAGAATAGATGTCGGCGTTGAATTTCAACACTTTCTTAAAAATGTTCAAAAGATAAATAAATGTTTGTCTCATTTTTAGGTAAACTTCCCAGTTTCTACATTACTCTTTGATCGAAGAAGAGGACAAATAATAGTCCTTTGCTAGTAGCCTAGTATATTGTTCTATTTGGTCGCAGCCAGGTTCCTCTAAATAGATATTTTACCGCCATTAGCAATATAGTATATATCCTATTAAAATCGATAATGGCAACTCACTCAATGGTTACGGAACTTAAACAGGCTAAGCTTAAACAGGTTAACAGCAGGACGATTGATTGATTAAATTGACCTTACCCAGTACAAGAAAGGTGATTTTATGCTCTCCGATTGGCATATCCATGTATATCAGAGCTCGTCAAACATGAGTTGCTTAATGAACTGCAGCATCCTATCTATGAGCCCCTCCTGAGGAAGGGGGCTGCCCCTTGTAATTGTTCCAAGAGTCCTTTTATTACTTCTTCAAGTTCCAGAGCTGTTCAGTCATGGAGTAGATGATCTTCATCAGCTTCTTTGGACTGCCCAAATTTCCTAAATGCGGTAGCTCCATTGTTGATCCTCAAGCGATGAAGGTACAATCTCAGGAAGCCATGACCCGTGACCATTCCTGTGAACTATCTTGGTTGCCTCCTGTCTACTCGTAGAGTATTGGAGGTGACCTGGGAAGGGGTGAAGAGATTGAGCTTGCTTATCCTATGGTGCTGAAGCCAAACCCATCTTCTTCTGTGCTCCTCCTGACCCCATGACATGATTGACTGGCATGCGTACATACGATAAATTCCACAGAAATGCAGTGGTCCCACAAAGTCTGATTCTGACGCAAAATTCGCCTACTTGTCAGCCAGCTCGTTTCCTTCTTTCCCAGAGTGTCCATAGGGACTCAACAGAGCGTTACCGTGTTCCTACTGCACAGAGCATATAATGTTGAGAGTGCCAGGCCACATTGGACTCGAACTCCCAGCATCAGTCGAGTGCCTAGAGCACAGCTTGGTTGTTTGTGAAAATGGAAATCTTCATTTCCCTTAAGCCCTGCCTAAGGTTCTCCCTGGCACACTCCATGATAGCAGTTATATCTCAGCCTGGAACATAGTTGGATGCATTCCCATTTAAATGCTACACATAAACTTTTTAGCATCGATATAATTTTGAAAAAAATATATATAACTTAACTTATTTTATTTTTTGTTGAGTTTGTTCTATATGCTAGATGGTACACAATGTATCTTCTGGCAATTTACCTGCCTACGAGAAAAAGCACTCGAGATGTATAAATAAAGAAATAAACATATAAAATAAGACATAAGTCCCTAATCTGCACTCTGTGAATTCCAGCTCCTTTGTCCCACATCTTACATTTGAACCATCTGTATACGATTCAAGGTTGCCCTAAAGAAGTGGATCCTCCCCTGTCATACATTTCTCTTAGGATGGAAAAAGGATGGTGAAAAGAATCGTATCTGAATTTGGTCCAAGGCTATATCCATAACCTCTTATCGTCCCGTCTAAGTGATCCAAGAGTGGCCTCGGGATCCTCCTGCATTCAACCAAAAGATTTTCAACTGCGGGAGTGTGTAGGTTTAGGCAGCCTACCTTGCAGTGACCTTGACGTGCAGGTCAGTCGGAGTTACTTCGACACTAGGTTGAGAAGGCAGTCCAGTAAAGCTCCCACTCAGCTGTTCATCGCACCAGTGATGGTGAGAGAGGCGCGAGTCTTTGGACGGCAGCCAGATCTCTCACTACCGACATCCGTCTTGTCTGGGCCACAACACAAGTGATCCGTGTGTTATGGCAGGCCTTATCACAGAGACGAAAAGCTAGTGCATGAGCCCCAGCTTGAGCCACAGGTCCCTCTCACCGTTTGCCTGCATGTCATTAGTGACCACTTGCCTCGGTCAATGATGTGGCCCGCATTGAAACTTTACGTATATTACCACGCCCAGGTACTTCACCTGAAGCACTGAGTCTGAAGTATGGAGTCTGTAAAGTCCGATGCCGTTCAGGTCCCGCCTCCTGGTAAGGGTATTACCGTCACCTTTGAGGGGTTGATTGGAAGGCCTACACCACCGTAAGGCAATTTCTTTGAATTCCCAACATGAACACTACCACTGCACCCCTCGCGAGCAAATCTCGTTAGCTTCTTCTCGGGGGTGCTGACTACGTATAGTGATGCAAACTATAATATCGGATATCATCCGAAACTGTATTCCCCGATAGAGATTGTTTGGAAATAATTGGCCTTCCAGGTCTTTTGGGAGACTCTCCATATCTTGTTTTGTATGTTTACTTTATTATCATGTTGTATATGTTTGAACAATCTCCCTTCTGAAGTCTAGCTGTGGCTGCAATGATGCCCCAGAGCTTCGTCTGAGTACACATACATCAATAGGCCATGTAAAAATTGGATCGTGTCATGAACTTCTGAAAGGGTGATTTAGTTTTTCCATGAAAAAATACACTTTTTGTTCAGATTTATTTTTAAAACTTTCTTAATTTTCATACAGTTTAAAAGGAGACGTAACGTGCCCATTGGTTGAGTTGCATGACAAATTTTTCATATCTTGATTCCTTGGTAAAATAGTTGTATTAAACGTAACCCAGCAACATTTATGGATATTGTATCTTTTCAATTTTTAAAACCACTATACAAATTGCCTATGGAACTCTTTCGTTGTGTTATGGTTAAATTCGTTTTCTTACAGTTCTTTTTGAGGGGACGGGTAACTATTACAACCCCACTAACTAACACAACCCCCTTCCATAGGTTAACTACTACTTAATACACACTAGGCTACGAACATAAGAATAGACCAGAAGATCAATATGCAAACACCATCAGCACATATCAACCATATTTTATGACAATCCATATGTTGTGTTGTAGCAATTGCTTAACATCTATCTACTTATTTCTATGAGGGAATTCTCTGTAACATTCGCTTTTCCATCGTCCTACTTAAAAGATTCCTACGATTGAGGTGTCATTTTAAGCCTACGATCTAGCGAGTTTCTATTATCTAAAGCCTACGATAAGAGTTTCTTGAGAGACGAATACTGACTAAAAGGATACATTATACAGTACTAAGGGAGTTTCCTTAAGATCCTCCTAACCCTAGAGTCCACTTTTCAATGTCCAAAGTTGCTGCCAAGCTTCGTATACAATTGTAATTTACCAGCTGATAACCAAAACAAAATAAACAAGTGGATTTTTTAACAACTGCCAGATTTTAAACAAGACGTAAAACAGTTTTCAAAATCAATTTTAAATCTACTACTTTTATTTATATAGTTTTAGTCTGATTCAGACACGTAAATTGATCTTTGTCTTTTGGTTTTACCCGTAGCAATATGATAGTACCATCGAACGCCAGGTCAAATAAATATGTTCAGGGGCACCCCTATTTTACTAAGGCTATACAATCGACATATTTTAAACAATGTAAATTAAAAGCCTCGTTAATAATAACTTAAACAAAAATTCTGTGACGACTTTGATCTTGAATGTTAATTTTTTAGCTACAAAATAACTTTTGAAAAATCAAAGGGTGTTGTATTATTCGATTTGCTATGAAGACAAATTAATTATTATTTACATGCGCAACATGCGTGCGGGACCCCGTGTTAGTAAATGTAAAAAAAAAAACATTGATCCAGATTACTAATACAACGTTATTGATTTTCGATATAACGTTTTATTGTGATTAGATTGTGTTAAATAAGTTTGATTTATCAAATATTTTAATTAGGTTGTATGATAGTAAGGGCACGATATAATTTTCCTAAATATCAATAAAATACCATCACCACCTGTTAATTATTGCCTGTTATTTATTGCCCTTTATTATTGATTGTTAGTTTGTTTTGTGTTAACGTTTTCTTGTATGGCAGGCTTACATTACTTTAGCCAACTTCCATGTTGTATTTATTATTTCATTGCATTAAGCTAGTGTTATTGTATTGTAAATTAGGCCATCTTGATGATATTTGTTAAAATGGTGTACCTCGCATGAAATAAATAAATAAAACTTAACGAAAATATTGTAAAATTTAATTGAATTTGAGCCAAGTATACAACGTCGGAAACTTAATTGGTACTGTCATACCATGACGCAGCTATTTACTCTAAAATTATTTCGTATGATTCCCAAAACATTGTTTAGGTTTTGCCCAATTCGTGTGGGTTTCAAAACGTTAACGAATCTTATATTTACCTATGTTTATAAAATCCAATACTCTAGTACCAAAGGCCCAGCCATCATACTTAATTATGTTATTGGCTATTTATGTTATTGGTATTTGTTAATCGGCATGTTGGTTGGGTTAATATTAGTTTAAGTTTGTTGATTGAGTTGTAAACTACTGAGCCACGGGCCTCACGGTTGATGTACACCGCGCTCAGGGGGAAATCAAAGCGGAAATCATGGAGAAGGAAAATGCTCAGAGGAAAATCTGTAGGTACAAAACAAATAACACCCAAAAATGAACCCAAACCGAATACCAATGGGAACGAGGACGCCTGCGAACATTATCAGACATATTTATAGATAAAACAATGGCGGATCCGATGCCAAGTATCTTCTGGAGAAGGGGGTGTAACTGTAAAACGGACAGAATCTTGCACGCACTCGTGGTCCAGTGGTCAGAGCGCGCGCTACTCCAACACATTAACCATGGTGAGTACTAGTCAGTCAACTTTAAACTAAATGTTGGAACTGTTGGTTTGTTGCAACAAATAATCATGGAGAAGAGTAAATAAATAGAGTGGCCACGTATAGAATTTATTGGAATGTGGTCTTTTCTCGATTGTCTGAAAAAGTGACAAATTATTGAGTCAATGGAATGTTAATTAATATTTTGTGCTCATGAACTCCACAAAACCAACGATGAATTATGTTTATGGCGGTCTGGCTTAGCCATCCGCAGTTGTAGATATACAATATTTGTAACGGTTGAAGATAATATTATTATATTTACAAGCTGGCCCCTCCCGTTAGTCCAGTAAACTATACAAAACACCAACCCTTTGCTGTGCATTTTAGCGTTTTACGCTCAATCACAAACCAACACTAGGTGTAAGCATTTTTACTTAATTATGTTTTTAACATTGTTGTGAAATAAATAAAAATAGCTCTGTGAAATCCTCAAAGTAACCATGTATGGAATACAATAAAAATGAATCTTGAAGTTCTGAATGAACCAGTGCATGCTTTTAAACTCTTTGGGATATTTTTGAGCTTCAGTGGATTCTGTATAAAGTAAATGTTTACAAAATATTAATATTTAAAAATATGCTCTACTTAAAAGGTGAGGTTCATCATATTCTTATCGCGCAAAAAAAAAAGATTGTAAATAACTATAACCTCGATAGCAATCATCTCTTGAATGGAAGTGTGCTTTCCACTTCTGTTGAACTTTCGTCTTATTTCTACATTGTCTTGGTAGAAGAATATCTGAAGGGAAGTAAACAATTCTTCTTTCTATTGACATATTACTACTTATTTTCCATAGTTTCTAAATAGTGTTAGAATTTAAATTAATCTTTATGTCTGTTTTCACAGGGTGATCTGTCTGCAAGGGATCTTGAAAGTGAGTATTTTAATCACACTTCTATGACAACCTTTTGAGTATTAAAATGGTGTAACCGTTGCGAGGAAATAAATAAATAAATAAATATTGATAACATTTTGTGATTGATTCAATTGAACGATGTATAGTCATCCCAAACACTGAATAGCTAATCCAAGGTAGACTTAATGCTACATGTAAAGTTAGTTTAAAATATTGAAATAGTTAAGTGCAAACGAAGCGCTACTAAATCGGCAAATTTATAACACAATATAACTAACAACTCTTTGAGAGCTTATAGACCTAAAGTTAATCGCACATAGAACACGTGATCATTTACCAATAAGCTTCGAATATGGGATAGGAGTTTTTAAATAGTGCACTAACGGCGAAATAGACATGGTGTTTAACTGAACATCATTGAAATTAACAATGGAAACCAAAACGAAGTAAATTGAATTAGTTAATTAACCAGAGTTGCTGATGAGTTCTGAACAGATTCCACAGACTTGTGGTATTCCACAAATTAAGTGTATCGATAATTGTTCAAGGGTTATTATATAGGTTAGGTAAGGTAATTCAAATATTAAACTGGAAATACGTGATATACACTTGTAAGTGTCTGGAAATAACACATTAGAAAAACAATTTCACCGTACCTTAAATATAGTGGGTTTGATTATAGAGTATAGAAATCTTTTGTAGCATTACATTTTGGTAACGAAAGATTGCTTAGTTTCAAATCAGACACAATAATTAATTAACATATTTTTTAAAAACGGAAATAGTTAGTTACTTTTCCACGTTTGAATTTAAAACTATTCCAACTGAATGAACTAATATACATAAACATCCGTAGAAGTTTTCAAGTAGGCGTGGCTTATACACGTATGGTTGACAACAGTTTAGACGTTATACAGTAGTCTTTCGATGAATCATTTGTATTCATAGCTCTGCTGAATAGTCACATTTATCTCCGGTTAATGAGTGAAAGTCATTATTTAATGACACTGCGAATGATAAAGCATTATCTTCCATAAAAAAAAAAACAATTGAATTTATAATGTTAATGTCAGTGTACAAAATGTCTATTATTTTAAATATTACAGTAAAACATAATGTATAATGATTCTACTGTATTAAGATTATTTAAATGGGATACATTGTTTACGCAAACGTTTTACAAAGGTATGCGAATGTCTAAATAGCACAATCTGCATTACAAAAGTATGCAGCGTTGTGATGGGTCCATAAATGTATATTATATAAGAGCAGTTTTGTTTGTTTTTAAAATGTTGGTTCTCGTACTAGAACTTTATCCATAGGATAAATATTTATTCTATGTTTTATCAGCTACTTCGGTATGTCATTAGTTGATCGAGAATAACGATAAATCGAATATGGCTGTGATTCGGTTTTATGGTTGAGGTTTATTTATTTTGAGATTTGTGATTTATTTATGCGATTTTTTAGGTTTAACATACATAACTATTTAATAATTTTTAGAGGTTTTCGTCAAAGATTGTGATTTTTAAATACTATGGTATTTATTTTACAATATGATAAAATTAGTTTTTGTACATCGGGTGAAAACATTTGTCTCGGCAACATTTTTTAATTGAACGATCTTGAGACTAAAAAAAAGAAGATGTGTTAGCACATTTATCTATAACACATAATTCTACAATTCTTGATACGATCAAAATGTAGGTTTTTGGGTTTTATGGACTTATTTTCCCGTAACTGAATCACATAACACTTATTATAGTCTTTAGTTTTGAAGTTTAAACTTTATACTCATTTTTTAACATTTTCAAGCTTGATTACAAGTAGATTTTAATAACATGCCTTATGTGAACAGTCTATAGTTTTATTTGAACTAAAATTTATTTATTTACAAAACTCCAGGTGATTGTTAAAGGAAACTAAAGCACTTCAGTCACATTATTTAGTTCAGACAGCAACTACAGTATACATAAATGTTTCTTTAGTATGATTGAAATGTTTATGATCATAATTGTTTAAGTGTATTTCAACAATTACTCAAGCTAGAACTTAAAATCCACAATAGTACTGATTTAAAAAGGGGCGTAAAAACTATAGGCCTACATATTATATGGCTCATATTATACACGGAGTTCATCGTATTTGTCTCATTTAGATGACTTTACTAAAACCAAATTGAAATAAAAATAACAAATCCATCACTCAGATTTCATAGGTAGCCTACAACCCACAATTTATGAAACGAATGTTGCATTACTTTAAAACAAACACAAAGTATTATACTCAAACTATTTTCTGCTTAAACAAAATATGTATTTTGTTTAGAAAATTCAGTGTGAAATCACTGAAATACTCACACATAAAACAATTCAAAAACTTTATGATCAGCTCTTAGTCAATAATTTATGAGGATTTATCAAGAAATACGCTCTTATTAAAAGACAATTTTTGTAAACTATGAGTTTTAAAATCTAAATTTCCCTTTATAAAAATTCACCAATTTGCTTTCTATTTATGTAATAAGTAGTTCCAAACTGTCAACAACCTATCCTCGTGTCGTCTTCGATCAAAATCACGATTTAGGAGTCAATCCCTTTAAAGAAAACTCAGCTCTTGCTCTACGCATGACCGTAGATAATGGCATTTGGACCTGAACACTCTTGGCGCGAGCTTCCGATCCAGGTTAAAATAAAACTCACTAAAGTAGCCTTGCTTTAAAATAGTCATTGGATTAAACTACCATAATTCGAATCAAGGTCTTGAAATATTGTTGTGTGCTTACCTTTGTACAAATGTCAGTTTTTAAACTTCCATTTGACATTCTACACCCTTATGGAAAGGGAAAATGATATTGATATAAAGGGTGTGTAGTAATATTCTCCCCAAGAAGAGCTTATACAGTATGACTCATTGAAGACGCTCCAAACATGAAACTCCTAAGAAACAAAAACAGATGGAAAGACACACCCCTGAGTTACTCATTTGATTCCGACCAAAATAAACAAAATGGCGGAACATGAAAATAATTGTGCGTTTTCGATTAAGTAATTTTATTTGCAAAATCCTTCTTACAATAATAATTAAGTTATTAATATTAAAGCAACTCATAATATGGGATATTGTTAAATTGTAGATTAAAATCATTTTATTCACAACCCTTAATTCAAGCTCGTAACTTGATATGAACCTTTTTAATCACGTTTTAATTTTGTTGTTATTTTGTTGATCCACCATTTCGTTCTGACTGGCTATAATCAAATTATACCCAGAGTTTTTTTCTTTTACATGTATTTATTTCAATGTTAGAGTATCAAGTTTTAGCGTGTTCGATAAGTCCGATATATTAATTAAATAACAGGAACCTCTTTGTGGGACACCCTGTACAATAATATCGCATATTTACTGAGTCATTACTGAAATATAAAACGTATCACTTTATATTACTAGACATAATTAAGTATCACTTGATACTTACAATTTGAAATCAATATGCCATAATTTATGTTTACATTTTTTTCATTTTTCTCCCCTGGTTCTAAAGCCACATCGAAATATGTATTAATTAGATAAGTAGTTATAAAGATAGTGTTAATGATCTCTATAACAAATTCCTTCGAGCTGGAACAAACTCCCTTTTGGACCCTTTTTTTTATAATAGACATTCGACATAACCAATCTATGTCATTAAAAGTATTTCTTAGAGTTTTAGTTATAAAAAAATAGTGTGTTACAACGGCTTTTAGCTATGTATTAAGATTTCAATGTGTTGCGAAATATACATCGATGGATTCTAGATTTATATTATGTATCCATGTAAGTTTTCAATATCACTCTTTTATTTTTTTCACGTTAAAATGAAACGAACAAAACCAGTTTGATTACAAATTACGACTTAGTTTTGTTATAGCCCAAATATGAGCCAAAACCTTGATAAAATAAATACTCAATTATTAAATAATTTTGTACACTATTTATTTTATAAATATTATGATTATATTGATCAAAAACTCGAATCTAGTAGTGTTTATTTTTATTTTTAAAATTTTGTTCATTTTTTACCAGCTGTTTGTTTTATTTTATATTCTTAGCTAAAAATAGGTTACATAAAGCAGATTACTGACCTCAATCTGTTATGTACTTTTGAAAACTGTATGCAAGCGTGTAGTCGTGATTATGCAACATATATGTAAACAATTTATAAAAACCATAAACCAACTTTATGTAAACAAATTACATTAACTCGTAAATAAATTTTAATGACATTAAAATAATTACTCAAGTTTAGTCTGTATAGTGTAAAATCGTAGTATTAGCTTGAAAGATACATTAAAAACGATAAAGTTCAAATTTATCATTTAAGCATGAACAGAACTTAACATTTGAAAAAGTTATTTATGTTATCACAAAGAAACATTCGCACTTTGAAAGATTTGATCTATCTCTCTAGAAATGGACAAATATATGATATGCTTAGTCTGTCAAACTATAGTTAACAGGTTACCTACATATCTCGTGTTTTATGGTCAAGCAATACAATCACATGTTGTAAATATGTCAAAAGGCAAGAATGATTCGTGTGATCGAAAGTAGCGTTGGAGCTAGGAAATGCAAAAGAATTTGGATTTATTTTATAAAAATAAAACAAAACTACAACCTTTAGGTAATTAAATTTAAATAAAAGACGTTTAAATAAGTACATACATTGGCTTTCAAAAGTAACGTTTTACTAAGTGCAATAAGCCCAAAACATCCTTAACGTAAAAATACTTAAATCCTCATTTGTTTACCGTCGTCATTGACTATATACTTGTAGGTATATATACAGGGTGTTTGGTAGTCAGTGTCAAATATTTAAGGCATTATTAAGCACGCAAATTGCGATAAAAATACGCAATTTGGATAGGTTTATCTCACTCCTACTTCCAGCAACAGTCATTTTTTAATTTTTCCAAATTTCTTGACATTGCCTAATAAACCTCATATTTCTCAACGTTTACCCTACACAATGATATTTCCAATTGCATTTTTAGAATCGTCATTAAATTTTCTATCAGAGTACGTACAATATGGTACAACGTAACCCATTCAAAAGTTTTTAAATTCGACTCAAATATAAAATTTTGAAAAATCGATGAAAAGGGCACTACTACAACTCGCTTAAGAAAATTATCGTAAGAAAATTGTTGTCAAACAGTATAAAAAACATCTCCACATTATAAGCTTTAAAATGATATGCAATATGTGACATGTAATGTCAGCCTAAGGGGAGAAATATTGCGTTAAACATAAAATTAATTATTTTTTCATTATAAGCACTCATTTATTACAAGAACGCATTTAGTGAAAGTTGTGTACAAAAGGTATCTGTATAATTAAGTATACCCCAAGTAAACTTGTATATACAGTGTGTAAATTAAGTCTGGCACACATTTTTTATCTTTTTTTCTATAGTAGATAGAAGAAATCAATTTGCGGGACTGATTAATAACAAATGTTAGGCACATTTTACAAATTTTGAAAATAAAAACTCCCTTAAGGGCAAGGGGGGGTAGGGGGTAACTAAAAATTTTCAAATAACAACCCCCATCTTGTGACCCCTCATTTTAAAGGTCATTGGAAGACAAATCCAAAAATGTGTCTGAAAAATTTTTTTTTGCACCCTATCCAAGATGGCGATTTAAAATGTACTTAGGGTTAAACGGGTAAATTAGGTATGGCACACATTTCTTATCTTTTTTACTCTTTGTAGATTAGAAAGAATTAATTTGCGGGACTGAGTAAGAACAAATGTTTGGCAATTTTTGGCATAATTTTGAAAAAATTCCCCTTAAGGGTAAGGTGGGGGTGGGGGGTAACCAAAAATTTTCAAATGACAACCCCCATCTTGTGACCCCTCATTTTAAAGGTATTTGGAAGACAAATTTAACGATGTGTCTGAAAAAATTTTAATGTGTTTCAGACTTAATTCACCCGTTCAACCCTAAGTACATTTTAAGCCGCCATATTAGACAGGATGCAAAAAAAAATTGTCAGACACATCGTTAAATTTGTCTTCCAAATACCTTTAAAATGAGGGGTCACAAGATGGGTGTTGTCATTTGAAAATTTTTAGTTACCCCCCACCCCCACCTTACCCTTAAGGGGAATTTTTTTCAAAATTATGAAAAAGTGCCAAACATTTGTTCTTACTCAATCCCGCAAATTAATTCCTTCTATCTACAAAGAGTAAAAAAGATAAGAAATGTGCGCCATACCTAATTTACCCGTTCAACCCTAAGTACATTTTAAACCGCCATCTTGGATAGGGTGCAAAAAAAAATTTTTCAGACACATCTTTGGATTTGTCTTTCAATGACCTTTAAAATGAGGGGTCACAAGATGGGGGTTATCATTTGAAAATCTTTAGATACCCCCTACCCCCCCTTGCCCTTAAGGGAATTTTTATTTTCAAAATTTGTAAAAAGTGCCTAACATTTGTTATTAATCAGTCCCGCAAATTGATTTCTTCTATCTACTATAGAAAAAAAGATAAAAAATGTGTGCCAGACTTAATTTACACACTGTATATAGTTTTACACTAGAGCTGCTTGCCAACTCATGTATTTTGTACCAAGTGCAAAATCCGTTTTACACTTGCGTAGTAAACTATAGTGTCTTTTATTTCAGTTTCTTTTAAATTATAACAAATATAGTCGGCGTTTGTTCTTTGAAAGCTTATTCTAGTACAGAGCTGTAAAAATAACTATGTCTAAACATGGACAGTGCGGACAGTGGCAGTTATTTTGGTGCGGAGCTGGGCGTCGACGGTGCGTGGTGCGTCACAGCAGACATTTTGGGTGCCGCTAGTTTAAAGCAAAAATAAAATAAACATTCACCCGAATAAAATTAGTTCTTTCGATGGAAATATATGCAGAACAGTTTCGTTTAGCTATACTATATTGGGCCGCAAAACTAACCATAGCGCTTAATCCATCGGCTCAATTAAAATAATCTAATATAACAAGATTTTTTGACTCAATACAAAGAAAATCATCACAATAAAAATGAATGTACATCTTAAGATGTGTATACGAGTTATTAAAGCATTATAGTCCAGATTTCTTTAATTTAATTAACCCCCGAAATAGTTTGAGTTAACGAAGATGTTTATTCTAATCTAATAAATATAAATAAAGGATTTAAGTTGCTTAAAAAATATGTACAGCTGGATTAGCACGATAAAAATACTATACTTGGAAGAAAAAATAAGTAAATGCATCAAAGCTTCCTAGCACTAGGTTAGGTTATGCTAGGTTAGGTTACCTCATATTGATCAAGAAAAAGTTTCTGTTATTCCTACTGACAATATCAATTATCACGAACCGATACATCTTTTTATGCTTGTATCTATGCCAGGGCATTTATTTAGTTAAGTTCATTCAACCGCTTATAGAGAAAGCTGCCCAAACCCATTACAGTTTATAATACTTTACTTCTTACTTCTGTAATATAATAAAAGTTATATGTTAGACATATTAAAGGAACATTTAAAAATATATTCATAGACAAACTATTAATTAAAAATATTTAAATATCAGTCAATCAATCTTAAGCGGTGATTATAAAAAATGTACATGGTTAGAATATTTACCAGTGATAACACAATGGCATTTTGAATATCCAGTAAAACGTAATTGATTTTTAGTTGGAATTGCTGTATTTCAGTATTCTTCTGAAAACCTCTTTATTACGGTTTCATACTTTGTACCATTGACTATACACAGAATAGACTTAAAATTTGAAGGAAAAAACGTGGTGCAATCTGTTGAGATACAGTACCGTAGTCTATCAACTAATGACAATATTCTGTGTCAAGTGCTCAATCAATCAGCTGTTTGCTATGATACTGCATTGCTTTAAATTAATATTCAACCCAATACACTAGTAAACTCTGGTGAGATGGTCCTGAACTTCATCTATTTCTTGGCTTCAAACTTTCATATCACATGGGAAGTTTATTCTGTGTATAGTCAGTGGTTGTACATACAGTACACACATGCAGTACCAGTATAAGTTTCCATCAACTCCTATAATAAAGGAATATTCGCCCTTAAATGTCTTCCACAAACTAAACGGAATTTATTTTCCTTTAGTTAAGACAGTATTTTATTTTATAGTCCTTTTTTTTAAGAGTTTTACTCACATTTTTATCGTAGTTTACTATAGCTTCTATTTCAATAACCTGTAGTTCATTAACACTGCACCTATAATTCTAGGTATATTTATTGCACTGTTATTTATTCATAGTTTACGCCATTGTTGCATACAAACTAATAACACTACATTCGGGGAGGTCTTTGGCGGTCTCATGTTACATATTAATAATTTAAATGGCACCTACTTAAAGTCAAACAATATCGGGTTGTAACATACTGTTAATATATGTAGTACATTTGTATATTTGTATCAATGTAGGCCTATGTATTATCACATCTATAATATACCACATATTTTTATTTCACATATTTTTATTTCATTACATGAATCGTCTTTTATTAGTTGTTTATTATGTTAAGTTAGTTATATTGACCTGAGTCACTCTGTAAAACAGTTATTTTTACTGAGAGACGCTCGGAAATGAAGGAATTTTTAATTATTTATCCATACGTCTCGCAGATCTTAATGAAATTATAAACCTGATAAACCATGTTTTTTATTGTACCTGTAAGATTGGTGCATCTTAAAAACGCTTTAAATAAATCATTGCCCTTTTTAGACATTAAATTGTAGCCTCCTTGACAAGAAATGTCAACAATATGAAGAAATGTCTTTCCAGTTTTGTATGGAAGTGGAAACGTGTTTGCATGCATTTATTATAGTGTTTTTCTTACATTCCAAAATTTTAAAATCCAAACTCTCATTGACAACATGGTTTTTATGAGAGGTAGGAAAATTCGTTATACAGTTTAGAAAAGCCTGTTGACGTTAAGACACTTGCAAAGCTAATATATGTGTTATCTGCGTCCCAGGGGCCAACTTGGTGTTCGATGTGTACGACTTTGTCGGCACCAGCACCATCGATGCCGTCAACCTCGGTGACGCCCTGAGGGCCCTCAACCTGAACCCCACCCTCGCCACCATTGAGAAGCTCGGCGGCACCAAGAAGAAGGGTAAGTGAAGTGAAAAGAGTCATGGACCTATTTTACAGCTTCATTTCTAAATTTTGATTGCAACCCAATGTCTTATATATACCCTCAATTATTTCCATTGTTTTATTTATACATTTTATTCGAATATGAATACATTTTATACGGTATATATTCACTCAACCAAATATCATGAAATATGCAACCTTTCAGTTGTTTATATAAATTTTTCATATAATGTTATGACAGGAAGATTTTCTTTGAAATAACATCAAGAACACCTTTAATTCTTCAATAATATTCCTTAATGTATTAACGTATGTTTTATGTTACCTATTTGTCAGTTAGACACAGAAAAGATGTTAAACAACCTCATGTAATAGGTGAGAAGACACTGAAGAAGGACGAATTTTTGGCCATCTTCAAGGAAGCCAAGAACATCAAGGACTCTGGAGTATACGAGGACTTCATCGAATGTCTGAAACTGTACGACAAGGCGGAGAACGGAACCATGCTGGGCGCTGAACTCTCACACATTCTCATCTCTCTGGGTAAGAACTGATTCCGTCGACTAAAGACTATACAGTACACCTCTGCTGATATTGACCTATTTATCAACACGCTTAATACTCTCGTATTTAAACTTTTACCTACAGTAGTCAATTTACAAAGTCAAGCTTTGATTCCCTGTAATCAATAGAATTCAGGTAAATGTCGTTGCTAGATCACTTACTGAAGCTATTTGTTTTAATAATGTGTTGTTTGTTTGTGAGAACTATTCGTATTACGTTTGTAGTACGTAATACGGCTATACTTGATATGTATGACATATTACAGAGAGTAATTACTACAGAATGGTTGTAAAACCAAACGTTTTAAAGGGCGATAGTTCTTGCTATAGTTTACCCAAGTTAAAACCCTAGTAGAGTACCACTACCAGGATATTCACCTGTTAAACATACATCCTGCAAACTTTACCAATTTACACTTGGTTTTATAAAATTTTTCTTCATGTTGATAAATAATAAAAGATAAATTACATTAATGTACGTCTATTATGATTGTAGTCTTACTTGCTTTGCTGCTTCGAGGTGCATACATAATAGTTTTTTTCTCAAAAATTCAAAATAGTTTAGTGAAACTGATTAATTTGACAAATTTTAGGTTTACTTGTAATATCTCAGTAAATAATTTACTTGATTCCTTGTTATAATATTTTGCAGGAGAGCGACTGGAAGAGAAGGAGTGCGACAAGGTCCTGAAGGACTGCCTGGGACCTGAGGATGAGGATGGTTTCATCCAATACGTTCGTGAGTATTTTTTACAACCCTCTATTTAACTTCAGGACCTTCATATTCTGTCCTTTTAGACGTTGGGATTTTGAACCCTGTTTTATAAAACGTTACATAAATTATGAGCCACAAAATTTGTGGCTCAATATACACATGTGGTATTGTCGATATGTAAAACTCATTTATGTTTTAAAACGGTTTTAAAATTTCCATTTAATTTAAATTGATTGATATTTAATACCACCAGCTTACGCGCTAAACTACTTATCACTTAAAGAAAGATTCATCACTGCGAGAAAGATTGTATGAAATTATTCAGTTTTTTTTTTTTTTTTATACAGGAATCACTTAAAACAATAAAACAAAAAACCTAGTAACCGTGTGATAGTGTTTATTAGAATGTGAATCAGAACAAACGTAACTAAAAGATTATAAGATGTAACTATGAAACGATGATGAACACAATGTAACGTAAATACTGTATTTACAAATAAGTTTCTCAATATATTGTACAGGTTCGTAACGAAACAAAATGTTTTGACCCGAAAATGTACTATTTAGTTAGTGAATTAGTTTTAGTAGTAATGTTTTATATTGTATAAATATGGAGATAAAGGGAGGTAAATCTAACTTAGGAAAGTGTTTCTTTAAATACACATTTAAAATTGTACTACAAAGAACAATTCTTGTATATAAATCAGTTTTTAAATAAACCAATGATAAACTATTTCAACAAAATCCAGAAACTATTTACTCATCTGACGAACAAGTACTGTAATGAGTTTACGGACAGAGAAGAAACTGTAGTGAAATGTTAAAAACAATTGATGTACCTAATGCAAACCTCTGTAATATTCAACTTACATTGAAAGATAGCATGTTTAGTACACATGTTGTCCTTACACCACTACATTTGGAGTGTAGGACTGGCCATTTGATGGTTGGTACAGTGCACTTTTGTTATGAAGTGTGGTACTGCCTTAAACACCTTTTGAATCATTCTCCGATTTTCAACATCCTTAGAAAACCCACCAGAGCCCAACTTAATTTCACTCAAAACCTAACTCCATACTGTAGTTTTTTGATTTAGTATCATTCGCATTGTAAGTTGATTCATTAGGCATTTGTCTTGCGTAAACATATGTTTGTGCATATTTATCGTAGTCGTAATATGTTTGAATTATTGGATTATACTATGTAAGTAGTTTGATAGTGTAGAATTCCTCATTGGTATGAGTAGATTTTGGAATATATTTGGAATATATATTTTGAACTGTACAGTATTTTGAGTTTTGGATTTGATTTTATATGTTTTGTTGATCCCGAATTTTGGCATATTCAATTTTATTAGTTTCAAAAATACATCAAAGTGTTAGTCAGGTCTTTATTTATTTCTTTCTACGAAATAAATAAATGTCCGCTGACTTTCAAAATATTAGACAAGAGCTAAATCCTACTATACAAGTTCTGGTTGGAAAATGTATCGGACATTTTTGTTGGTGTAATAGTAAATTTTCAAGCTCAACGAATTTGGGGGGGGAAGTTACATTTAATAAATATTTGTTTTTTTATTATTTACTACGTTTTTGAGTTTTTAATTTTACATTGAATATGCCTATTTTTGTAGTGTTTTGGTATTTTGAGTAGTTTTGTGGTTACCTGCATCTTGTCTTATTTTTCAGCATTCGTCAAGGCCTTCATGGCTGTCTAAGGACAAAACCAATCTCAATCATTCAATAATTCGTAAGTTGCGACGGAGATGGAAATGGATTCTGTGTTACTCTGTGTTTTTATTTTCAAATTTCAATGTCTTTTCTGTATCTACCAACACTGCAAACTGTTCGGGAGAATATGATTGGTATGATGGTATACTAAACATATTCAACGAGTCTTTAGCAATTTAACTTATTAATGTAAACTTTTCACCACTCAAGAACTTGTATGTAAATATTTTTGTAAACATTTCAAAGTCATCAGTTTGCAGTGTGGTTCTTTTAGTCAATCTACAAAAACACTCTGCAGAGCCGTCTACAATACATAAATACACTTCAGATAGGCCTACCTAATTATCTCTATAATTTAACACAAGTTTAACTTATGTCTTACTCTATGTTTTAATAATTCTCTATGTCAAGTTGTCACTATCATAATTGTTTGTCAGTGTCATTGCTGTTCTAACCGCCGCTTCTCTATTGGTGTTATGCTTAGAAACATAATGTTATGCTTATATCTTTCCGAATATAAACAATCTTTAATAACTCCAACTTCCAACTCTTCTAATTTTTCTAAATAACTATCAAAATTATTTTAAATGAGTAAATTATATGTGGATTTTTCGGTTAGTAAGATTATTTAAATTTGTTTTAGAAGGCATAGTTAATAGTTAAATAACATAACATGATATATGTATATGCATTTAGCTCTTCTAGATGCTTTTTAAAGAACAGGTAAACAAATGTATTTTAGTAACACGACTACCTTACCAAATCCACGAGATATTTTTAACAATGTGTGTTTCTAAACGGACTGTATATAACTTGTAAACTCGCTTATAATGAGTATCTAACACACAAATCCTTTATCTTTAGTCTAAAACTAGGTTTCCGTAAACAAAGTTAACTAAGCACTCTATTCTGTGCGAACAATTAACTTTTCAATCTATCTAATACGGTACGCTAGTTCAAACCGGTAATAATAAACTATTTGTCTGATACAAGCGAGGCATACTTGATTTATGTTTACCTAGTGGCAAAATTTTTCATTGTTCATCGATAACTGATCATTTGTATGTCTATTTTAAATTAAGTACAGAAAGACCGATTTCGTCATGGCTTTATTTCAGTGAATAATGTTATTTCCCCCAAAAACTGTACAAAGCGACGATTTCTCATATTTCATTTTCTTCATTATAAATGATCCATTCTCTATCCTCTATTCTTATTATCAAATTCATAGCTGTGAAAGTTATAATTGAACGTGACTAAAGATATGATTTTAAGACTGCTATATAATCGTTAGACTTTGCAACAAAAATAAAGTGTCATATAATTTACTGTGATCCTTCCACCAAATAATACCCATCAATATCAAATTAGTTTTTGTAACATTGTAGTTTTCCTGTAGATTTTTGGTTACAGATAAACCTTTAGTACCTCAAAGAGGTGGTATGTTACAAAAATGTCTAGTGTTAATATTTCCTTTTCTTGTTTCAGCATTTCTTTCAAACGTGTGTGATAGGCCAATACCAGCCAATACCAACCCACATCCACACTAAATCTGCGCAGCGCCTACCATCCTTGATTATGGATCAGCTGTTGGCTCGATGAAATTACATCGATTGATCAGCTGATTCATTGTTGGCCAACAAGACAAGATCAAATGTTTTATTTGACTAAATTATTTTAATAAAAATTGTTTATAATAAACTCTATGGTTACTATTTATGTTTAATGTGTCGTCTTTACCTATCATTTGACCTTCCACTAGCATTGTAATAGCTACTTTTATGTGGTTTTGATAATTCAAGGTGAAAGTCAAATAGTTTTTCCAGAAATTGAACAATGCAATACACAGATACATATTTATAAGGAAATATATTGCTCCGCGTAGGCTTAAGCCCCGTGTGCGGAAAAAGAGTTCAAAATACAACAAATTGTTTAACTATATTGATAATTGAATAACATCTAAGCTATTATCAAAAATATATTTTTTTTCTGACCGTTTCTTTTTCCATCAAAGCAGCAAGATACTTTTTGTAATAAGGATTATTATGGGTCTTTCCCGATTCGATACTGATCTAATGTTAAGCCTCCCGTGCTTTCATAGCTCTGATACAAAGTTTGTGAAAGTAAACTTAGATTGGTATCAATGGAAACAAAAGGAAAATCTACAATGATTATAAATGTTTCTACATGTAGCCACACGTTTCTGATACTAATTTTTAAATAAATTTTACTAACTTGGATCAATACTTTTATCGTATGGTAGAAGCCTTTTAAGTTGTAAACTTAAGTATATAATACATCAGCATAAATGTATGTGTTTGAAGATAAACTACAATTAATAGTCTGAACACCATCGGTCCTATTATTGCTAAAACAAGTGACTTCTTATGATGTATGTTTTGTAACAACTTACCTTTATTCGAACGAGTTCGCGAAGCAGCATGATGGGATTATGGGAACGGAGGGTTTTGGGTTAAAGCTGGTTACCCCATTTTGACCCCCAAAATATAATATTTTTTATTTCTCTTTAAACTAGGTAGAGATTAAAAATAAATAATGATGTATGTGGAAATGTTGTACGCCTAATGGTCACAAATAAAATTTTCATTACGAGCTTTGTAATTGAAAGGGCAAAGTAGCATCACTGCTAAGAAATATTCATGGCCAACAAACATATAAACTTTTAAATTTAAATGTAGCTCGAAGTAATCAGTATTTAACCGATATTACTGCATTTTATTGATAAGATTGCACATGTATATTATATAGTTCGAGGTTAAAAGCCTTTGAATTAAGGTATCTCACTCATTTCTTTAACTTCTCCAAACATGTATAAAATCAATTAGTTTTGATACTTCACGGAAAATTAATTGTTTATTAGATTTGTATAACAAGTAACATCAGTTTTATGAAAACTGAAGGCAATGAAAGGAAATCGTAATGAAAGTAAGATTCATGTGAAAGTTTGGATTTTATTTACAAGTACGTTTTAAAACAGCTTATTTATACAAATAATTATATAATTTTTAGTGTGTCAATAGATCCGCCATGTTAATTTAATGGTGTAGAAATCCAGTCTTTATTCTGGCTTTATGCTCTTAGGTACCGGCTTCTCACACAAGCGACACAAGAACGCTGAAAAATTGTACAAACATTAGTAACATAGTAAATTATAGTAAATCGTCTACAGTACTAAAGCGACCTCATAGTTGTACTTTATTGAGAAAAACAACAACGAACTCATTTCCCCTCATCTTGTCGTTTGGTTTGCAATGTTTAATTAACATACTCATTAATGAATCTTCGAGTTGATCAAACACATAGTTAACAACATTAAGCACATAGGTGCTTAAGGATATAAACACATAGGTTCTTTAAGTCCTGAGGATCTTGAATATATTTCTATATCACAAATAAAGCCCTAAAATATACTAAGGATTTGTATATTATACTTTTTTTCTTTTTAAATCAACCATAAGGTGTTTTAAGGCCAGTCCAAAAATTTAGGGATCTACTGTCACTTAATTTTATACTGTATGTATTTTACATAAGAATAATGGTAAATACTATAAATTGATATCTTAGACTAGTAGGCTAAAAAGTCAGCCATCTTAATTTTTGATATTTAAATATTTATTCTATATCATTTATTCACTACCTAGCACATACGTGTATAATTGAACTCTCATTTTATACAGCAAACATCAGCCATATTGATTTGATTACCCAAAAATGTATAACTTTTGGGGTAGACTTTAAATTCTCAAAGCAAACTCCCACTAATTGTGATACTAATTGAAAGGTATTAAAGAACTATTATAGAACAGGAAAAATAAAAATAAAGGTCTATCTTTAACTTTATTTTTAAACCATCGGTTGCCATTAAAAGACTAGTGCTAATGTACAATAAATGTTCAAAACATAATGTACCTAGGAGTAGTGGCTAATATTGACATGTTGTTAAAAAGGTTTAATTTAAGAAGCCAAGTTTTTCAGATCTATGTATAACGTAAATATATTAAAGAGCTCCAGAACCTCCTGAAAACTATAAACCATTACACTTTTTATGAATAAATTGCTTCAAAAAGGTTTGAAAATTTGTGAATTTTAAACCTAGTTTTAAGGTTCAGAGGTATAATTTAATTTTGGAGATTCAGTTAGGCACCCCACGTATCGAAATGTCTTCTCTGCAATATTATACTACTGAATTTATTGTAAAATGTAATTTACTCACGCAAGTAAGGTATCCAGCCGTCATCATCCTCTTCTTCTAACAAGCAGTCTGTTAGGACACCATCTAGCTCATCCTGTGTTACTGGCTCCCCTGTCAAAACAACGACAACAAATTGGCCTGTGCTAGGTGGAGAATACATGAAATTTTGTTATAAGGTTTGTAATGTGTGTGGTGGTCCATTATAACCACTAACATTCTGTTTTGTGACAGCTAATTCATGGGTTAGAGAGATGATTTTTGCGTTGAATGGTTCCTTAATTAATAGCACACTTTTGTAATTAAAAGTTGTTGAAACCATTTAATGTTTCTAATGGAGGTGGCATAAAAATTAATAATGTGTGAAATCCATGCAATGTTTGTTTCGCGAGTCTGAAGTAATAAATAAAACAACGCAGTGTAAAATAACAATGACAGTTTATTAAAACTCAAAGAAATTCATGAATTTGAATTTCTTTATATTTATATGAGTTTTAATAAACTGTAATTGTTATTTTACACTGCGTTGATTTATTTATTACTTCACACCCACGAAACAAACATTGCATAGATTTCACACATTATTTATTTTCTATGCCACCTCCATTAGAAAAATTGAATGGTTTGAACAATTAATAATTATAAAAAATGCTATTAATTAAGGAACCATTCAACGCAAAAATCATTAATTAGCTGAGCTGTCACAAAACAAAATGCTATAGACATCCCAAGAACAAAACAACCTGCGCAGAAACGAAAAGATCACGTGGTTCGTGCTGGTAGGTTTTGGCGTAGGGGTTCTTTTGTTTCTGGGATGTCTATAGCGGTTATATTGGACCACCCATTATAACTAAGAATGCAACCAATTCTTAAAAACCAATATCCGAGCTCATTAGGGTCCAAATATCCATCAAGCACTTTCAAAGCTAACAAACACATTTATTTCGTGATCAAAGTCTTATATTCGCATTGCATATATCTAAATTTGTAAAAGTTTAAATAACCTTCATACATAAAACAGCGTTTAAAGTCAATACTGTACAGCTTTATTTAGCATTGCGATACATGAATTTGTAAAAGGTTCATTAAAATTTCTGTAAGTTTAGAGCTTAGACAAGTGAGTATGTAGTTAAAAGAAAATGTGGGGTTGTGCATATAAGACTCATTTACCACAGCCAATTATTTTCATTTCTTAATATGCAGAAATGACAAAAAAGATAACAATTAATAAAAACCGTGCATTAAAGTAAAACCAACAAGATAGTAAATAAAATGCGCACTATTGATTATTTTGCAAATGAAGTTTCCCACCAATTGTTTGGCTAGGAGAGTACTGTGTCGTCTTCAGTTCAGACTAACTGCGCACGCTTATGTAGTATGAAGCTACTCATGTATTATCTTTACATTAAGGGTGTTTGGTCAAAAATTTGATCTCGGATTTTTTGTTATTGTTCAGTTATACTAGAGATACAAATATATAAGAAATATGTTGTTTGTTGAATATTAAGGGAGATATGGAGCTTGAAAGTAGTAAATTTGTCATATTATGTTACCAATTCACAGGAGAAATGGGTAATGCAACGATAAATGTATTCTGTTAATGTTACATGGTGTTAATAATTACATAATGTTAATGTATTCTATAGCCCCGGCGTGAGTGTACACACTCTCAACAAGCAGTGTCCCGCCAGCGCAAGGCATCAAAGGTACGAATTCACAGCCCAAACGAGTTAACATATCGCATTTTTTTAAATTCCAACATATAGATGAATTTTACCCAAAGACAAACAGCTATTTTTAAAATTATTAAAAAATTAATATTTTTATATTTTATAAAAATTAAAAAAAAATTAAAAGTTTTTAGTTTTAAATTGCTAGTGATCATTATCTTATTTTTCACACCTGAATGCCAATTTTGGTGAGAATCGCATCACCCATCCCCCTGTGAATTGGTACCAAAATATGACAAATTTACTACTTTCAAGCTCCATATCTCCCTTAATATACAACATAAAAAAAATTCTAATTTTTTGTACAATTTGAACAATAACAAAAATCCAAGATCAAATTTTCCACCAAACTCCCTTAAGACAGAAACACCATGCTGGGTAATTAACCGGATATAGAATGAGATACCTTGTGTAGCATTGTTACTGGGAAAGATCAATTGTTTCTTCGGCGAGATCAAGAACAGCTGGGTTTAGTTTCAAACCATCAGTAAACTACTTACTATTCTCAGGGATTGAGCCCACGACTCTCTAATCCCTAGGTGAGACCTATAACCACACATATTTCTAGCTATATGTTAACAACTTTATGTACCCAAGTTCAGGAGCATGTGACTCAAGTCTACAAACTTCATGAGGCCGTTTTCACCAACGTCGTAGATCTTGAGACATTCTATAAAGTCCACGAAACCTCCCTCGTTCGTGTCGTCCCGAACAGCGCAGTACACCTTCCAGAACTCTTCCAAAGTCATCGAGGTCTCTCCTGTAACACCGTGTGCGAAATACAAAATAATATGTCATTATAAGATTATGTATAATATATCTAGGAAATGTAAACGAAAATATGTTTACAAATTTGCCTATATGTTTTAGCGAATTAAGTGTGTCCTACATAAAAAAAATAATAGAGGTTTATTATAAGTTTTTTGGAAACATTTTCGCCCAAATAAATTTGTCCATCACGAACTTCCAGCAATACTTTGTTTTGAAACATTATCATTGGTCTTTCATAGACTACTGTTATTATAGTTAAATAGAATACGGCTTAGTTGTAATTGAACATTTAATCGATAGAGCATAACGTGATTCCTTTCAACACGATCTCGAGAACAACCAAGGTGATGCTGTGGTAGGAAAATCAGCATGTGTCGAAAATGCACTTTTAGCCCGTGTGCATTAATTTTCAACTATAATTTTCACAAAACTGCATTATTCTTTAAACTAACAAATCCACAAAAGAAAATGCTGGATATTATTCACCGATAAAATATAGCTCCAAAAATAGCGTCTGGCGTCATTTGCAATGAAAACGAACATACCTTACCGATATTTGACTAGCTTGCCTGATTGATCGTTTAAAGAAAATTAGAGGCATCAAACATAAATTTACCAACGCAATAGATTTATGTATACACTACTGAACTTTGTTTACATTTCAATTAGTCTAAATACCAATAAAGGGGCATTTACTGAAGGGGTTATTGTACTCTCAATTACATAATGCCTATAGAATTTAAAACGATCAATGTTTAACGTTAGGTTATTGAGCTGCCATGGTGACTAGGAAGTAATAACATAATAATCAGAGCAGATGTTTATAAGACAGCCAATATGCGACCTAAATTTAGTACAAAAATCATTAAGGTGATTGATTTATGAATTCACAGAAGCTATTACAGGGCATTTGGAAACTGCCATTGTTCAACTAGGTACAGTATTTTACAGATTTTATTTTTTGTAACATTAATGAGGACTGAAACAATACTGTAATTTAAATCAGCGTTATTATTAACTTAATAGAAAACTGTTGAGTTATACAAAGCTATGAATATGCTATTAGAAATACATGTTTTACCATTGACTGAAAAATAGTTACATTGTTTTGAAGATGATTCATGTAAGAAATGTTTGAGTAGGCTGTTCTAGAGTAAATGTTTGTATTTACATAAAAAATAATATTTTCCTACAGTTACCTAACAATGTACATGTTCTCTCACTGATTTGAGAAAGCAAAGTGGCCAATTTGCTCATCAGTGAGACAATGTTAACATTGTCTCACTCTAATTACTTTGTCTCACTCCAGATTTGCAACCTGAATGCACGAAATAGTGAGCGCGTAACATGCAGGCAACGTCGTATGCGCGCGAAATACGTTGGCAGCACTGGCTGTAAATCAGCTGGTCAGCTGTTGTACTGTTGTATTTGTCACTTCACATTAAATGTTATATTAAAAGTTCACTTCTGTGTAAAAATAGGTTAGGTTTCTTCACCAATTTATTTGTTTTCTGGTAACTGTAGGAAAAGTATAATGTGCAACTCGAGTTCAAAGTACAATTGCCTCACTCGGGAAACCATTCCTCACTCGCCTACGGCTCGTGAGCAATGATTTCTCTCGAGTGAGTCAATTGCTCACTTTTCTCACTAGTTGCACAAATAACTATTACCTACGACCGTTTTTTAAAGTAGCCATTTCAGTCCAGTTCTTAGAATTGAAAAGTTTCACTTTACAGCTGTTTACTTTCATATCCGCATAGTTTCATTTCATATCCGCATAGTTTTCTCATATCCACACAGGTAACGGACCAATGAGGTTCAAGTATTGAGAGAAAAGAATTAAAATTGTAATGCTTCGAACGTCAACTAATCAGCTGATCAGCTGATCAGTTGACCAATTTAAATTGTTGATCCGACTTGTTCATGTTGATACTCGCGTATTCTTAATTCTTAATTAAGTTGGTGGAAGTCCAAAAATAAATGAAATATTTGCCGAATTGTACCTGATACAATATTATTTATGGTAAGAATGCTGCTAGCAATGTAATATTAAACAAAGTTTAACAAACACGTAATTACAGGAAATCAGCTGATTATACAACAAGTCGTTGCATCACTTTCAGTGGCAATGACAATACACGAAAACATAACCTCTCTAAAAAGTTATCAGTAGTGATTGTTAGTAATTAAATCCAGATTGATAGTGATTAAAAAACGGTCGTAGGTAAAGTAGTGTACGCAACTCGCGTTAATAGTCTTTACGACACTCGTAGAAGTTTTTTTAAGGCACTCGCCAAGGCTCGTGCCTTAAATTTTCTACTCGTGTCGTAAAGACTCACTTAACGCAATCGTTGCGTAAACTACTATTATCATATGCAAATTTGAATTAGAACGAACTATTAGAATCAGCTGTTTTAACTAACTAGCAATTGTTAAACTATTATTTATATAAATACTAAATAGTCTATTATAAACACGTTTTATTATTGACTTTAAATAGCGCAAACAGGTATATAATATACTATAGATTTGGCTATAGTAAAATCCACATATTTTTTTATATGAATTTCCGCGTAAGTGGGTGGGTTTGTAGAGTAAATTGCAAAAAAACCAATTATACGCCTTATATAAATTGGCGTTTACATAAAAAATTAAATTAGCAATTTTTATCTTATTAGTATACTGTCAAACCAATGATCAATTTGAAACCCGCGGTTTTACGATTGGTTTTAAAACAGTGCAAGTAGACTTGTCATCATCGAAAAACTCATACTTTCAATTGTAAAATGGTTTTATTTTATTAATAGACGTTTAAAAATGTCTTACTTCCTAAAACGATTATTATGAAGCCTGGTATGAACACTCAGCTGGCTTTTATTACTCTGAAAGCAATCCTAGTTAATATTGTTACTGCTAGCTGCATTGTATTATAGAATATAACTTTTTGTAATTCATTGTATATATTAGCGAATTTCAGTTGGGAATAAAATAATACCCCCGCCGCAGCAAACCTGCAGACTAAGCGAATTTCCATTTGCCTGATTGGATTTACACTAAAGTTTCTACTTAAAAATACAACATTTAATTCCTATTTAAATAGAATTAGCTTAACAAGTACTTAGGTTTGCTGCATCAGGGAGGGTAAAACTGTTTTTTTTTTTTTGTAAAATGTTAATAGTTAGTATGAAATAAATGCATTTTCCAAATTTGATCAAAATATGTTCCTACACAAGCAAACTACAACAAATTTTCTTATTCTCCATAAAAATAACATGGCCATTTTAAATTTACATTTTTTTGGAATTTTCTCCGTAACCATTAGGCACATAATAACGCTTCAATATACTAAATTATTTGTTTTTAATCTCTACAACATGCTTTGGAAAGAAATTGCTAAATGTTATGTTTTTTGGCTCAAAAATGGGAAACCCCAATTTTTACCCCATAAAACCCCCCGGAAACCCCCGTCCCCATTGTCCGATCATGCTAGTTCGCGAACTCGTTCGAATAAATGTAGGTTTACACGTTTACACCAAATTTCATCAAAATCGGATCATTTTTGCTCGAGTTATCGTGCAAACGGACACACATGTATATGCATTTGAACGGATGGTGTTTTTGGCTTCTAGGGACCTCAAAACGAAAAAAAATCGGTCCCGCGTCCAGGTCTTACCATGATTACTTCAGTAATAGCTTATTCCCTATATGGGAAATTCGCTCAAAATAAAATATGTGATCTAAGAACTTTAAGCACTTTTTAATTAACTCATTCCCCTTACGTATTGATCTCGAAAGAATAACTGCACCCACGAATCCTAGAAAAATACCGGTATGGATCATAAACATAAACAAATGACGTTGTTTGCCCGAATCCTATACTAATAGCATTGAACATATGTTTTGGCAATTCCATTTAAGCAATGTTAAATATTGTTTATTTTCGGGCCAAAAACGTCATTTGTTTATGTTTATGATCCATACCGGGTCTTTTCTAGTATTCGTGACTGCACCCATCTAATTGTGCTGTCACAATTTTGTTCTCGTATTAATTAAATATGCGTAGGTTGTACCAGGGGTTTGTAGGTTTGGTACTTCACCTCTTGTCGTGGAGCCCCCCAGACTACAGACAAACGCGATCGTAGGGTTCAAGTTGAGGGCTCGAATGGCGTCGATGACGTCAGCTCCGTCTATCGTGCCAGTACTTCCGTACAGTCCAAACACCCAGTTCACCTCTAAAATCAGTCAAGTTGTCACTTAAATAACAATCTCAACTACTTAAGTAAAACTATAATTAAATCCGCCAAAACACATGCTACAAACTACTGAAATACATGAATACTAAAATACCTATATATAAACCACTGTTGCTACCTAGGAGGATTAAACATTAAGGAGAGGGCACGCGAATAGGAATAAACGTGTTGCGGTGAAGCCAGCTATAGCAGAACACTAGAGGGGCATGCGGAGCCGTAGAGTGGCAAAAAGCCGCCGCTATAGCATGGGAGAGATAGGGAAAAACGCGACGCGCTCTGTTTCGAATTAAAATTGCCGCTAAACTAAAACACTTGTGTTATTCAGCGATGGCATTCTTAAATTAAATTAAATTTTCTATCGAATGGTGTAAACCATTTCCATAAAACTATTATTTATTATTTACTATTTAGTTCAAATTTGAATGAATTCTTTGACTTTGAACATATGATTACTTTAATTAAGAAGTTGAATTAAATATGATGTATCTATGCAAATAATCAATTTATTCGTGTTCCCTAAGAGTTTCTCGAAATAAAAATTATATATTTACCAATATTTAATCGGAGTATTCAAAATAAGAACTTTATTATTTTTTTTTCATTTTTACAGTTTTTCAACAAGTTTATTAAATTTAGGTTTTAAATAAAAATGCAATTTCAATTTTGAAATAAATAATAAATTAGCATTCCTTATTATTTTATCAAAATTTTAATCCCATTTTATGCTAGTTTTAAGGCATTTTTGTGCTAGGCAAGTAATTTTAAATATCCGAAGTCAAGAAAAAATTCAAAGGGACGTTCGCTTTTATTACACTCACAGTCGTTCAAATTCAATTACAAATATTAAAGTCAAACATTTTCTTGCCCATTGAATTTTAGATTTTTAAACATATTAATCCATATTTTGAGGGTTTATGTTAAGAAATATGAAATAAACTTTGAGTAAAAAGAGAAATCTTTCAGTTCTCGCATCCTCTGACGCCACAGTAAGTACGTATCATTATTTTATAGTTTAAAACAGTTTTGATTTCTTTTTATGCAAAAATATGTTCAAATACTTATGTTAATTTATTAGGTATTTGAGTATTGTATTATAATCAATACTAACATAATATTAGCAGGGGAAAAATAAAAACATTCATCCTTCAACCGTTATGTTTGATTAAAACACATTAATAGGTCATCTTTAAATTTACTATTCGTACATGAATACGTCCTCGTAAGGTTTCTAAACCTTTTGCAATTCTAATTTAAGTTCTTAATTTTGTTCGCATGGTGTAGTTTTAAATAAATCTTTTAAATTCATGATTGCTATTAACTATACATCTAATATGACATTATAACGGTCCTGATTGGTTGGTGTGTTTCGTTGCTGGTTCGGTTATGTATGTTTCTGAACACAATGCCCCCTCCCATCGCGATACGATGCGCGGTGGGCTGGCTGGCTTCAACGAAACTCGAGCATGTCCTCTGGTCCTCTCCTACTATACGATTACGGTCGTTCGACACTGTGTCGGAACAACATTTCAATAGTGAACCATTGGATCTTATGAGCGCTCGCCCACTATACGATAATTTCACGACTACGACAAACTGTCGTGGTGCAGTCGTCCACTGCCACTGTCACTGTGATCCACGACTGTCGCACGACTGTCTAACTCGCAGTGGCTTACACGATCAAATGGGCGCTCGCCCACAATACGATTTTTGTCGTGTGTCGTGCTTTCTCCGCAGTAGTCCTATGTATACTTTTTACAATAAACTCACACTTATTCATTATTATAGTTGTTATATCACTTGGTTCTGCCTTTTTTGACCATTCTATTGCGTACGGTATTTCTTATCGTGAATAATTATTTTTTACAATTCATTCATACTTTTTTATGAAACAATGCGAGTTTGGTTATTATTTAATATTTTATAATCATTATTATTAAATATTGTGTGAAATAGTTTCACTAATACCTAAATATTACTTTTTGTAGATTATATTAATAAAATTAAATCATTAAAATTTAAAAACGTTTAAAAATGGAACATACAGACTTTTCACCAGACTATCCCAAAAACCTACGATAGTTATGGTGACTTTAAACACTTGTAAAACGCATGGACATATATAATATGAAAATGTTTTTAAATGTACTAACTTAAGAAATAATCTACACATAAAAATAATTATTTCTTTAATGTTGTAGGCCTACATTGGCCACTATCACTTAATCTGCGCCACAGCAGCCACATTGCAACAACACGTAACGGATTCATTGTTTTACTATTTGATACAGAATCACTGTTTTAAGATATTGCGCAACACACACTCACTCTTCCAGGGCTACCGAGCAACTGGTCATTTATCCGATAAAGTGTCGTAAAGTGGGCGAGGACCACACATACGATAAGAATATCGTACAACACAGTGTCGTACGACCGAAATCGTATAGTGGGCGAGAGGCATGTTTAATCCTCCTAGGTTGCTACATATTCAGTAAACCTCGCTAGATTAACTTGAGTTATTCTTTATGTTATAAGATATATGTAGACCTACGCGTAATTGTATATATTAAATCTTTTATCTTTGGGTGTGGATTCAATGTTTACCGGTATAGGTAGTTGATCGATGCATACAGCCATGATATCGCATTTAATCCATTAAGCACACCTTGTGATAGTTTAATTTGATACCATATTCTTTTTGGGTACATTCGTATTATACGGAGGCCACCCTTATACAGCGTGCTGCGGCGGTTAGGTTAGGTTATCATAAATTTGTTATGACTCATCTGGTATCGTTCAATTCATAACAGAACGAGGAAGTTCTAATATACAGATTTATGATAACCCAACCTAACCTAAACACGCAGCGCGCTGTAAAATAAGTGACCTATAATACGAAAGTACAGTGCCTCTTTTTTTTAACACTCGTTAAGAGTAATTTTTCCGCCATTCAATTCAAATGTAACTAAAAAACTGAATTTGAACATCGGTCCATAGATCGTTACTAATGCACAATGTAGCATGTGAGTTTTTGCATTTTAATTAATTCAAATGCACACTTTACATACTTATAACTCATAAATCATTGTTTTTCTCAGTGTAAGATTCTGTACTTTTTTGTTAAAACATTGTGAAGCTTGTCTTAAGGAAAATAATCACATATCGTGGATACTCAAAAGGCGAAATAAGTCAATAAATCAACAATCAAAACCACAAAACTACCTCATACATATATAAATGGGATATATAAATAGTAAAATTGACATTCTATAACTCAACTAGCAAGGGATGTTTTTCAAATAGTTTTTTTTTTAAATAACTGTCCTTAATGGGCATGAATGAAGTAATCGATCTGAATTAGTTTATTATAGCACTATTTTTAAACTAAAAAAAGTTAACACAATATTTGCTTAGAAAATTTTTTCTATGCCTAAAATGTAAAATAACAAAATAAGCATATTTTTATTATTGTTTACTGAGTAACACTTTTCTTTGGTCCCAGAAAGCCATATTTTTGTTATCTAACGTAATGCTGGTTACATCAAACAAATAAAACTCTTGTAGTTATTACACAGATTACAATTATGTACGGCATACTACTATATACTACTATTAACTACTGTACTCTAAAAATACACACAACCGAATCATCATTATGTTTACTCAACAAAAACACCACAACAATGAAGCAGTCTGGGTATAAAGCTTACTTTCTCTTTGCTGGGCCTCGGGAAGTGTGATTAGGGTCTGAAAAATGTTTTTAGAGCATAAGTTTTCTATTAAGAGACAAATGGGCCAAAACAAAGCCAAAAAGAATAATAGTGGTGGGATTGAACCTCGAATCAATTAAACATATCTCATCTAATTTCAAATGACAATTATAGCGTAAATTCAATAACTTGGGGTTTATCGGCCCTGCCAACCTAACCTAACCTAACCTAACTTAACCATAAGATAGAAGTCCTTTTTCCCTGTAAATGAAAATAAATATAAACAGCAACAACAACGTAACGCCATTTTGTAGGATGGAAAAATATGCTGTGCATTTTTTTTTATATTTAAGTTGTATTGGTGATTACGTTGCCTAAATGCAATTAAAATTAAATACATTATTTTACATTTTAAATTTTTTATACATATGATTTAGTAATTAGTTGAACACATACAAACTTGCGTCTCGTGACTCATAGAGGGACCGCTTCAAAATACGGGTCACGACTGACTCATAGACTATTATTTTCGCAGTATTTAAAATAACGAGATGTAATGCTACCAAGGTCAAAGAGAGACACTATCGTTCAGACACACTAACTCACTCCGTGTTTTATAGTAGTGTTGACATATTAACTCTCCATTGCTCCTCTGAAGGACCCTATATAATATGATCAATATTATTGCGAACATTTTGATAAGGTACAATAGCATTGAACGTGATCAGTCCATCTAAATTGGAAGCTAATGTAAAGAAATGTTTTTGACTCCCTAGACAATTTTTAGGTTAAAGCTACAAAAGTACTCGGAGACACAAGAATGAAAGATGCTCCGATAGGGGAGGTAAGTTACTCACCTCCCACCACTTGGGTACCATTCGGCGGGTATAAAACCAGGGTGTTTGGGACCAGGAAGGGAGTTGGCCTCCGGGCCCAACCCCGCCGAATGGGCGTGCTGAGCCACCGGTGTGGGGCCTGAAGGGCGTGCTGAGCCCCGGGCACCGTCGGACGGGCATGTTGAACCCGCAGGGGGCTCACACTTGCGTGGGTACGTGGCCTAGCGACCACGCGGACCCTAGCTCTTGCCCCCCCCCAGAGGGGAGGTAATTGCCCGGTGTTGGAACCGGCACTTCAGGTAGGCCATAGTTATGGACGACTGGACAAGCCAGCCTCTTTGGATTGTACCCAAAGTGAGAGTACCCAGTGACATTCCTCCATCCAGGATGGTGGGTGTTCAGCTCTGCGAGACTTCGGTCTCCCACCTGCCTGTGGCTGTGGTTCTATGGGGCTTGTTCTGCCTGTAGTATGCGACTGACATTTAGTAAGGCATATCCTCGGCTCTGGAAGTAGCCTCTTCCTGGGAGGTGGAAAACGGGCAAGCAAAGCCCCCAAAGGGGAGGTAACTGCTTGGTGTTGAAATCGGCGCTGCAAGTAGGCCATAGCTATGGACGACTGGACAAGCCAGCCCCTTAGGGGAGAGTACCCAGTGACATTCCTCCATCCAGGTTGGTGGGATGTTCAGCTCTGCGAGAGGTGGAAGTGCGCCATCAATCTCTCACCTGGAAGTAGCCTTTCCTGGAGGTGAAATCGGGCAAGTACCCGTAAGCTCACGGGGACACTTTAGGGGAACGTAACATTCCGCAGTGTGAGGGTAACGGCTGGGCGCACTCCATCAGCCAATCCCTGTCTCTGAGCCCGGAAGGTATGGTTATCTAGAGTGTGGGGGGTTTTTCTCTGGAACCTCAATTGAGTTAAGGGTTTTGCCACCTTTGGTGGATAGGTTCATCCGGGTGGGTCCCACTTCTAAACCCGCCTCCTTTTGGGAAACCCCGAGGTACTGGCAGTGATGTTGGGCTTGATGGGCAAACGAAATAGATCGGGTGTTGGGATCAAGCCCGCTAGGGGTATCTGGGGATCTATCGCCCTGGGTATCCCTGGTTTCCCAGCAATGGGATGGCCGCGATCGGGTAGTGGTGGAAATGTGGGGTTGGGGTGCCCCCGTCAGCTTGCTGGCGGTCCCCTTCCTCCTGGCTTTGATGGCGGGTTTCGGCCTGTCAGGGATTAGATAGGTCCCGAGTGTTGCTTGCACTAAATGCGTCAGGGCATTTCATTATGGGCCTTCAGGTTTTCGTACCTGCCTGTTTTTTTCTAGTGAGGCCTTGGTTGATCCCCCGCCACCGCCGGACGGACGTGTCGAGCACCCGGCAACCCCCCCACATGGGCGTGTTGAGCCACCAGTACCACTGGACGGGCGTGTTGAGTTCCCGGCAACCCCAATCCCCACATGGGCGTGATGAGCTCCGGTTGCCGCTGGACGGGCGTGTTGAGCCCCTGGCAACCCCCCCCCCCCCCCACATGGGCGTGTTGAGCCACGGGTACGGCTGGATGGGCGTATTTAGCCACCAGCACCACTGGACGGGCGTGTTGAGCCCCCAGCACCGTCGGATGGGCGAGTTGAGCCCCCGGCACCCCCCGCATGGGCGTGTTGAGCCGGGGCCAACGTAGTTTACGTTGGCCCCGGTTGAGCCCTTCGGGTCCGTAGTCGTAGGTGGAGGGGAGGACTCTTGACTACTATCTTGAGAAATAAACAGACTTTCAAAATGATCTATTGTTCTGTCCTTCTATATTAGTTTGTTTTGTACACGTTACAATCCTTGTAAAAAGGAAAATTAAAGTTTGTTTATAAAACTTTGAAAGCATATTTGATTTCTTAGTAATCTGATAGTATTATATGCTGAATAATTTATATAAACTTCGTGCATCAAACTCTACTCGTTCTAACGAATAATGGAGTTAGTTTGAAATTTCATTTATATCCTAACTACAATACGCAGATAGTACTGCAAGCTGTATTCTAGTAAAATAATTTATGAAATTATTTCAGCTCCTCTAAATGCCATTTTATAGCCATAAACGTTATAAACTTAACTATTAAAATATTCGATTTATTTTTAAATTGTTACTATAAAAGTTAATAAGTTGGTATCGCTGGATTTACTTACTTACTTGGTACTAATTTGTAATTTTGAAAAACAAATAATCATTTTATCTGCTGATAAGACCAATTGCTATTGGTGCTGCATTCACGAGTGTTATTAATTTAAGACATTTACTAATACAAAAACAGCCAGGTGTATGTAAGTAAAAAACCTTTTTAATGTGAATACGTATGTAAACGAAAAGTTTGAAGACTATCCTAACCTTATCCAGACTATCTAACCTAACCTAACCTAACCTATCCATTATGATCCCTGCTTGGTTTCATATTCAGATCAACAAGGAATTTCATTTCACCCTTCACCTTGATCACGCTCTACAAGTCCCTGGTACGCCCGCTGCTGGAGTATGGGTCTATCATCTGGTCTCCCTTCCAGAAGAACCACGTCAGCCAACTGGAGAGCATACAAACCCGCTTCATACGGATGCTTGGACCGAGACTTGGTTTTACCTACCGCACTACCCCGGTTGACGATGTGGAGAAGTCCTTCGATCTTCTGCCTTTGTCACTCCGACGTCATCATGCTGACATATTCATGCTCTACAAGCTGGTTAACGAGTTTGTCGATTGCCCCAACATCCTGAGTGGTATCGACATTACCACACCCAGAGGCACCCGCTCCAGGACTATATTCAGCAGACGCTTTCTCCCAGCCTACTATTCTTACAACAGCGGAATTAGCCGACTACTCAAGGCTGGTAGCACGGCGGCTGCTCAACTGGATTTCTTCGGTGAGAAGCCCCTACGGTTCAAAAAGAAGGTCTCCCTGATCACTTGAGCAACCACACTCCAGCACATCTGCATATTTGTCTTGTCATCGTTGAAACTTGCTGTTCATATTCTTTGTTGATACTCTTTTTAGTTTATTCTTCTGTTATAATATTTATAGTTATTTATTACGTTGTTATTACTATTGTTATCACTATTTATTATTACTATTGTTATAACTATTTGTTATTACTTGCTATTACTATTTATTATCACTTTGTTATTACCATTGTTATTACTTTTCTAGTTAGTAATATTGCAAATGCCATCTCAATTGTACACACATATTTTGTAAAAAGGTGCAATCCGTTGGGAAATAAATAAATAAATAAATAAATAAATAAATGATAAAAGCATCCCAATATCGTAGATAAAGTGTGTGAGACATTGAATTTTATTTTTCATTGCAATGGTGTTTCTATTAATATTGACGTATTTCATTGCCGAATATTCATTGTGGGGTTTTCGTCTATCGCAGCAACTACTAAAAATTTATTCTTTAAAATTAAAAAATGTTATTTCTCTTATATAAGTATACAGGGTGTTTCACGAGAACCCTGACAAACTTCAGGAAATGGTTCCTTGGAACAAAATAGAAAAAAATGTCCTATAAGCATATGGCCTAAACTCACTCGTTTTCTAGTTATATGTAAAAATATATTTTCTAAGGTTTTCAGTGTAACTGTTGAATATTTTGACCTCTAGATTGCAAAATTGACAAGATATTTTGATAAACCTTGCATTGATAGATAGAATATTACATTTCAAAGAGGTTCCATTACTATTTTGGACAAAAATATTGGTTATTACTGATAAAAATAAGTTTAAAATTAAAATATTTTCGAAAAAATCAAGATTAAAAATTATTTTTGGTTTTGACAGCTCTTCATGTAGTAACCATTCAAGCTTTTGGCTTGCAACTTTACTAAAAACTGTAGAATTTAACGGAGAACAAGGAAATGTGAATTTTTGTATACCTTTTATTGGGATTATTTTGGTCAAAATCTAAAACATTGTAAAATATAAAAAATAATTAAATTAAGTGAAATAAACAAAATTGTATATTTAGCTTATTTTTAAACACATCCTAATAAAAGTTGGTATATGGGTTCTCCTAGTTGAGAAGTATCTCATGATGGCCTAAAACTTCCCTCTTTTTAATTTTTAATTATAGAAAAACATGCATACCCACTTATCTATGTTAACCTTATGGGGAAAAGATAAAATACGATAGCTTGCATATTTCTGAACACATATTATTAAAACTTTGTATATCCCTTCTTATAGTTGAGTACTACTTGATTAGCCTATGGCCTAAAATATCCGCTAGACAACGGTAGAAAGGTTACAGTAGGAATGGCTACTAAAATAAAAACATATTTTTTATCTAGTTTTTTTGGATCAAGTATTCGTTAAAAAAAATTACCACAGTCAATATTTCTGCACTAAGTAGTAATGATATCTCTTTAAAATGTAATATTCTATCTAATCACAAACACTTTTTTGAAATATTATTTCAATTTTAGGCCTAAACGTCCATTAGACAAACAAAAAATTCCTTTTTTTTCTAAAGGATGGGAATAAGCAGGTTTCGTGCAACAGAAATGTAAGACTAGAGATTTTAGGCCATAATCATGCAGTACTCAAATAAAATAAGGAATGTACCAAGTTTTAATAAGATGTGATCAGAAATATGCGAGCTATCCTCTTCTATTTTCCCCCCATAAGGTTAACATAGGAAAGTGAGTATGCTTGTTTTTTATCATTAAACATTAAAAAGAAAGACGCTTTAGGCCATTATGAGATACTTCTTTACTAGGAGAACCCATATACCAACTTTTATTAAGATGAGTTTAAAAATAAGCTAAATATACAATTTTGTTTATTTCGCTTAATTTAATTATTTTTTTTTATGTTTTACAATATTTTAGATTTTGACCAAAATAATCCCAATAAAAGGTATACAAAAACTCACATTTCCTTGTTCTCCGTTAAATTCTACAATTTTTTGTAAAGTTGCAAGCCAAAAGCTTGAATTGTTACTACATGAAGAGCTGTCAAAAACCAAAAATAATTTTTAATCTTGATTTTTTCGAAAATATATTATTTTTAAACTTAATTTTATCAGTAATAACCAAATTTTTTTCCAAAATAGTAATGGAACCTCTTTGAAATGTAATATTCTATCTATCAATGCAAGGTTTATCAAAATATCTTGTCAATTTTGCAATCTAGAGGTCAAAATATTCAACAGATACACTGAAAACCTAAAAAATTGATATAAATAGACTTTTAAAACTATTGTTCCCTTACCGCTTTATCCACCATAGTAGATTCCATGGCGCTCACTGTACAATAGCACTGACAAGAAATGGACAAAATCAGTGTAGGTTCGGCCAAGAAACTTCGCTTGAACATTTTACTTCCTTTTGCCGGCCCAATAAATACGATCTAATTAGGATGAGAATAGCTCAATCCGGGTCTAGGGAATGTGTCGTGCCAAAAACAACTAGTAACATTTATTAGCAGGATAACTAGAACACCACCACCAAATGTGGCTATAACCCGTTATGCATTTCTAGAGCATGTTTTGAAGTTTTTTATCGTTGCATCTTGCAGATGCCCTTCTCCTGTTATAAGTGTGCGAGCTTCACAATCCTATGAGCTTAAAAACGTAGCTATAAACACACCACAAGCTTATTTATTTTTTCTTTTAGACTAGTTTAGCCAGGATACACACCTTCACACCTTATAATCTAAGTAGTGCATAACATCCAATGATGCAACTTACCCTTGAAAGTAAAATGTAAAGTTGAGTAAAATTAAGTAAATATTTGTGCAAGTTTGAATAACTCGTACAATATGATTTAAAATAAAATAAGAATTTGTAAACGTGTGTGAGATTTATTATTTGTTCAAAACTCTTTCAAATATTAAATTAAATATTTCTCTTTTAATATTAAATTCAATTAAATATTTGTCATATAGAAATGAAAAATTTTAAATTCAAAGCAAGCAGGATGTTCTAACCAAGGTTGACATTTGAAAATTTGGGGCTGCCCACAAAATAGGCCTATCCCATTTTGGGGGCTGGGGCAAAGTTGTAACTTTGATGAAAAAGTGCAATTTCTTATGTTGTGAATATGTGCCGAGTTTGGTTTTCCTACCGCAACGCGTTAAAAAGTTGACTGGAGGGTTCCAGACTTTTGCCTAACCCTGTATAGTGTATAGGCCTAGTTAGTCGTTAATTTTTGACAAAGTTTACATAACAATTTAAGTTCAATCTTCGAAAATTTATATTTATTATATAGCGAAAAAATATTTTCTGTGTCTATGAGACTTGTGTGGTATGAGGCAGGGCTTAGCTATACCGTAATAGTCTAGTTGCTAAAAGGCATTTTTCACCCAAACCTGAAAGTAAGGTCCACCCAATGTTTTTTAGTGTTTTCTTTTTCTTTAAGACCTATATAATTAAAATCTGCAGGGTGCCACTTTGTCACCCTTGAGCAAATTTAAATATTCAAAATGGCGGCCAAGATGGCTTAAAAACTGCATATTTGCTGTATCTTACCCTATAGAAGAGGCAGGATGATAATTTTTGTATCTAATTTTATGTTTTAAGGGTCAAAGAATACCAATAATTGATTATCTTAGTAATAAAATATATATGTTTGCTTTAAAAGTTAATAGGATGTCATTGGTGAATTGAAAAATGCCTTTTTTATTTAAATTACATTAAAATACATACAAGTTTTGAAAATGATATACCACATGCATTTTTATGAACATTTTTGAACAAAATCGACTTGATAGGTACCAATGCTGATATTTATTCGGTGGTTAGTACTTCATTTCGATATGTAACATTTTTTTTTTTTTGCTAATGGCGGTGAATACGGTTAACACGTGTGCCGGTTCCGAGTTTTGTAATAAATGTAATATAATCGTTCAAGAAACTGACAAAGGTTTACAGTGTGAAGCTTTCTGTAAAAAGTGGTTTCATATAAACTGTGAAAATATTAGCTCAAAGGAGTATACGCAAATCAATAAACTATCGTCGTCTGTACATTGGTTCTGTGCTGCGTGTTTGGAAAAGGTATACTGTATATTTGATTCGGACTGCCAAGCTACAGATCTAACCAATATCAGTAAAACAATCAACTTACTGGTGGGAAAAGTTAACAATATACTTAGTGATAACAAAAAACTAAATGAAAAAGTTGATAGACTGATTGACGAAAATGCTAGGTTAGGACAACAGGTTAGCTGTCTGCAAATCGAACCAACCGAAGTCGAACCGGTGGAGGATCATCGAGTTGACGGATCAACATCGAGTAATCAACCAGACATAGGCCTAAGCTTGACTCTATGCTCAGACTCTACAAACAGTCAACAACATAGTAACGTATCTGCATCTGTCAATAACATAACCTCTCTTGGTTTAGAAATAGAAGCCACTACTAGTCCTGCTGTAAACTCAGAAGTTCATGGATCGAACCACCAAACAAAATCAGGTAAACTATTCTCTGATGTTTTGAAAGTACCTTCTTCTAATAGATATAGACAACCTAATTCTCAAATCAACCCTTCAACTGAGAGTGGGCATAGGTCTAAGGATAGTAGTCAACTTGTAAGTAATAGGCATATTAAGAAGACTGAAGTCCCAATCATAGGAACAAAATCTGGTGCTTTTGGAAATCTGAAGACTGTTGCCAAAAACAAAGCAGTTAATAAATCCTGGATCTTTATTTCTAGACTAGACGTTTCTGTAAATAATTCTTTAGTTAATGACTACTTGGCTGATAACGGAATAGAAAGTGCATGCTGTGAGGATATCTCGACTCGTTACAATAGCTATAGGTCATTCAAAATAGGAGTGGAACCCTTACAATTTGACAAAGTATTGTGCGCTGAGTTTTGGCCGGAAGGAACACTTATTAAAAACTTCATTCAAAAGAAATCAAGCCGTTTTGTGAGATCTAAGGTTTTTTTAGGAAGCCAACGACAAGCCTAAGTAATGTTTCCTCGGAATCGACGCAAGCAACTTGTGTACAAAATAATAAACCAACGCTCGGAATATTGTACGGTAATGTGCAGTGTATTACCAATAAGCTTATAGACATCGAAATGGTGGCTCTTCCTATATTGTATACCATCTTGTGTATAGTTGAACATTGGTTAGCCTCAGATAACTATTCACTCTATAATATCTCAGGCTATCAGTTGGCGTCAATATACGTTCGTTCGTGTTTTGGACATGGAGGAGCAGCGATATATGTTCTTCCAGATACGGAGTTTAAGGAGATTGACATTAGTAAGTTCTGTGTAGAGAGAAATTTTGAAGCCTGTGCCATTAGGCTTAAGACATGGAACACTATTATTGTTTCACTCTACAAACCCAGTGGCAGTAGTGACACTGTATTTTTTCAAAAACTGGACTTATTACTGGACTTTTTGACAAAATATGATCAAGATATAGTAATATGCGGTGACCTGAACATCGAAGCATCTGGACAACAGCCTAACACGCTCAGGCTTCATGATATTCTCCGATCGGCGGGTATCTATTGCACCAACTACAGACCTACAAGGGCAAATGCATGCATAGACTATATACTGACTAATATTAAACCTTTTGACCACTCGGCTGATGTGCATGACTGGCCAATATCCGATCACTGTTTTCTAAGTGTCAAAATTAATAGGCCTAACCTAAATGCAACTCTGTGTGAAAATGAGGAGCCTCCCTCGAACGCCATTCTAACCTATAGGCCATTCGACGACCTGAAGCTTTATGATCTCAAGCAATGCCTCGAGAACATTGATTGGTATGCTGAACTCCACGGTCTGAACGCAGAGGACAGGTATAACAAATTTCACAATATATTCATGTACTGGTTAAACCTATTTGTACCATTGAAGACTAGATCTTCGCTCAACAGGAAATCAAAGCAAAAGTAGTGGTTTACTCCACAACTTGCACGTATGAGGAACAACCTTTTGCTCTTACTCGACTGTGCCCGTTCTACTGGTGAGTAAGCTATCAAAAATCAATACAAAATAGTAAGCAAGGAATACAAGTCCATGTTACTTAAAGCTAAGAAGGATCACAACACCAACTTCATTAATGCTGCAAAAAATAAGTGCCAAACAGCCTGGCAAGTAGTCAAGGAAGAGAGTGGGACCTATTCAGCTTTTGTCCATCCCCAGCCATCTGCAGAGACTTTTAGTGACTTCTTCCAGAGGGTTGTGACGGAGACTCGAGAGAGCATCGAACCCACAGACGTGACCGCTGGTGAACTGCTAACTGACCATCTGAGGAAACCTCCTGTCAACCTACAGTGGACTCCAGTGAGTGGCCAGAGTGTTCTAAAGATTATCAAAGATACGAAGTCATCTAGAAGCTGTGATGTATATGACATATCATCAGACCTTTTAAAAGCCTTAATGGAATCAGTAGCTGTACCTTTAGCTTTATGTATTAATACCAGTCTAAATGAGGGGATTTTCCCATCCAAACTCAAAATATCTAAAGTTGTGCCTGTGTACAAAAAAGGTAGCAGGAGTGATCCAGGAGGGTACCGGCCGATTTCTCTGGTCCCTGTTATTTCAAAAGTCTTTGAAACTGTAATAAAAAATCAAATAAGTAACTTTTTTGAACAACATAACCTTTTTACTGACTGTCAGTATGGTTTCAGGCCTGGTAGATCTACGATCGATGCAGTCGAAGTGTTCATAAGTCACGTACTTGCTGGCTTTGAAAGCGGAAATCCCACAGGCGCAGTCCTCTGTGATTTGTCAAAAGCCTTTGACTGTGTCGATCGTAATATTCTTTTGCACAAATTGGATTTTTATGGAATCATTGGCAATCAAAATTCTTTGTTGAAATCATACCTCAGTGATCGGCTCCAAAAAGTTTCGTCAAACAACTCATTTTCTAATGTAACTGAGGTTAAGTACGGGGTACCACAGGGATCGGTACTGGGCCCTCTACTGTTCCTAATAGCCATAAACGATCTTTCCTCAAATGTTGAATGTAAATCCATCTTATTTGCTGATGATGTAACCTTTGTCACAAAAAATTTAGTACTTACTGAAATCCCAGTGGCTGCTAATAATATTCTTAATCAAGCAAATGAGTGGTACAAAGCCAATATGTTGTTAATGAATAGGGAAAAAACTCAAACTGCTGTTTTTACTTTGACAAGTGCTGGTAATTTAGAAAATGAATTCTCTCAGTGTGTTAAGCTCCTAGGTATGCACATAGACTCTAAACTAACATGGCATGAGCATGTCAAACACCTATGTAAATCGTTACACCGAATAATATGTTTAGTTAGAAAGTTAAAAGTCTGCATATCCCCTGATTGCTTAAGAATGGTTTATTTCTCTCTTTTTTCAAAGTAGAAT